CCAGAGTTATCCTCATTTTAATAAAAGCAAATTTAACCTTCCCCCACCACTATATTTTATGAGATAGAGCAAAATACTATATATCAAAAAATTTACAAATTTATTGATGATTACAATAGTAATATTTACAATACCTATTCACCTGCATATTTTTGAGAAAAACCCTGTTTTCTGATTGGCTATTAGAGAAACGCCCCATAGCGGGCATTTTTCGAACTTGAAAATAATTTCCAGCTATTTCTCTTGGTCGATTTACTTATTTGAATTTTTTTCCCAAAGTTATACGATAAGTAGTTTCTGATATACAGCCGGCCGGCGTCCATTCTTAACTGGCCACCCGGTACCTACAACCTTTGAATAAAAATATTAAGAAAGGAGTATAATGCTATCCATATATTGATAGTTGGTGAACGGAGGTGGAGACTTAGGGTGGGAATCCTTGACAGTTATGTTTGACGACATTTTGACGATTCGTTTGACACATTTGAATTTGATTTCAAATTTTATGGATTTGTCTGTCTTTACTGAGCTTATTTTATGTTATTTATTATTTATTCTACAACTAGTAGTTGTTTAGAGGTAGTAAATCTAGAAGGATTTTTTTTGTGGCAGAACTTTAACAGTGACATTATTGCGATTTATCGAAAAAGACTGTAAAATAGTTGGTTGTCTAGCGTGCGGTAGACCTAGGTCAAAAATCGAGGGAAATAATGGAATAACTTTTCGCTATTAAGTAACTATATAATATAAATACGTGTAGTAAACCGATCATTTATGAGAAATTCACTTATAATTAACTAATTACTTATATATTTTTTTTGCATTTTTGCTTTTATTTACTACTTGTCAAAGATCAGATCTTAAAGAATTTAGATACGTCAATTTGGCTTACCTAATTTAGTAGGGTATCGGATGTTTGTATTAATAAATAATTAATATAACTTATCTATTTTTATTAGAATTGTATATTTTTATAACAATTTTAATAACTACCAACATTTATTGACAACGTTAAATAAAACAACAAATAATTATTGAGTCTCATGTCTACCCTACATCATACTGGGTGTTGCATCGTCGGGCAGGACATAGGAAATCCCATGTAAATTTTAATGGGGTCAATTAATGGCTTCCCTAATTATTTTAGAGAATAATTCTATTTAGGTTTATTGAAGAGCACTAAAACCCACATTCAAAAGAATAACTTTAGATATTTTTGATTAGCCCGTTTACGAGTTATCGCCGATTTCTTTTTAAATATTTCTCCTTTCTTATGGCCCTGTATTTACTTATGAGCACCAGTCAAGTTAAAAGATAACTGTCAAATGAAGTTGTCATTTCAGAAATTTATCTATTTAGTGCTTTATTATTATTATTAAAAACTCATACCTACATCGAAAATATTAGCCATGAATTACACTACCGAAGAAAAAATATTGATGATTAAATGGTATTATCAAGGAAATAGTTTTCAAATGGTGTCGGACATGTTTGCTGCTCTGTATCCGAATAGACCGATAACTGGAAAATATACAATCGGAAGGAATATCCAGAGATTTGAGACCAAAGGTATCCTAATAAATAACTGCAGATGTGAAGGAAGGTAGGAACAAAGAGAAGATGCAAGAGATGATACCGACTTGGAAGTGCGTGGAAGAGAACGATGGAAATATCAGCCCAAGGAAACTTGAGGATGAAATAGGAATAGATCGCACTATAGCGTTTCGAATTTTGAAACGACATAAATACTATTCCTTCAAATATGAAAAGCACCAAGAGCTACGAGATGGGGACGAAATACGGCGGCAGGCGTTTTGTTTTGATATGATGGAAAGAGCAAACACGGATAGGGAATTATTAAAAAACATATGTTTCACTGACGAATGCACGTTTACCTTAAATAATGAACCCAATATTCAAAATTATCGATATTGGAACAAAGAAAACCAACACAGGTTTGTCGAAACAAGGACGTAATATCCACAGAAAGTAAATGTTTGGGCAGGGATATTCGGACACAATATTATCGAGCCATTATTTCTTACGCGAAATTTAAATGCAGAATATTATTTGGAACTACTCGAAAATCATATTTTACCTGCTGTACATGATGCCGCTAGGGAAAATCAGGAAGTTTGATACCAAATGGATGGCTGCCCGGCACATAGTACCCTGGCTGTTTGGGAATATTTAGACAATAGTTTCAACGGAAACGTTATTGGCCTAAATCATACAGTAAATTGGCCAGCAAGGTCTCCTGATATTTCGCCGAATGATTTCTTTCTCTGGGGCCATTTAAAAAACAGGATATACAAGGATAAAAAATACCCAAATCTAGACGAGTTAAAAAATGCTATTTCTGTCGAATGCAATAGAATTTCAGTTTACCAACTAGCGAAAGAAGAGAATTTTATGATCGCCTGGATTATTGTCTAGCAGTCGATGGAGGAATATTTGAACATCTTAAATCCTAAAGTTCTAACAATTTAACAGTACCTAAATTAATAAGTTATTGAATATTGTAATAATAATAATATAATTAACCTTGTAATTGACTACTTTATTTTACTTTAATTCATATTAATTTGTATTTATAAATACATCTTTAAGATTTCCGATGTAGGAATAAGTTTTCAATAATAATAAAGCACTAAATAGATAAATTTCTGAAATGACAACTTCATTTGACAGTTATCTTTTACCTTGACTGGTGCTCATAAGTAAATACAGGGCTATAAGAAAGGAGAAATATTTAAAAAGAAATCGGCGATAACTCGTAAACCAGCTAATCAAAAATATCTAAAGTTATTCTTTTGAATGTGGATTTTAGTGCTCTTCAATAAACCTAAATAGAATTATCTAAAATAATTAGGGAAGCCAATAATTGAGCCCATTAAAATTCACATGGGATTTCCTATGTCCCGTCCGACGATGCAAAACCCGGTATACTTTTACACGTTTTGAATAAAATTAAAACGGCACTGATAAGGGTTGATTCTCACTATACCTTCCGTTTCCATTCCATATCCGTTCCGTATTTTTTATTGTATTGACGTAACCTGTTTCAGTTCCATACTTTTTATTGTACAATTTATATCATTACGAAAGTTTTATTTTAAAAATTTGTATCTTTTGAAAAGGGTAATATATTTAATTAAGAGGTGAAAGATTAAATAAATATCATCAAAATGTTCACAGAGCTGGTACAAATGTAAGAACTTGACAACGCTGTTTCCGATACGCTTCAGATCTCAAAAAATATGTATGGAAAAAAAGTATATGGAACGGAAAGGAAACGGAACGGATAGTTTGCATTGTCCTATTCATTGACATAATATTTTTACGGATTCCGTGGGTCCACTAATTTAAACTCACGATAAAATACTTAACGAATTTATTTCTTTCTCACCTTATACACACAATAACTATTTATAAAATTCCTTCCTAAACTCCTAATGGAAAAAATCCTGGGGGCTCTGTTCTCCCCAGTCAATACTCGCCCCTTAGTATTGACTGATTTTAGTTTCCCTGGTGCCTACGTTCTCTGGATGGTGGACGGGATCGCATTTGGACGCGGCAATCCCGTTTGATGTGGCCATTCCTGCCACAACTATAGCACCTTATGTTTTAGAATCTTCTCTGGTTCTCTGTCTGAGTGTTGTTGCTACTTTTGTTCACTAGTAACTCACATAGTTTACTAAACATCTCCTCCAAACGTATGTGAGAACTTCCGGGCTGTTCCTCGACCTTTACCGATCTTATCTTCGGTCTAGAGATGGCGCTAAAAGCAGCTTCAATTTCCAGCGCCCTGACCAGTGCTTCGCTGATGGTAGAAAATTGGGATATTTGCAGCGCCCTTTGTAACTCGTTGTCGTTCAATCCACTGATAAAGCACTGGGCAGCAAGTTCCTCCCTAAACTCTTCCGGTGCTTCTGGATATGTCAGGTGTACCAGCCGACGTAAGTCTGCTTCAAATTCCTGCAGACTCCCTCCGGACCTCTGCAGGCGTATCTTTATCTGGGCCTGGTAAAGTTGGCGTCGATGTTGGTCGCCATATCTTCTGTCCAGTGCAGCGACCAAAGTTTGGTTTTCCTGCTGTTGGGCTGCAGGAATAGTTTGCAGCAGTTCCAGAGCAGGGCCACGCTGCGCGATGACAAGCGCTGCGTGGCGATCGGTCGGTCCGATGGTCGGTCCATCCGTTGGCAGCGGCGGCTGCTTCAAACTGACGGTGGTACATTGTCCATATCGTTTGTCCATCGTAGGTCGGTGCCTTAAGGTTCGCAGTTCCCGGAACGCCAGGTGTCCTTACTTGTACCTTGGTCTTCTGTAGGTCCATCTCCAACCTTTCTATTTTCTGCTGAAGGCGCTCCTCCAGATCTTCTACGGCTTCTTAAAGGTGGATTTCTTGCCTTTTTTCCAGTTCTTCAAAGTCCTTCTTAAGACGGTTTTGATCTTCTTGTCCTTCTTTCTGGCCGGTGCATCTCTATATCTTCTAAAATGTCTCTCCATTCATTGTTTTGACGGATTTCTAAATTACCTAAAATTTTCTCAAGCCGGTCTTGTTCTTCTTCTTTGTCTTGTTGTCGTTGAACTTTCAAATCTTCGAAAATGTTCTCAAGCCGGTCCTGTTCTTATTGACGTCGTAGTTTTTCCTCTTCCTTTTCTCTTTCTAATGGGCTCGCTCTTCTTCTCGTTCTTTACGGAGTCTTTCTTGTTCTTCTGCCTTCTCTCTTCTCATATTCTCCATAAAATTGCCCAATAATTTGCTTACTTCCTCCATTTTCTTCGCTTGCTCCCTTGTACCAACCATAAAGATACTCTAATTCGGTCTAAAAATCTTCCAATCCACTTAATTTCTTCTTAAAATTCTCTCGAATCGCACTTCCGACACCAATTGTTGCGGATTCCGTGGGTCCACTAATTTAAACTCATGATAAAATACTTAACGAATTTGTTTTTTTCTCACTTTATACACACAATAACTAACTATTTATAAAATTCCTTCACCAAATTGTCCGATTCGTAATAATTTAAAGCGCGGTATATTCAAACTTCAAAACTGGTCCAACTCCCAAGCGCTGGGCCTTTATATACCCCCTGGCGAGTGTTTCTGGAATGTTCGAAAATTATCGGGAAGGTTCCGCCATCTACTAGTACATTCTATTGTCTCCTTCCCTTACTTGTCGACTTGATTAAGAGATGGCGCTGCAACAAGAAAATGTCTTCAGATTTCTTGACACGTTGCGGTTTTAGTTGTTCGCTTCTCCGACAGATGGCGCCACATACACCTTGACAATATAATATTTTACGTAAACGGAATGCTTCTTTCTTAATCTTTTTTATTCAAAGAATCCGGGTAGTATAGTCATGTCATTTATCGTGTTGCCAGCTTGTGCCGAACTGATATGGTGGCTGTCGAAATTCCCGATACAGTTACCATCTGATGAGGTTGCGTGTTGCCTAAACATGTTTGTCGAAGAGTTCTCTGGAATATGCCAGGTGGAACATGACGGCCGGTCATTCATAAAGGCTGGAATAGAAAATAAATTGTTGGATTTAAATTAATCTTGACATTTGAAATGTTTCTGTTGTATTTAATAATCATTATCTAGATTCAGACACATTCCAGGCAGTGATATTTTACAAAACATTTTTTTTATTATTTGGAATTTTAAATCTGTGACAAAATAAACTTTTGTACAAGAAATATAGTCGCTACAAAGGTCAATCAACCCAAATTAAAAAATATGTTTTTTATATTTTTTGGATTCTACAAATTTCTAATCAAATTTTAAGTATGATGTTATAGATGCCATTAAACAGTTTGCTTAAATAACGGAATTTCAATTTAAATTCTTGACAAAATATAATTTTAAATGGTATGATTCACCGGTCCTTGTGGGTCATGTATATTCGGCTAGAAAAACGCCTTAACCACAACAGAGACAAGTGTCACATAAAAAAAAATTAAGGTATTTTAAATCACATAAGATATAAAGGTAAATTGTTGGATTTAAATTCATTTTGAAGTTTTAATTTGATACTTTTTTCAGCCATTTTTGTTTAGTATATTTTGTTATACCGGGTGGTGCATCGTCGTTGGAAACAAAGGAAATCCCAAGCAAATTTTGAACTGTTCAAATATTGACTCCCTTGTTGATTGTACACCAAAGTCGTAAATATAGTTTATAAGGTTTACGTATGGTAAATACACATGCTAAATTTGAACAATTTTAGACCAGCCGATTTTGAGCAATTTAAAAAAGATTGCATCCATTTTTATATTAAAACCGAACAGGTAACATTCAAACACCAGTCAAAAACTGACATACCTTAGGTTTACAAACTATAATTTTGTCATTGTCATAAGTTAACGTGTTAATATTCAGAGAAAATTAACTGAAATATGTCAGATACACTGTCTAAGCTATTTCCCGTGTACTACCATTTTATCATGCTTACTTTTTCTTTAGGTGTATAACAATAAATTATTACTAGTCTGATTACTAAAATTTTATAAAAATTAAGTTGTTTGAAAATGACGTTGACAACTATGTAACTGTGTACAAAAGTATGTCGGTTTTTGACTGGTGTTTGATTATTACCTGTTCAGTTTTAATTTAAAAAGAGATGCAGTTTTTCTCAAATTACTCAAAATCGGCTTGTCCAAAATGGTTCAAATTTCGCATGTGTGTTTACCAAACGTAGACTTTTAAAAAATCTATTTACGACTTTGCTATAAAATCAATAGGGAAGCCAATATTTGAACAGTTTAAAATTTCTATGGGATTTCCTATGTTTATATAGTTTACTTACCAAGTGGTTCTATGTTAATTGGTTCTATTAAGGGAGTTTGCAGAGTTTGTTCCATTGCCATTCCTAAAAATCAAATAAATTTCGATAATATTATAAATTCTGTCTTTTTAACAAACATTAGATTTTAAAAAGTCACTACGAATATATCTATAAAAATATTTTCGAAATGTTTAATAATTTACAAAAATATTGTGTTTAAAAATTTCAATTAGAAAACCCCGATATAAAGTTTTTTGTAATACCGGGTCTTCCTATTTCTAGACAATAATAAATAGTTTGCTTAAATAAAATAATTAGAATTTAAATTCTTAACTCGACATAATTTGAAACAGTACGAGACACCTTTCTTTATGGAGTTACGTATATTACAGTCTGTAAGAATTAAAATATACTGAGTTCAATTATTCTTTGTTGCGAATAAAAAAATAATAAAAATAGTAAAAAAACAAGCATAATTTTGTTAATTATTTGTTATTATCTTTTGGAACTATATCTATAGAGAAATTATAAAATGAACCAATTAAATCTTACGATGATATGTGCAATTGTAATTATTATCAAAATTATGAAATTGTTTTTACATCTTTAAAGAGTTTTTGAGTGTCATTTAAATAAAATTAATTATTAAAATATTTAATCGTTATCGCGCAACTGACTCCCACCACCAACAATAAACAAAATTAAAAAAAAATAAAACTTACTATCTTGATCAGTTAATTGATTCATAACATCGGTGTGGTCCAACCTGGCCCTCTTTCTCTTAAAATGATCATCAACTATAAAATAAAAAAGCATAAAATAAACAAAACAACAAACAAAAATCAGCTAAACAAAATATAAATTAAAATCTAATCAAAAAGCGACACGAATTCTAACTCTAAGAATTATAAAATAATGAAATAACGTCAATGTCCAGTCTCTTTTTAGCGTCATTGCATACTTCGAAATATTAACTTTTAACGATTTCATCAAGAACCGAACTATTTAACTCTCTTTTCGCTACCAATTTGATGTTATTGATCAATATGCTATTGAAACAATGGTAGTTAACGATCTTTTGAGCTAAACCATGCTAAAGGGACTAATACGGCGTCCTACCTGAGTTGGCAGGGAGCAGTTCGAAGGGTAAGGGCTCGCTGGTGGCTTGGTCTGAAGGCCTGTAGAGTTGGATGAAGACTTTGACAGATTCTGTCACGTCCAGCGTTTTGTAACGCGGCGTCTTGAACCAGATGGCGTGATGCTTGTGGACTTGGTGCTGCAGGAAATCGGCCTTGGCACTCCAAACTATCTCATCGTTCTTCATTTCGAAAAAATGAATTTCGATGTCATCCTTTGCTACCTTCAAATAGAATAATTATTGCAGTGTTGTGACGTAATACTGATTTTTGTTTGCAATTATCAGTGGTAGAATCTACTACAAATACCATACGATAAAAAAAAAGTCAAACACGGCTAAGAAATGACAATCGATAATAATTTTGGCGAGATCAAGCTCTAGACGTCATTTGCTTGGTCCGTACTCTTATTTATTTTTTAATGCTACTTACTCTGCCAGTTAACCTTAGGAAGGTTGTAATTTATTTTTATATTGGGTAAAAATAATTCTTAAACGGTGTATACGTTCTATTCTTTTTTAATCTTTCTATAATTAGTGCTAATATTTAAGTTTTATATCAACTTTTAGTAAATGACGTCTAGAAATTGACCTCGCCAAAATAATAATCGATTGTTGTTCCCCAGCCCGTCTTTGACGTCTTTTTTTCGAGCGTATGATGTTTTAAAAATGACTGTTATCAATGTTGGTTGTATCACTTTCAATTTCTCTTTATAATACTTATACAGAAACTTTATTTTTGTTGTACATTTTTAGTTTTTGAGATATATCTTTTTATCTTATTTTAGTTTTTGCGACCCTTTTTAGGGTTCGTTCCGTACCCAAAGGGTAAAAACGGGAACCCTATTACTAAGTCTTCGCTGTCCGTCCGTCTGTCACAAAAGTCTATCTTATGAACCGTTATAGCTAGACAGCTGAAATTTTCACAGATAATGTATCTATGTTGCCGCTATAAGAACAAATACTAAAAACAGAATTAAATAAATGTTTATAAATAAAAAAGTACTTTCAATAAACATTATCTTTTAAGTAAGAATTTTACATTCTTTGAATCTTTCAAGTCCTTGAATTCGTCATACAATCCTTCATACACTTGAATCTTTCAAGTCCTCGGTGGCCGCGTTGTTAAAGCGTTAGGACGCTGCTATGACGTTGGAGCCGTAGTAAGGCCGGCCGGTTCGAATCCTAGTCATGGCGACTTTTTTTTAATCGTTTTTTTTTAATTTTTGCATATTTTTACATATTTATTATTGATTAATACAATTTTTAGTAATGTGTTTCTTAATTTTTTTTAAATTACTTATATCCGCATTCAAAATTTCAGCTAAATAGGAAAACAGGTTTATAATAATATAGTGTCTAATGTTGTATAGATAATGAATGGTACAGAACACTTCGTTCGCGAGTCCGACTCGCACTTGACCAATTTTTTTATTTTTTGATGCCGTTTTTTTTTCTATCGTACGGTATTCAACCTCTTATAATACAGAAGTCTTGTTCGCCGCTAATTACTACACATAAAAAACATAATAGCGTTGACTGAAAAAATTGGGAAAATACGCAACCTAATGGGCAAATTCGTGAAAAGGCTGATTTGATTTCCCCTTACGTCTCAAGTGCTATACGGTGGAGCCACTACTCGTTCTACGGCCAACGCATAAAACACTCACTTTCTCTATTTCGGCCAGCGAAGGCATATCGAAGAGGGCGTGGAACTGAAAGCGACAGCGTTGTCTGATTAAAATGTGTAATATTTGTAAGACTGACTAAAATATCTTTGCATGAAACATCCGCATTTATGTATTGAAAATTTATTACGTTTTAAACATAGAATAAACACCGTATTTTTTATTTCATGTAAAAGAATAGATGAAACAAACAGCAATGTAATATCTTGATTAAAATTAAAAATTAGGTTTCATCATATTTTTTCTTTAATATTATAATTATGTCGCCCGCTATGGACTATGGGCCCATCATACGATGGAAACTCTTACATTTTAATGATAGAAAATCCGTATTATTAACGTACCGTACCCAAAATCGGTAAATCTACGGATTAATTCGTAGTTCTGACAACACTGTCTCTGGCAACCACCCACTCTGTCGACTGAAAGCAGAACTACGGTACAGTATTCTTTATCTGCTGCGCTGTACACGACTATCAGCGCGCAGCGGCGTAGAGCTAAACTAAATCTCGGACACTAACGGTAACGCCAGCTACATCTCGGACACCTTTTGTACCACGAAATCGCCGATAAGGTTGCGCGTTTTCTTATTCCTTCAATAAACGAGTTATATAGTTCTACAGAATAAATATTCTTTTATTACCTTATCGCATACCAATATTATATTCTTTGGTATATCGACATAACCGACTCTACTTGACAACTTGACTATTGTCAGATCAGACACCGCCTTCTTATCATATATGATGTTACTGACTACAGGTGTCAGGGGATACCTGTACTTCCCAGGAGTGTCGCCCTCAATTAACACCTGGAAGCACAATCTTACCGCGTTGAGGTCTATTGAAGACAGTTCATTTTGTGGGGCAAAATGTTCTGAAATAAAATAACAGCTTATTAAGCTTTATTACCAAGTCATTTCTAAAGTTAAAATGATTTAAATCTTTTAAAATCTAATGCCTGGCTACCGCCTAACAGTTTAAAAATGCTGCTGTTAAAATTTTATCATAAAAATATATAAAAATCTGACTTCTTATAAAATTACTTAAATATTTTTAATAACTTAAGTTTTTTCTATAAAGGCGTAAATCTTTATGTGAACTTTCTGTGGGCATGCAACTCTAGTTTTTACTTACGCCGAAAATAATCCACGTTATATTTTTCCTTTAATTTCAAAGAACTCTTAATGTCCTTCTTCTTGACGCACTGTATGGCCAATTTCGAGAACCGAACCCTCATTGTGTCCGCAGGTATGGGTAAGGTACAAAAACCATTTTTGCATCCTTCCTTACCCACTAAATTGTGAGGATGAACCCTAAAATAAATAGAAATTTATTACACCCAAAAAAATAATAAATAATTAGGTAAACATGTAGAATGTATAGGCTTGGTGCATTTCAGTTGATTTCAACAAATTCCGACCGCAGCGACTCTACGGCAGAAATCAGAAACTATCAATAAATAGTTCACGCCGGCGCATAGTTCACGCCGCCATCATGGCAATCGCATTATAATAATATTGAAATCGGGGTTTTGTCGTAATATTTAAGTATTTTAGTTTTTTGCTAATGCAGTTATTGAGACTATAAAACACTCTCACTTTTACTCAGGTACGAGGTTTGTGTGATGTAACGCTGTTTCGGGTAGTAAAAAATAAGTGAAAAAGAATTCGAACTAGGCGTCTTGTTGTGTTGTGACAATTTCAAATGTTAATAGAATTGAACAACAAAATGTTAACGCATAAAAGAGAGATTAAGGCGTTTTTGGGTGCAATAACATTCAATAACTCGACTTTCCCGGATAATCCAACTCTCCCGAAAAAAAATTTATAGCTTCATACTTTCTTACACCGATTTGATCAATAGCAAAAATGAATTCAAGCAGTTCGACGAAACAAGTGAGTAAACAAAGTGCTCGTTACATAATCAAAAAAACACCTATAGATCTGTAAATAGTGATCCAACAACCAAGACACAGAGACATCTCAATGATATCATAAAAAAGCTTAAATCGGAAAACGAAATGAGTGAAACAACAGCAAAAAATTTGACAATTTACAAATCCATCTGTTCCAAATTGTACTGTTTACCAAAAATACATAAGCAGAATGTACCTTTAAGACCAATTGTAAGTCTATAGGATCAGCTACCTACAACTTAGCTAAGTTTCTCTCTGATATTTTAACACTATCTATGTCAACTAGAACAGACTATAACGTACGAGATACATTCTCGTTTGTAAATCGAGTAAAAAATAAACAACTACCAGAGAATTATGTGTTGGTTTCACTTGACGTTGTTTCTCTGTTTACTAATATACCATACAATTTAGTTTTAGAAATAATAGAAATATACTGGCAAGAAATTGAAATTAACACCACGTTAACAAAAAGCAGCTTCTTGAAACTATTATCATTTGTTTTTAATAACTGTCATTTTTCTTTTGAGGGTAAGTTTTACCAACAGATTTTTGGGACACCTATGGGCTCTCCAATTAGTCCTATATTAGCTTTGATTGTGATGGATTATTTATTGGACAAAATAAAGTCACGGTTACCTTTTGAACTTCCATTTATCTGCAAGTTTGTTGATGACTTAGTTACTTCTGTTCCACGAGATCAAATTGATAACACGTTAGAAATTTTTAATTCGATTAATAACAACATACAATTTACAGTAGAAACTGAAAACAATGGCGGTGTGCCTTTTTTGGACACAAGAATAATAAGAACAAATTCTAATTCCATTATAACAGACTGGTATCAAAAATCCACAGATGCAGAAAGATATATCAATTATTATTCAAACCATCCTACTAGTCAGAAATATAATACAATTATCGCCTTAAAGAACAGGATATTGTATATATCAGATGCATGTTTTCATAAAGAAAATTTAAATAAGTTATTTAATATATTCGTTAATAATGGTTATCCAAAAAATATATTACGAAAACTAATTTATAATACAAGTAAACCGTATACACCAACAAAGACCACGGAGGGTTTGAATATTGTTTATAAAAAATTACCTTACATACAGAACTTAACAGATAACATTATTTCATATTTAAAAGAATATGATATTAGAATTGCTAAATATAATTCGTTAACATCTAAAAATTGCTTCTCTAGGACTAAGGATAGGGTACCAATATTGCAAAGGAGTAATATTGTTTATAATATTCCGTGTTTGCAATGCGATAAATGTTATATAGGCCAGACATCACAAAATCTTAAACAGAGGATTACGCAACACAAGAGTGACTGCCGTCTCGGAAAAAAGTCTTGTGCACTAGCTATTCATTTTCAGAACCAAGATCATCAATTTGATTACGACAGTGCATCTATACTGGAACAGGAAGGCAATTTCCGAAAAAGAATTTTTTTGGAAATGGTTCACATTAATAACAACAAAAACTCTATAAATTCAAGATCGGATATTGACAGCCTTAGTTCCATATATTGTAATTTATTAAGGGAATTATAAATCAATTAAATAAAATAACACACATACATTTAAATATAGCAGCAAAAATAAGATGGGATGCGATGCCTGCAAATATGCAGTTTACAATCTTTTTATAAATTTTTTTCTTAGTTGTTTGTTTCTTGGAGCGTTCGCTCTTCACTAAAGCGAAAGAATTTGATATTAATACACTTCATGTTTATTTTATATACGTACGTTGTCAATGGTGGTTTGTAGATCAAAGTAGTTTATTTTACATTATTGTATGTTTTTTTTTGTAAAATTTGACTCTAATTGTAAGTAGTATTTTTGTTTTGTTTTATTAATTTGTTGTAACGTATTTTAATGAAAAAACTTTTATTCCTAAGTTACAATTGTAATGACTATTGTTTTTAGCTGACGCTCCTGATGAAGACATAAATGATGTCGAAATATAGAGCTATTTAGATTAAAGTGAGTTTAATTGAAACAGACCGCTTCCCGATATTATACCACATATATATATATATATATATATATATATATATATATATATATATATATATATATATATATATATATATATATATATATATATATATATATATATAGAGAAGACCAAGCTACTAAATAAATTCTCTAAACCCAACTCTAAATAAAAAAAGTTATAACAAGTGTTCAAAAAGACCATCTTCTTGGGCTAGACAGAAGCCTAGGCGGTCGTAAAATCCCCGTCTGACATTGGCTAACATATTAGGGCTAATAGTTTGGAAAGCTTCTCGTATTTTTACTTGAAGCTCATCCAGATTATTAGCCCTAATATGACCATACACTTTGGATTTTACATAACCCCACAAAAATAAGTCATTGAGAGAAAGATTTGGTGATCTAGCGGGCCACAAAATAGTTCCATGTCCACTAATTAAACGGTTGGGAAAAGTATTGTTCAAATATTCGTGATCAATACGGGCATTGTGGGCAGGACAACCACCTCAGCAATTTGATTACTTGAAAACGTGGGATTTTGATCCGCGGTAGCACAAAGAACACTTGCTTTAACTCCTGTTCTTCATTAATCAACACATCAGGCTTTTTTTGTTTTTGTGGGAACGCACCCATGTGTTTCAAAATTATTAATAACTCTTGATACAGTAGGTAAAGATGGAATTGGCCTATCTACAAAAGCTTGTGGAAAAATTGTTTGTATATCCCGATAAGACCTATTTTGGAAATACCATTTTACAATTTGAATTTTCTCACGAACTTCGTAAACATCCATTATTTTACTAAAAAAATAAAATTTACACGAGAACTGTCGCGAGAATCTATGTATTTGTCTTGGCTATTAAAACACGAATAAATACGAATTCTGAAACATTCTTATCACATATCTACAGTTTGACAAATATAGGAAGAGACTTGAGGATAGCTTTGTTCGCGGTAGCGATTCCTGACTAACCCCTGACTGGCGCGCCGGCGCGCTTTGAATATGAGCGTTCGCGGTACAATAAGTTCCGGATTCTGACAAACAATCAGTCGTTCGCGGAAGCGCTTAATCGAATCGAGAACTGGTACGGGATCGATCAGAATAGTCAGCGGATAGATGCCTGTACTTCTTGTCAGGTGCATGCGTATTGCGGACTATTGCGTTTGTTGACAAAAGCACTTCTCTGTAAGGGGCATTTTTTTAGTTCTGTGTGTTTATAGAGATCCAAAAAAAGTAACGTATCACCATGAGTCCATCTATAAAATTTTTCTTCGACAGTACTGGAATTAAATTCCAAAAATTCGCTTACCTCTGTAGCAAAAAAAAAACATCGGTTAGGAATATAAACAAATAATTCAATATTTTAAAAAATATAAAGGTTTATCACGTTCTATATCACTGTTCATTATTAATCAATGTATTTTGTCTATATGATTAATTATTACCAAGAAGTTTTGTGGATTTTACAGCGGTTTTAATTAACTGTCGTAATTTTATCCGTATCGTTAATTTAAAAGTTCAAAACAAATGTACAAAACGCGTTCGCGGAGAAATGTCAATCCCAAACCTATTTTGAACCGCGCATGCGTAGTTGATAAATCAGTTATTTGTCGCGGATTTGTCAGGGGTTAGTCAGGGATCGCTACCGCGAACAAAGCCGATAGCACCGGTCGCGCACACGATAGAGAGAGAACGCATTCGGCGAAAGAGAGATGCAATTACGCTACGACAAATCTGGTTAAAGCAAATTTGCGGGCTGTTCACAGCGCATCGAGGGGCGTCTCTTATTTTATATTTCTTACGTCTCTAGCTATACTTGTTAAGTTGTACCAAGTTGTACCTATTTTTATTTTATCGCATTTTTTCGCCTGCTTTTTACCCGGCGGACGGGTATAGGCTAATTCGTCCGGTTTTGCCTATGTTACTACTACGGTGGTCCGGTCTGTATAGACTTAAATACTATGAGAGGATGAAATATAATTTGCAATATTAATGGTATACTTTTTTAATCAACTAGTGTTTAAATGTTTTATGAACATCTTCTAAAATTATAATTATGTACCTTTAAAAAATCTCGTTATAGCCGAAATAGCTCCAATTATGTCCCACTAACATACATACTTAAAACATACATACTTATGCCTATATATTCCTTCGTTTAAATCTAGTTATTTAGCTTCACTTAATGCTATTTTTTGGTAATTATAATTATAATATACCTTTGTTTATGTTATTTGTGTTTGTGTCAATAAATCAAGTTTTGACTATGATTCGTATTAAAGTTAGTTTCCACACAATATCCTCGCAAATGTGGAATAGGAAAAGGGAGGTGATGTGTGTTTTTCATTTTTACTCGGGCTTTTTCCCCTCCCGGAATTTAGCTATAACAATCTGGCATCACGTAATGAGAGCCTTATTAAAAGGTTCAAAAATAGGCGACACGGAAAAATTTCAGTTTCAATATCGGCCCTAGCAGCGGTTTTTAAATACGAAACTAGCGGATAAGCAACTTCGAGCGTTGGCAACCCTAGATATGTCTTTAGAGTTAATTATTAATAACACGTATGATCACAAAAATTGCCAAGTGTTGTAAAATCGGAGTGTTACTTTTAATAATACTTATAACTTTTTTTTTAATTTTTACAGCTTTTGGTACATTTTACATATGAATTGTAATTTTTGGATGTTGGCACCATGAAATTTGAACACGCTGATTCCACATTTTTTTCTAATTATTGCGCACTCTTTGGTACACAATGTCCCAAAAAAACTAGATACTTACGTATAAGGCGGGTCTTTCATTACACAGAAAACTACAACTACTGCTTTGCCTTTGTACCCTACCACTTCGATCTCTGGATACGTCTTGTATTCCGGAGTACTACTCGCTCCTGGAATAGAGCCAGCAAAGCGACTCTCGCACTCATATCGAAACCTTAAGGCTTTCGATGCTGGTTGTTCTATTATCTGAAAAAACAAACATTAAGCAATTAGTCCAGTCAGTGGGGTGTTTTGCCATCCAAAAGGTGGTGTAGTAGTAATTTTTTATATGCTGTTAAGGTTTGGGTCTTGACAAAAAATCCAAGTTTTCGACCTTGGGGTGGGACCGCTCGAGCCGCCATCTTGGATAGAGGGTACAGTGCCGAAAAGTTGAATATATTTTCCAAAAAAATAGAAAAACTCCCCAATTTTATATTTTTTCCGAAATTTTCGCTATTTTTTACTTAGGTATAAACAGCAGCGGATGGTGAGGTAGTGTCATGGTGCCACGGAGCGAAAAAGATATGTTATAACTTTCATATGTCTCATTTACGTACAACATAAAAAAAAACTGAAAAATAAGGTAGTACCATGGCGATTTATTAGCAAAAAAATATGTTATAACCTTCATATGTCTCATTGAAATATAACGCACAACATAAAAAAACTGAAAAATAAGGTAGTGCCATGGCGATTTATTAGCAAAAAAATATGTTATAACCTTCATATGTCTCATTGAAATATAACGCACAACATAAAAAAACTGAAAAATAAGGTAGTGCCATGGCGATTTATTAGCGTTTTCTTTTCTTTGATGGTCCGAGTCGGTTATTAATAACGTTTTGAGTATTGTCTTCGGTGTCATCGTAATAGGTGTTTATGGAAATATATTGCTCTTCCATTGTTAAGTCTTGGTCATCTTCGTCCTCAATGTCGATGTGAACCTCTGGAACATTTTCGCATGACTAACCACTGCAGAAACGACATACAACGGAACACTTCAACCCAGCTTTCCTGCAACCACATGCTGCGCCGCATCCTCTTCTACAAGTGCATGAGATGAATTTCAATAAGTTGTTGAGTGCTGCTGCTTGTTTTGTCATGGTGAGAGGAACAAGCCCATTGCTGCCCAGTTTCCAGCCCCAGTCTTCAGGTTTTTTCTCGATTCCATTCCATTTCTGGACTTAATGATATGTCCTGAAAGAATGATACCGCGCAGCATCCTTCGTTGGTGGCAATCAAGCAAGATTGAATTTACTTTTTGTGGTTGATCTAGTAAAACGTTTGTAGCGGATTTCTTCTAAGGTGTCTTCTTCCAAGTTGCCACCATACAAAGCAGAGTCCTGCTGTTTTCTGGAGCAAACAAAACTTCATTTTTCCTTGGTTGAAGATTGACGATGTCGTGTCACAGCCAGTAAAAGCATGGAGAAACAGAATATTCTCAGCTACTTTTTCATGTTTTAAACTATTAGCTGAATATATTCTTTCAGCAATTTTGCCTTTTCCTGGTTTTGTGGAGGTAGATGTTTCCTTGAGATGGTGCCAACTACGAAAACAGCATCAAATTTTGGGCACAAGGAAATCGTATCTTCTTCCGCCTGGTTGACAGTAATATGTAGCAGCCTGCTCCATTTTTTTGATGAGCATCGAAATTAAACGGCCTTTATTGTTTTCGTTGGCTAAAAATAATTCCTGGGAAACTTGTTGTAATTGAAATAAGCAACAAATATTGTTGATTAGTTGTTAATACCATATAGCAGCAAATTATCTTAGTTGTTTTTGTTAAAGTTATTTAATAAAATTATAGTTCAGAAATGCGATATTGTGTTAATATATTTCCTTGGTCCAATTCATATGCGACTGGGCTCGTATTCTTGAGTGTACGTCACTTGGGCGTCAACAAAAAGATTGTAGGAAAAATTTGGCCGGAGATTTCGTTATCTGCAAAATATTCTTCGCCCTTTTTGCCTCCGACCAAATTATTACTCCACCCAAATTGTTCCGCCCTTTTTACGATGTCCCGTTATACTTGATACATCGAAAAAATATCGATATCTAACTTTTATTCCAACATTTTGATCGTAAGATTAATCGCTGCGGATATATTTTGAAAAATACAGTTTTTTGTATCTTTAATTCAAGATGGCGACTCGAGCGGTCGCACCCCAAGGATTTTTCATCAAGACCTAAACCTTAACAACATATTAAAAAATTACTACTACACCACCTTTTGTATGGCAGAGGCCTATAATGGCCCCCCACTGGTTGGACTAAATAGTGTATGTAATGATTTATCTACTTTAAATTAAAATATTGTAAACCTTACCCTAACGTAAGGCTGTTGCCTTCTTCGGGCTCCGGTATTGGGTAGATGTTGTGGTTGAGGCGGCAAGGCTATCTCACCACTCCCGTTGTACGACATAGATGACGGCAGAGGGCATACTGGTTCTCTGAAGTGCTGGTCATAGAACATGTCCGGATAGTTTTCTCTGATAACAGCAACTGAAACACGGAAACTGACTAACTATAAAAGTGAGGATTTGGAATCTAGATAGCAATTCTATTCATTGCAAGTTCAAATTATAAGGTTATTTAATAAATAAGTACAAATATTACAACTGACTATATTTTGACTCTGGAAACACGACTATGAGATTTTTTCGTTGCCACTCGTATACAGGGTGTCTAGAGGGTGTTTCTAGAGAACTACAACATTTAGATCGGAGTTTTTTTTATACATCGTTGTTTCACAACGAGATCTATCGATTAAAAATATTTTCAATATGTTGGCAGTTCCAAAAATACCAGAAATTGACAATAACTTTCTTATTTTAAATGGGTACCCCCATTTTTTATTACATACTTGAATTATCTGTAAAATTTTATGAATTTTGATATCAAACATTAACCATTTTTGAGGAAAAAAAATATTTGTAAAATCGCTTATTTCTGGGGCTTACTCAACCGGGTCTCACAATGCAAATTCACCTCAAATATCCATTTAGTTGGTCATTGGCAAGCACTCTCTCATTGTACATGAAAATAACAAAACAAACATTTACTGATCTGGATAAAATTAATAGTTAAATAGTAAGACTCACCCGGGGGTACTCCGCCCCCTAGCCACTGATATATTCTATTCAATATATCCCATTCCATATTTTCCATCTAATTCAAATATCATTCGGTTATATATTGGTTAATAATCTTCAACAACTAGCTAGTGTCGCCTGAAATAGTATAGGCTTCCCCGGACGCAACTCTGCCGCTAAACAGATTCGCATCCCAATCGAATAAGCTAATTGGGGTACCTCACTAGTCTCTCTACCCCAACGCCGCATCGTGTCAATCGAGAAGACAAGGGAGACCTCAAACTCTCAAGACCAACCTCGAAGGAAAGACGTCACCAGAGGTTTTTTTCCGGTCAAACGACCCGTTGCCTTACAGTACTTGCAACGTTTATAGTCAAAAGACTCTCAACCCCCAAATAGCAGCTCTATGACAAAACACAACACAACAGCCGGCTGGCCAGTCTACTACTGAACCGCCGTAGGCAAGCTAAGTCTCCTCTTACATCACAATTTTACCGGATCGTAAATGTTTACATTACTTGCCAATGAATCATTTTACTATTTTCTCTAATCGACTTTAAAAATAGAGTGTTTTAGCATTACTAGATAAATAAATAGAGAGTTTCTGAATTATAAAACCATTATTATAACCAACTTATTTTCCAAGTTTTACATATTTAAAATTTTTATAAAAACTTTTTTATAACCTGCCTGACAAGAACATATATAACTTAAACGTCAAATTTAGTGATTACCACAGCGTCTGTGACATAAAGAGAAGACATGTAACTATCTATTTCAAAAATTAAATTGTTCGAATGGCATATACAGACCGGACCACCGTAGTAGTAACATAGGCAGAACCGGACGAATTAGCGTATACCCGTCCGCCGGATAAAAAGCTGGCGAAAAAATGCGATAAAATAGAAATAGGTCGATATGTGATAAGAATGTTTCAGAATTTGTATTTATTCGTGTTTTAATAGCCAAAACGAATACGTAGATTCTCGCGACAGTTCTCGTGTAAAATTTATTTTTTAAGTAAAATAATGGATGTTTACGAAGTTCGTGAGAAAATTCAAATTGTAAAATGGTATTTCCAAAATAGGTCTTATCGGGATATACAAACAATTTTTCCACAAACTTTTGTAAACAGGCCAATCCATCTTTATCTACTATATCAAGAGTTATTAATAATTTTGAAACACATGGGTGCGTGCCCCACAAAAACACAAAAAGCCTGATGTGTTGATTAATGAAAAACAGGAGTTAAAGCAAGTGTTCGTTTGTGCTACCGCGGATCAAAATCCCACGTTTTCAAGTAATCAAATTGCTGATGTGGTTGCTCTGCCTACAATGCCCGTATTGTTCAAAAATATTTGAACTGAAAATTTTGAACTGAAAAATGAAGCGCTTTTTATGAAGTCATGGCCAACTACGGTTTCCATTTAAAAAAACACATGTTTGTGTCATATGTCAAAAATGACGGGCTTTAGAAAAAAACGGAGAACACAATCTCATTAAGGATGTGATTATCTACAACTTTTATCTGAAAACTTTTTGTCTAAAATAGATTATAATGGAATTAGGGACAATTTTTAAAATAGCCGAAATTTATTTTTTCGAAATATCTAAGTAAGCCATGAACTTTTTAAAAAAAATCTGAAAGGCGCATATTTATAACCCCACAAAACTGCAATTCTTTTCTCATTTAACCGATTCTCTATCTCCAGTAGATTCCGAGATACCTATAGAGAACATCGTAGGAAACTCAGCCTGTATATTTTTTGTTTAAAGGCAATATTGTTAGCGGTTCGTTCGTTATAATTGTTGCATTGTTAAAATCTACTCTGTGTTCTGTTTCTCATGAAACAATGACAGGAAAATTTTATATCAGTTTTAATAAATGACATATATAGGAGTATATTTAATTGTCTTTTTCAAAGGCCTTTGTTACGCTGTTTTTTTCTTGATCAATAAATAATATAATATCTAATAATCATAAATCTTACTTACCTAGAAAATATCGATTTTTAACTTCAAACTAATTCCCTAACAACAAAGTTTGTATTGTTTTATTATATTTCACTCTTTTAGAATTGGTGAAAGAACATTCACTAGCTTGACGTCTCAGAACACTGACGAGAACCTGGCTGTATTCCGATAAAATTCGCTATTAGCATTCTAAAGCATAGATAGTAAATATATATTGATACTTAAGAGACATTCATGGAAAATATAAATATTAAATATCATAAAACTTTTTGCCTTTTAATTGTAGGTACTTGTACCCTCTTAAAGTTTACCACTTGAAGGATAATGGTATTTACCCCTGCAATGACTGTAATATTTGTATTAATTCAGTATAATAGTCTATATACAGGGTGAGTTTCCTACGACTTTCTCTATGGGTATCTCGGAAACTTCTTGGAGATAGAGAGTCGGTTAAATGGGGAAAGAATTGCAGTTTTGTGGGGTCATAAATATGCACTTTTCAGAGTTTTCTAAAAAGTTCATGGCTTACTAGATATTTCTGAAAACAAATTTCGGCTATTTTAAAATTGTCCCTAATTCCATTATAAGCTATTTTAGACAAAAGTTTTCAGATAAAGTTGTAGATAATCACATCCTTAATGAGATTGTGTCCTCCGTTTTTATTTAAAAAAATACAACTTTGATATTTTTTACTTATTTGGGACACTCTGTATCTTGTAAAATTATTTTTAAATTGTACCTCTAATAGTCCTTCATCGAACCCAAAACTTACAATTTGTAAAAATCTCATCGTTTAGCTACAATACTCCGTGTCGTATGTGGTGAACAACCCTGTATAACATTCGAACAATTTAATTTTTGAAATAGATAGCCACATGTCTTTTCTTTGTGTCACAATCAGTGTGGTAATCACTAAATTTGACGTTTAGGATATACAAAATTTTTTGACAGGCAGTTTTTTTCGTCCAAAATCGTTTAAATATGTTTTCTCAAGAACGGATAATGTTTAGAATATTTATTCAAAATCCATAAAAAAATTATAGAGAATTTAATACCGTATGATCGAAAAAAAAAACGGCGTCCAGTTGGCTTGGAAATGACGATCGATGACATTTCCCATATCATTTTACATATAAAATGACAGCGATCTTCATTTCATAGCCATCGTTGACGCCGTTTTTATTCGATCATACGGTAGTATGTAATAAAAAATGGGGACAGCCATTTAAAATAACAAAATTACTGTCAACCGGTATTTCCAGCTAGGGTTGATATTATATTTCATTCCAACAATTTTAATCATTGAAATAATTAGCCGCATGTCTTCTCATGTATCTTTTCTTTATGCCACAGTCGCTGGTCGCTGTGGTAATCATCAAATTTAAATAGTTTTTCTCATCAACGGTTAATGTTAGGTATAGAGTATTTGATAACAAAATTCATAAAATTTTACAGATAATTCAAGTATGCAATAAAAAATGGGGGTACCCATTTAAAATAAGAAAACTTCCGATATTTTCGGAAGTGCCGCCATATTGAAAATATTTTTAATAGATAGATATCGTTGTGAAACAATGATGTGAAAAAAATCTCCGATCTAGATATTGTAGTTCTCTAGAAACTTCTAATGCGCCCTCAGCCTAGGACACCCTGTATAACTTTCAAACTACCATGACGTATTTTTTACCAAGCTTACTTTAATACCAGCCTTTTAATTTGATTGGATTAAAAAAGCCTTATACAGGGTGAGTTTCCTACGATGTTCTCTATGGGTATCTCGGAAACTACTGGAGATAGAGAGTCGGTTAAATGGGAAAAAACTGCAGTTTTGTGGAGTCATAAATATGTGCCTTTCAGATTTTTAAAAAAGTCCATGGCTTACTAGATATTTCGAAAAAAAACAAATTTCGGCTATTTTAAAAATTGTCCCTAATTCCATTATAAGCTATTTTAGACAAAAATAGTTTCAGATTGTTGAAAGTTGTAGATAATTACATCCTTAATGAAACTGTGTTCTCTGTTTTTTTCTAGAGCCTGCCATTTTTGACATATGACACAAACATGTGTTTTTTTAAAGCTTAAAAAATAGCGCTTTTTATGAAGTCATGGCCAACTACGGTTTCCATTTAAAAAAAACACATGTTTGTGTCATATGTCAACAATGACAGGCTTTAGAAAAAAACGGAGAACACAATCTCATTAAGGATGTGATTATCTACAACTTTTATCTGAAAACTTTTTGTCTAAAATAGATTATAATGGAATTAGGGACAATTTTTAAAATAGCCGAAATTTGTTTTTTTCGAAATATCTAAGTAAGCCATGAACTTTTTTAAAAATCTGAAAGGCGCATATTTATGACCCCACAAAACTGCAATTCTTTCCTCATTTAACCGATTCTCTATCTCCAGTAGTTTCCGAGATACCCATAGAGAACATCGTAGGAAACTCACCCTGTATATTTTTTTGTTTAAAGGCAATATTGTTAGCGGTTCTTTCGTTATAATTGTTGCATTGTTAAAATCTACTCTATGTTCTGTTTCTCATGAAACAGTGACAGGAAAATTTTATATCAGTTTTTAATAAATGACATATATAAGAGTATATTTAATTGTCTTTTCAAAGGCCTCTGTTACGCCGTTTTTTTCGATCAATAAATAATATAATATCTAATAATCATAAATCTTACTTACCTAGAAAATATCGATTTTTAACTTCAAACTAATTCCCTAACAACAAAGTTTGTATTGTTTTATTATATTTCACTCTTTTAGAATTAGTAAAAGAACATTCACTAACTTGACGTCTCAGAACACTGACGAGAACCTGGCTGTATTCCGATAAAATTCGCTATTAGCATTAGCATAGATAGCAAATATATATTGATACTTAAGAGACATTCATGGAAAATATAAATATTAAATATCATAAAACTTTTTGCCTTTTAATTGTAGGTACTTGTACCCTCTTAAAGTTTACCACTTGAAGGATAATGGCTCGGATAATGGTATTTACCCCTGCAATGACTGTAATATTTGTATTAATTCAGTATAATAGTCTATATACAGGGTGAGTTTCCTACGACGTTCTCTATGGGTATCTCGGAAACTACTGGAGATAGAGAGTCGGTTAAATGGGGAAAGAATTACAGTTTTGTGGGGTCATAAATATGCACTTTTCAGAGTTTTCAAAAAGTTCATGGCTTACTAGATATTTCGAAAAAAACAAATTGCGGCTATTTTAAAAATTGTCCCTAATTCCATTATAAGCTATTTTAGACAAAAAGTTTTCAGATAAAAGTTGTAGATAATCACATCCTTAATGAGATTGTGTTCTCCGTTTTTTTCTAAAGCCTGTCATTTTTGACATATGACACATATATATGTTTTTTTAAATGGAAACCATAGTTGGCTATGACTTCATAAAAAGTGCCATTTTTTAAGCTTTTCGGCGATATAAGCTATAATATGTTTTCTTCGAAAAATTATCGAGCTATAGCCAATTCTTATCATTTTTAAATAATTTCACTTAGTTAGCCATGGAAACAAGTTAATCGTCTTTGCTCTCATAAATGTGAAGCTGTCACATCCAAACTTTGTAAATTAAAAATATGATTTTTTCAAATGAAGAAAAGCGTGTAGGATTCAACTTTTCTTGACCATACATTTTCGAGGATACGTTGACCGGTGAATGTTACGTTTTTTAGAGAACAGTTTTCAAGACTTGTTAGAAAAGTTAAATTTAGTTATAGCCAGTTCTTACCTTTTTTGACTAATTTCACTTAGATTGCATAGTATTCTTATTCTGTTATGATTTATAACTTATAAAAAATCGGAATATATTACTAAACGGTTCTTTAGAATTTACATTACGCTAACTAAAACTTAAAAAAATAATATCACTTCATACACTTTAAGTTATTTTATGAAATGTTCAAAAAATCCGCCATTGTTTTGAGTTGCATCTTTATAAAACTGAATTACTACTTATTCTCACGGAAGGACCGGTCGACTAAATTAAACTTCTCTCGTACCGCCACTTCGAGTGCCTCTCTTAATACATAAGTTCTTTTGTAAACCTTATTGTTAACCATACCGCATAAAAAAATCTAAAATGGATAGGTGAGGTGATCGAGTCTACCTCTTCCTATCCCTGAATTTGCATAATTATGATATAAATAATTTTTAACATTTCTTTCATTATGAGGGGGGGGGGTCATAATGAAAGTCATGTTGGAAACACTCTATTGATGCACGTATCTACACGCTTTTCTTCATTTGAAAAATTCGTATTTTTAAAATAGCCGAAATTTGTATTTTTCGAAATATCTAGTAAGCCATGAACTTTTTCAAAAATCTGAAAGGCGCATATTTATGACCCCACAAAACTGCAATTCTTTCCCCATTTAACCGACTCTGTATCTCCAGTAGTTTCCGAGATACCCATAGAGAACATCGTAGGAAACTCACCCTGTATATAAGGGAGAAATAATGGGGGTAATTACCCACCGAGAAAGAAATATCTAAATATGTTAAAATGCTGTACAAAATCAAATTTTAATAAAATAAATTAAATAAATAAATAAATGCCTTTATTGTCAAAACAATTTTACAGTTTCTAGATAAAGGTAAAGTAAGCAAACAAAAGAGAATACAAAACAAAACAACACAACACAAAATTTAATGTTTAAAATAAACATTTATAAATGTTTACAATGTCAAGGAACAAAAAAAATATAAATAAGATTCAAAAATATTTAGTAAGTTCATAGTAAATATAGTAATAGAAAATATTAGACCAGTGTTTACGAGATCAAATTCGATTATCAAAATATAAGTCATTTACGGCGTAGAAAGCCTTGCCTAGCAAATAAGATTTCAATGCTATGCGAAATGAAGAAAATGATGTTATGGATTTGATTTCAAATGGCAGGTGATGCATTTTTTCGAGCTGTATAATATTGAACTTTTAACTAACTCTGAGCGTGGGGTAGGTAGATAAAGATCTTGCTCCGCGTTGCTGAGTGGATAAGCGTGAGATGGCCTTTCTTGAAAAGCTGATACATGCTTACGTATTAGGCAAACGGATTCAAATATAAATAAGGAAGGAAGAGTAAATATTTTTAATTTTTTAAAAAAGTCCTGGCAATGAGTTCTGCTGTCGAGTGAATATTTAATATCGATTAGCTCTCTTCTGAAGCTTAAAAATGCGGTCAAATTGAGTCGCACAACACGTACCCCAGAATGGAAGGGCATATCCGAGGTGCGACTCAAAAAGTGCATAATAAACAGTTCTATAGCCACTGACAAGTTAAGCTCCTTAGAAACAGATCTTAATGCAAAACAGGCGTCCCATTTCAGAGAATTGTCTACAAGCCCTAAGAATTTTACAGATTTTACAACGTCAATGGTGGTGTCACCTTGACCAGATATTTTTATTGCTGTAACTCAAAAACTACGGGAGATACAAAATAAAGTCAAGAGAACGGTTTTGTAGAGAATTAAATTTTCTACCACAAATATTTGACATTTATTAATACAACTTTCTTATATCTCTGATAATTACAAAGTTATTGGCAAATGAAGTTTTTTGATGACGGGCGGACTAAAACATTGTTTTTTGGATTCTTGCGGTCAAAACGTTGAGAAAAACTATGAAACTATGATCCCTTCCCCGACACAAACGGTATATTGTGAGACAGGAAATTGTAGAGTAAAACAAGCCCTATAACATAGGATACAACATTTTAATGAACAGTGCTTTCCATAAAATGAAAAATAAATAGATGAGATCAATGTGTTGCCGACAGATTGCCCTAGACTTGTTTATTCGGTGCGGCCAACGCAAAAAAGACGCTAAGCAAACTTTATCCTATGATGTATGTTTAAGTATTTGTTTATTAACAAGAAAGCGTATCGGTTTTTTTGTTACAAAGTACTGATTGACACTTCGATTTTGCGCCCCCAAAATGTTGCGCCTACGTGCGTGCACGCACTGCACGCTCGCCAGGAACGGCCCTGGCAAGACATATTACCCGTTCTCACAGATTAGCCAGACTATTTTTTTTTTTCTTAACTGCACAACATCTCTCACTAATAGAACTATTTTTATCGCTGGAAAAGAGTGCAATATACAGGGTGTCCCAGAAATAAGTGCAAGTATTTTAAGCAGGGGTTGTAGAGGTCAAAAGAAACATTTTTTCTCTTTACCATTTTAAGTAAGTCCAAAATAACTGAGTTATTTTACTTTGAAAGTTTAAACAAAAAATGCTTTTTTGCTTAAATTTTGAGAACCATTGAATCTTTTCTGGATTTTCTTTCATGTAAATTTAATCTACTACCTATGTTGCCACATTATCAAGAAATTATGTTTTTTAACTTAAAACTAAGAAAATTTCCAAAAGTGTTTTCAAAAAATTCCAAATTTTCCAAAAAAAATTTTCGCAAAAAAACCTCATACGGGTGTTTCTGAGGCTGAAATATACTGCCAGTTAAAATACTTGCACTTATAACGAGAAACACTATAAACACAAGAAAATGGGACACCCTGTACATCTCTTAAAATATTTTAAAATTGTTTGCAACTATTGCCAGTATATTTTACAAAAAGGACAGGAATAAAAATCTCAAATAGCCTGTTATGAACCTTTTCCGTCACATTGGGACACCCTGTATATACAAATGTTTTACCTGTAGTATCTAAAGTTCTACCTGTCTATTTGTGTTCCTACGGTCGAATACAGCACGGCGTGTAAGCAAGCGCATTCAATTCGTCTAGGATAAAATTATGAAAATTTTTTAAAATCTAAAATATTCCTATATTCGCTTAAAAACCGCCGTAAAAATCAATTAAAAATTCTAAATATACGGAAAAAAGTGACAAAAAGGATCCGGGTCTAGCTATATTGGTCGGGCTGACACAAGGACAGGAATAAAAATCTCAAATAGCCTGTTATGAACCTTTTCCGTCACATTGGGACACCCTGTATATACAAATGTTTTACCTGTAGTATCTAAAGTTCTACCTGTCTATTTGTGTTCCTACGGTCGAATACAGCACGGCGTGTAAGCAAGCGCATTCAATTCGTCTAGGGTAAAATTATGAAAATTTTTTAAAATCTAAAATATTCGTATATTCGCTTAAAAACCGCCGTAAAAATCAATTAAAAATTCTAAATATACGGAAAAAAGTGACAAAAAGGATCCGGGTCTAGCTATATTGGTCGGGCTGACACAAGGTTCCCGCTCCCAGGCGCGATCCCACTACTGCACGACGCGGGGACTTTTGGCTGCTGGGTTACCCCCCTGGCCCGTTGCGCCCCTCCTTGGCCGACCTGGCTACCTAGGGCTCCCCCCAGGTGTCCATATCGACGCCGAGCTTAGTGTGGACGCCCGGTCGACGCGAGACGCCTTGCACCAGGACTCCCGACCTCAAACCATCCGCCGAATCCGACCTCCAAGCAGCTGGATTACAGGAGACGCCACGCTCCCAGTCGAAAGAAGTTCTGCTTATCGGGGCCTCTTTCGTCCGATATTATATTTAAAGGAGGTCAAAATGGAATATACTGATATAATTCTTGTAATGATTAAAGAAAACATCTGAAAATTATTATAAAAACAAAGAAATAAACTTTAATATAGTTTTAATAAATAAAATTGTCATTTTAATGTACTATTTACTATTTACTAGTTGCATAATAACGTAAGTGTATATTGAGTTGCCTATGAAATACTAAAAGCAAAGCTAAAAGCATAGCTAAAAGCAAAGAAGTTTGTTGATTTTTGTCTTGATTATACTTTTTCTACAAACTATAATAATTAATAACAAGCGTTGTGCATTGAAAAAAATAAGCAAAGTGGCACATTTTTATATTAACAAATGTTTATAATTACAACATAATAAAAAGAGATTGTAGAAAAAACTAATCGTACTCCAACTCTAAAGAAGCATTTTGCGCCCTAAATATCTATGTATTAAGCTAGAATACATAAAATTTATATATTACTAATATAATAAATTATTTATAGATTACTAATTACTGTTTGCTGTAAAATAAGACTATACACTATAGTACTATAGTTCGTGGTAAAACATTTTTAATTCTTATTTTAATTGTAGATTCGGAAATTATAATTATTCAATTATATGGCGAAGGTGCTGGGTTTGTGCCAATTGGGTTATGGTATACATCAGTATACATTTAAAACTTATTTTTTTTTTTCGTTTTTAGTAACATCTTTGGTAACATGATTTTTTTAGAAAAACTGCCACAGTAAAATGTTAAATTTGTATTTAATTTAAAAAATAAATGGTATAAAAATTATTAACATTGTTTTAAACTTATCAAATAATTACATTATTATTTTCAATACATTAACATTGACCATTTCCAAGCCATGTAACATGTAAGCACAAATGTAAGTCATAATGTAAGTATTATTTTAACAATAAGTCGGCATAAGCTCCACTTACTAGATCTTCTTTTTGTACTCCTAGTTGTTTCATAATTTCATATGCCACTTTTTCACCTTCTTCACAAGTTTGTTCCGGTTTCAGACAAACCTAATATAAATATTTTCCACATTTTACCATTAAGTTACAAGAATTATAGCATAATAATGATTACAACAAAACATATTTATTAAATTATATGAATTCAATGCTCTACGTATACCTCTAATTCCATGTAATTCCCTAAATTTTCCACCTCATCTATATGAATTCTTGTTTGCCCAGCCAAAAATAAATGCCTAACTTTTTTCACTTCATTTTTAGACCCTAGCGCTTCTGTTAAAACTTGGTTTAGATTATCTATATCTTCAACATTTGCTTTCTTAAATACAGATAATTTTGGACCTTCTGTATCAGGTCTATCATAAAAAATAAGCTCACCATTACCAGACTAAAATATAATAATTTATGTTTAGATATTTCTATAGTATTTTAAAATACTCAGTAGTACATCTGTAAATCTCCTTAATTTTAAACGACCTTTTGTAGTGTTATAAAATGTATCGTGTTGTTTAAGAATATCAGAACTTTGGGATATTTCTTTAGCTTTCTGTAACAAAATTACAATATTTTTTACTTTAGCTTTTATTTCTACGTTTCTCATCTTGTGCTTCTTCTGTATTTATATTAACACAACGCAATATATTGTATAACAAAATTTAAAAAATATATAGTTTATGGTTTATTAAATATTTTTCTCTGAAGAAATTAAAAATAAAACATTTAAAATATTAAAATTTTCAAAATTCAAATTTAGTAGGGTTAAGAACTTGAAAGGGGTTAAGCAAAGACATTAAATCTATGGGGTTAAGTGACTATTCTTCTTTTTCTTTTACATCATCTTTTTACTAAAGAATAATCCATACTATTGATCTATACTACATATCATATATAATGTTAAATTAAGAATGAATTAAGAATTAATCAATACTTGATAACTTCACGATATAATGCTCTTTTTTATGCAGCCAAATATACACTATTTTATTGATCTATCTAACCCATGATCTAACCCATCTAACCTCACTAAAATTGCAATGTTTTTTGTTTTTCAATTGAAAACAAAGTTCAGTGCATGTTCAGTCAATGCCTTCTATTAAAAGATCAGCCTACGGGCGAGATTTATGACGTCACGCTAGTTAGATATAACGGATTAATAAATATGTTCTAGAATACATGGAAAACATAATTATTCCTCAGATTTTTGGTTTGTATTTTAAAAATGATATAGTTTAAATGAAATATACATAATATACAGTTAATAACTACAACATATATACCTATTTATAGTAATAAATACTTTGGCAAATAAACTATGAACCATACATATGCAGCAAATGTTTTACAATGTACAAATAATGTATAGGTACATAAGATAATGGGTAAAATGTAAATATATATTAATTTTGGGGGTTTGAAAATCGATCTAATTTAACAAAAAACATTCAATATCTACTAATAGTGATGTATTATTATTTGCATTCACAAAATTTATATGTATATTTTGCAGATATCAATGTTCGAAAAATTATATTTACAAATAATACAATATTATCTAAAAAAGGCGTCAGCGATGGCTATGAAATGAAGATCGCTGGCATTTTATATGTTAAATTATTCTAAAGCTCTTTTGATTTTCTTGGGATTTTTAGGTTCGGAAAAAACGCTGATTAAGTTTTTCATTTGGGTTTTCATTATTTTTATTTGGTTTAAAAAAAAAACGTTTCGGCTAACTATAGCCTTCACAGTGTTGTGTCATATGAGAAAAATAGTGTCGAATATAATCCAAAAATTACATATACAATATAATTCACACCTCATAATGTTTACTGCAATTAATAAACTAATATAAACTTATCAAAAGATGACCACATATTTTTTTAAAATTATTATTCTTAACACTAAAATTATCTACATTGACTATAGAGTACGCAGTAAACATTATGTGCGTGGTGTGCATATTTTATATGCAATTTTTGGATTATATTCGACACTATTTTTTTCATATGACACAACACTGATGGAGGCTATAATGTTAGCCGAACCGTTTTTTTTTAAACCAAATAAAAATAATGAAAAACCAAATGAAAAATCAATCAGCGTTTTTCCCGAACCTAAATTCCAAAAAAATCAAAAATTTAGAATATTTAGAATCAAGGTTCAAGAATATCAAATTTTCCAAGATTGTAAAATTCTAGTTAATTATTTTATGTGTACAGTTATTTAGGGAATGTCATCGATGTTCATTTCCAAGCCAACTAGACGCCGATTTTTTTCGATGATACGGTATAATTCTTACGTAAAATGTAAATAACATTAGACCAATTAAAACAAAGAAATATGAATTTCTTAGTATTTTTAGTAACACCTTTATTCTTAAAACTTAATTTTGTATTATGCAAATATACCAATTTTATTGTTATTTTATTCATATTGTATTCAGCCATCACTTAAATATTTGATATTAATTTGGTATTATAAATAATCAATACTATTCATTAAAAATTACTGAACAAATATATGTTATGCTTAACATACATTATATATTATCAAACAAAAAACACATTCTTCTTTTTTTAAACTGTATCAGTCTTGTCTTTACAAAAATCTTTTTTAAAATTTGAACTCAAAATAATAATCTTTTCATGATCTCTAATACACATATTCTTTATTTTTCCCTAGATCATAATACCTACTTACGTGTTTGAATCTATCGAAGCTGAACCAGCAACACTTGGAGTGGAGATTCCACAATATGAATAAAATAAACATAATTGTCCAGTTTTCATTAATACCATCATGGGAGAATATTATTTTTAAATTTATTAAAAGATATTTTCAATAAAATTCTCTTGATTTATAACTCGTACCCACTTTTCTTGCTCTTCCGGACACTTTAGGCTGCCTTAGTATAATAACTATCCTTAGTAACCATCCTTTCCACCAGGAACACAACAAAGATGAGGCATAGCACCAATAACACACTCCACTTAAGCTTTATTGATGAATTGTTAGAGTCTTAAAAACACACACAAAAATCACGATAAGTAAAAATGTATGGGCACTTTTAGGTTAAATCACTTGCACAACGTGTAATTTTAAAATTTCTATTTTTTTTGTGCGAAACCTAGTGACCATATATCTGGTAGTAGTTTAATATGTCACTTCAACACCAAAATAATTAGTTTTTTGCACTACAATAATAAATAATACCAAAAATCAAAGAGTTAAAACCAAAAATCAACCGACAAAATATGAAACGGAATCTAACCCAATATCTAAGTATGTACAGCTGATGAAGTAAACAAAAGTCCGCCCGTAGGCTGATCTTTTAATAGAAGGCATTGGTTCAGTGAACATGAACATTTATAAAAATGCATTTAAAATGTACCAGTTTTGTTACAAAAGACGTGTTTCCGTATTTAACAGACAATATAAATGTTTTGCTTGTGAGCTAGGAAACAGAAAATATATGATTAGGACACCGAATAAAGTTAAAAGAACCCATAATTTTAATAGTAAAAAAATGTCCAGCGACATTTCCTCAGCAGATTATAATATAGATCAAGAAGCAACAACTGACCTTTATCCCTATTTAGAAACTGAATCTGATCCTCAAAGAGAATCTTTGTGGAACTATTTGTTTTTAGATAACACAGACGACAAAACGATTATTTTAAAGAAGTGTGCTTCGGTCGAAGAAGTATTCAATTTTTTTAAGGAGCACTCTGACAATATTAGTGACAAGCATATCTCACAAATTATATTAAAGCTGAGTGATCTACAGACTTTATTTTTTTATCATATGGATGATGAGACTGCAAGGAGGGAAGATTTTTTTAAAAAACTTCAAGAATATAGAGAGTTCTCTGCAATTTTAAGTATATTAAACGATAAAATAAGTTCATATGATCCCTTTCTCTTAAGTTATGTTATATTACACTTGCATAAATTAGGAGTGCCTACAGAGAGCTATCTAATTCAACACATTGCAGTTCAACTAACAAGACATCTTTTAAAAGAGTTTACATTAGAAATGACTGCTAATTTATTTAAAGTTATTTTCAAGGACCATAGTGTACGTCCGTATAACATTGTTAAAGATCTAATTCCCACAGTTTTACAGCAAATAGGTACGTATTTATAATTTGTATTCATTAATTTCTTATTAAATTTCAAAGTTGATTTTAGAGAAAGTTGACAACGTAACTGATTTAGAATATGTAACAATATGTTTAAACAGAATGTTTCAAGTTCTAACAAATGATGTATTAGACAGATTAGAAACAAAAGTCGTGGAATTAATTGAACAAAAAGTATTAAAAAATAGTGACAGTCATACCATATTGAAAATTATTTTATTATTCAATTATCCCGCATGGAGAACTAGAAATACCAGATTTATATCTAAATGTATTTTATTTATGGAGGATTATATAGAGTTGCTAAATTTTACAGAAATGGAATTCCTACATGATGTAAGTCAACTGCTAGCAGTTTTTCACATATTTATTTAAGGTACATTCAGGCTGAGACGTCGAGCGTCGCGTCGCGTCCGCGTATCGAAATGGAATCAATTCACTTAACTTAAATTACACCGTTCAGGCAGACAGCGTCGCGTTTGGCGTTGCATCCGCTGAGCAGCTCGTCGGGGGTTCGAGTTCAATGGGGCGGACGCGACGCAAACGCGACGCGACGCTCTCAGCCTGAATGTACCTTTAGAGCGCAGTGGATGAAAAATATGAGAATAGTGTTTTTTCATAGTTGCAATACTACTAAAAACTACTTTTGAGCCAATGTTTTTATAAAAAACTACCCTTTATTTTCCTCAGAAGAATGCTTTTCGCATTTGTAGAAACACTTTCATCAATTACATGATAGTTACACCGCAAATACCTGCACAAATCCTACCGACTGCGCCAGTTTTATTTTTAAGTCCCTGAAGTAGTACAGTAAGTTTATTTTATAGTTTACAGTAATAATTCAAAATAATAAGTTGTAACTTAATAAAGTTTAACCATTGTCGCAACTCAAACCTTAGGGGCTTTGAGACTAGAGCCACTATAGGTACTAGCCTGTACTAGGTACTCTTTTGTTTAGTTGAAATATATAGATACAAAATAAGTTATATGGGGAAATGTCAAGACTTTTGTTTATGAGTACAAAGAGAATAGCTTACATAGATGTAATCATGAGACTGAGACTATCACTCAGACTGTCGACTCTGCCTACAAGACTAACTGAGGGTGCATCCACACTATCCTAGAAAAAGCGGAACAGCATATCGGCGTAACGACCTTGAATCGATTTCCAGTAATGCTATTGGCTGAAATTTTTGACAGATGAATTTTTTAGCCAATACAATTGCTGGAAATCGATTCAAGGTCGTTACGCCGATACGTCGCAAGGTGCTTCGTCCCATGGACAAAAATCGAAAAAAACGTTAAAATTTACTAATATCTGAATATGTAATTTTATACTTATAGCAATGTTCAACCATCCTGTATATTATTTTTCATAAACAGCGTTTTTTGTTAGCAAATATTTTCACTAAAAATAAATTTTGCGATCATTATCTTATCAGTAAAAAGAATAACATTCATAGTAGTTCTGTATAATATGGAGTTAAACGGTACGTACTTAATTGAAAGTCACTATGGATATTGTTAAACAAGGTATGTACTTTAAATTTATTTCTAAACAAGTTCGTGATTGTTTAGTTTTTATTTATTCTTTAAGATGGTTCTTAAATGGGTATAAAAATTTTACGTTTTCAAACTTCAACAAGGCATTTAAAAAAAACATATTAAAACATATCGTATTTATTGAATATTTTTGTTGTCATATTCATGCACTTTTAATTTTTGTATAGTTCACCTGCGTCTGCCTGCGACGAACTATATTTTATAATACTTTTCAGATGGAGTAAAATTGATAAGCAATGCCGATCTCGTTAATACTTGGCTTGATCATAAGGACAAGAACTCAAAATTATTTGTATTTCAAAAAATGTGTTCTTTATTAGATATTGATAAACCTTCCAGTCAAATGAGACACCACTTGTGCCTGAAAAAGCCCACTATGTCGGAGCGAAACGTCACATAAAAAAAGTTTCCATCTTTCAATTTATTATAAAACCTCATACACAAGGAAAGGAAAAAATATATGGATATGGTCTATTAAAGAGGTAACTATTAACATCCAAACCCCTCATACCAACAAAAAGAACAGTAACAACGCGAAAAAGTAATATGTTAGAAAATGATATACAGAAATATCTTATATGTGAGGATACTTCATCTACCTGTGATTTAGATATAAATTTGGAAGATTCTGTCAGCAGTGATTCTTCTGAATCAGAGTAGTTACGATCTATGCATTTAGTTGTCCTAAAGTAAATTTATAGTATCTTAAGTTTTTTTTTAATTAAATATAGCATTAATGTTTCTTTTTCATTAAAGAAAAACTGTTTTATCTTATATTGGGCTTATATTGTAGGAATCATGTTCTAATGTTATTTCAATTCTTTTTTATCACAGGGATTTAGTTAATACTTACACCGTCTTCATACTATAAATTATTATTTCCTTAGATGGAACACAGCTCCAACATTTTTATTATCATTTAGTACAATGAGAGTACTCATCATCTGTGTCAAATAAACCTAGTTTGAATAAATTGCCTACAATAAAAGAGAAGTTAGAGCCATATGTTCGAAGCACTCTGCGCCGTTCCGCTGTTTCTAGAATGGTGTGGATGCGCCCTCAAGGATTTGGGTTTACCTCAAATTATCTTAGTGAAATATGGGTTTTCCCCAAATTGATATAAACCCAAGTTGGCCTATATCGGCTGTCTTGCCATTAGAGATGAGCAACAAATCGCACACTGCGATTCAATCGCAGCGATTTTAAAATCGCAATCGCAACCTGCAATTGGCTCTCATAGGAAACTGCGACTGCGATTTTTTCTATTTGCGGGTTTTAATTTAGGCAATCAGTATTACTATAGTTGCGAGTTGCGATTTTGCTGCAATTGTGATTTTGTAAACTAGGACCGTGAGAACCTTCTATCTGCGAGTTTGAATTTTTAGTAGTTGCGATTTGCGATTTTGTTGCGAATATAATTTTGTGGTCCATTGGAGCATTTTATAGTAAACTGCGATTGAATTTTTTCTCTGAATTTATATAATTATAGAGAAGGTATTATTTTCTAGGGCCAAGATCAATAATATACGGGGTGTTCCTCAAGAGTGATTCACCCCTATAACTTTTTTATTTTTTCTGATAAAAAAACGAGATTTGGTATATTAGCATATGACACAAATTAGGATTGATTGACGTATTGAATTCGTTTCGATCACTTCCTGTTTCACCGGAAATGACTACAACTTTTGATTTTTAAATGGCACCCTCGGTATTTTTGAACTTTATTCAACAGAAAATGACACTCTGAATAGAATGGTATATCATATTATCAACTTTTGAGTTTACGCTTAAAAAAATCGTATTTTAAATTTCAATCTAGAGTTCCATGGCTGTGTTAAAAACACTAATTTTTAATCAAGAATCCTTGAAAAAAAAATATTTAATTGTCTATTATTTTTCGTGTGTTGGCCGATTAAAAGATGCCCAAATTGTATTTTTAATCATATCTCAACTTTTTCAAATAGAACGAGGGTGGCTCATTAGCATATTTAGAAAAAGCATTTTTTATGAAAAATTTGGTACCACTCATTTGGTATTTCGAGTCAAATTGTTATGAACCGCATCCAATTAAACCATATGCAAAAATGTCAAAAGTTGATAAAATACCGGTACGCCTTTCCCTATCAAGTAAAGTAAAATCACGATGGCAAACCGCTTATTTTTAAAAGACTTTTTTTGAAAAGATAACTAGATAAAATCATTAGATATGTTTCTGAGCAACTGAAATGGAAGGATATCGTTAGGGTGTCCATTTTTTTTAATAACGAGAAAACGTCAGTAATTGCGATAATTTAAAAACTCAACATTTTAATACATAACACGCCATAGCCATTTTTTACAAGAAAAATTCGATAAGGTTGTTTTTTTCATTCAAAAATTCAAACACAACCCATCCATTTACTTTTAGTGAATAGCAATTTTCAGCAATCGTGTAACTTTTTATTTATAAAGATTTTCACATACTGTCTGCGAAGAAAATATACCAGAAATGTTACGAAAGTTTTTGAAAAAAACTACAATCAATTTTTTCTAATAGATTTCGAGATATCGACTTTTGAATGTAGAGTTCTAATAGCGCGACCACTGTCGAACCCCAACTCAATTCCACTTATTTTTACCAAAAATGCAAGTGTTTCTAACTTGCACTTGAAAATTTTCAAGCTATAGGGAGAATTACAACGACTCGTTAAAAAATAAACAAATAAAGTATCCCGAGACGTAATTAAATCGTGGAGCTGAACAGAGGTACTGATTGGGTTGACCGGTCGACTGCGACAAATCTGCTATATCCCCTTCCACGTCTCTTAGCAATGCGCACAGTTTCTCTCTGCGCATAGCTTCATTATACCCTTTTTACATACGGAAATCTTGACCCAAGACTAACCTTTGCCAGCCCTTAGTATAGGTACATACACAGACAATTATACAGACCGGACCACCGTAGTAGTAACATAGGCAGAACCGGACGAATTAGCGTATACCCGTCCGCCGGATAAAAAGCAAGCGAAAATGTGATAAGAATGTTTCAGAATTTGTATTTATTCGTGTTTTAATAGCCAAAACGAATACATAGATTCTCGCGGCAGCTCTCGTGTAAAATTTATTTTTTAAGTAAAATAATGGATGTTTACGAAGTTCGTGAGAAAATTCAAATTGTAAAATGGTATTTCCAAAATAGGTCTTATCGAGATATACAAACAATTTTTCCACACACTTTTGTAAACAGGCAATTCCATCTTTACCTACTTTATCAAGAGTTATTAATAATTTTGAAACACATGGGTGCGTGTCCCCACAAAAACACAAAAAGCCTGATGTGTTGATTAATGAAGAACAGGAGTTAAAGCAAGTGTTCATTTGTGCTACCGCGGATCAAAATCCCACGTTTTCAAGTAATCAAATTGCTGAGGTAACAGATTCTTCACCTAGCACGGTTAAAAGAGCCCTTAAAAAGAATGGATACCGATCGTATAAAGCGCGCAAAACTCAATGAAGACCAATTTTGGCGTATGGCGTTTGGTGAATCTGTAATGGAAAAGGCCAATTTAGATGAAAACTTTATTCGGCGTATAGTTTTCACCGACGAATCAAGTTTTCATTTATTGAGTCGTCATAACCCTACACAAGTACGATATTGGTCTCGGGAAAATTTGCACAAATATTTTGAGGTACGCACGCAATATCCTCAAAAAAGCTAAATGTTTGGGGTGGTTTTGTAGGGGAGCATATGATTGGTGCATTTTTATAGAGGGTAATTTAACTGTTGCAAAGTATTTGGACTTGTTACAACAGCAGATTGTGCCTAGAATTCGTGAGTTATTGGGAGAAAGATTCCACAATGTCTGGTTTCAACAAGACGGTTGCCCTGCCCGCAATGCCCGTATTGTTCAAGAATATTTGAACAATACTTTTCCTAACCGTTCAATTAGTGGATATGGAACTATTTTGTGGCCCGCTAGATCACCAGATCTTTCTCCCAATGATTTCTTTTTGTGGGGTTATGTAAAATCCAAAGTGTATGGTCATAATAAGGCTAATAATCTGGATGAGCTTCAAGTAAAAATACGAGAGGCTATTTCCAAACTATTAGCCCTAATATGTTAGCCAATGTCAGACGGGGATTTTACGACCGCCTAGGCTTCTGTCTAGCACAAGAAGGTGGTCTTTTTGAACACTTGTTATAACTTTTTTTATTTAGAGTAATATTTTAGTTTTTTTTTATTGAGGTATTTTTTAATTTTGGAAATGAGTTTTGGGTTTAGAGAATTTATTTATTTTTAGTTCTGGCGTGTAAACACACTCAAATAATAAATATTTAAGTATTTTTACACTCCTCGCGTCGTATTCCTAGTCTGTCACGACCGACCCATCCAAGCACAACTGCAACTGCCTACTGCCTGACCAGCCGACTAACCGGCAGTGAATAAGTACAAACGCAATCGGGTAAGCGTAAATTCGTCCGGCAAGTTGCTATGTTACTAGTAGCCTGGTCTTCTCTGTATGCCTGGCACAATATTTAAATATTATAATCGCAATCGCAGGTTACAATCGCGACGATTTAAAAATCGCAATCAGCAATCGCAGTTTTGCTTATCTTTACTTACCATTATTATTTTTTATATATATTTCAAGGTATTAATAAGCAACCAGGAACCAGGCGATGCACTGAATACGATCCAACGTTGTTCAGCCAAACACATCCAACAACTAGAAGACTCACAAAGCCACAGAGAAACGCGACTGAAACTGTTCTGTTGCCTGATATACTTTTCCTCTCCAGCCAGCATCGTTCAGTTCCGAAAACACATCACAAAATACCTAAACGACAAAGAAAACTTAGAAAGCCTAACTTTGCTCAGAAAGATTTTCTCGTACCTGAAAGTATCCGATAAAAAAATGTACGAATTTTACTGGGACAGCAGTTGCCAAGTGCTGAAAGAATCCAGAAACATCCAAACTATGTTGAAACTGATGGACAATTACAATAATTTCGTTTATTCCAATTCGAAATCCCGCCATTTTGCTTTCGAACATCACGTAATAAAACTAGCGAAAAAATATTTCTATGACGGAACATTGACGCTCATTCCGGACCACTTTTTTCAGTGTTTCTCGTTCGCTTTTTTGTACTGCGCAGACACTGGTTTCTTAAACGACCTCTTAGTCGCTTTTCGCGAGAATAATGTTCAGATGGGAATGACCTCGTGCATGAAAATGTCACAAGCGCTCCATCTATTGGGTGACGTCAGAAACGTAATCTTAAAAAAAGAATCGATAGAGGAGGTGAAGAATATTTTGAATAAGGTCACTGAAAGAATTTATACGTACAATAAAAGATCGAACACGAAAAATTTATTAATTAAAAGCGCGGTGTTGAGAGATGATTACGAAACAGAACTTATAACTGACATATTAGAGTCTATGAAAGATATTGATTGTATGTCTTCGAAGGTCCTGGAAGGCATATGTTTTAACCTGTATTCGACTGACTCTTTGATACCCGAAGCTATTAATAAATGTACGGATTACGTGATACAGAATAATAGAAGTATCTTAGGGTTCAACGCTGAAAAGCTGCTCAATGTTTGTTACTACTTGAATTATTATCCGATTTATGCGGATAAATTATTTCCTATAGTTACCGACATTATTATAAGGTGAGGGTTTTTTTCTTGGTTTTTTTAATGTTTTTTAGTAATAAAAATGATCTTTTAGGGACCAGGAGAGAGCTAGTGGATTATCTTTTTTGCAAGCAGCATTAGCGTTAAGCTACTTTAATTGTATGCCAAAGAGTTTTGTGAAGCAAATTTTTAATGTCGAGTTTCTGGATAGGTTGGACGTGGAACTTAGGAATTGTTATTTTAAGGTAAGTTTTAATTATACAGGTTGTTAATTTGTTTATTACTCGCGGCAAGAGCTTTATGGTTGAAATATGGCAACCTCGGCCCGCTCGTCGAGAGACGACGCGACGGGACGAGTCGGCAGAAAACCCTGTAACTGTCCAGTTAACAACCTGTATACAGGGTGGTCCGAACTGTATTCCAGATACTTCGGTAGCATATTCTGCAGGTAAAAATAAGTAAAAAAGTTCGTATAAATGTATGTCCTAAAATGCTTCGTTTCGGAGATACTGGGTGTTGAAATTTAATTTTTAATTCGATTTTTTCCAAATAATTTCCGAACTAATCTTGATATTTGGATGAAAATTGTTGTCTGGGAATTTTCTGATATGAGAAATTTGATTTTCATGTCAATATGACTCCTACTGGTCGAGGGCGCCACCTACATATTTTTTAACTGGTTTGAAGCGTAATAACTTTTCGTCCGTACCTGTACAAGACTACTGAGTAAAAAAATATACATTTACGACGTTTTTTACGTAAAAAATGTCTCATGGTAAAAATCGCTACAAGTAATGGTTTTTGAGATATTTGGACTCGAAATTATCAATACCTGTCATCGTTGACATCAATTAAACATGTTGACTAAATAGTTCTTACATTGAAATCATAAATTTTAAATGTTTTTGTGCAAAAAAATTAACAGAAACTGTTTTATTGTCATTTTTTCACAGTTCGCGTTTTTTTATTGACAAGATTAAGATTGAATTATATAATGTAAATACATAAGTTTATACAGGGTGTCCCTCAATAACATGTCAATACTCGAGGGAGTGATTCCTCAGGTCATTTTATGGAGAAAATTTCCCATAGACATAGGTCCAGAATGCATTGCTTACAAGGTGTAAGATACAGGGTGTTGAAAGTGAAAAACACTACATTTTTATGCGATAAAAAAAATTGTAACTGCCAAACTCGCAAAAATTAGCAAAATTTCTTATCAAGGCCTTCTAAAGGAATACTTAAGCTACAAAACCACCCAGATTGATATACTTGATAAGGTTCGATTACATACTGAAAGTTTACATAAACATTCTGTTATATTAATTCTATTATTGAACTAGCAGATTAATATTGTTCTAACTACAAAATAACAGTTATACTAAAGAGTAATACTAAACAAGTCTTTCTTCAACCCCTCCATACTAATATAAGATCAATAAAAGATCGCGATTAGTAAGAAAAACTAAGATAATTATTATTAAGTAAATTTTCTAAAAGCACAGCGATACACAACCCGTCTATTCGAAGAACAATTTGTGATTGTCGCGGAGTGGTCATTGACCCCTACCACCCACCCTCGAATACATTCATGTTTTTACAAATAATTCCTGGTATTGGTTGGTTGAATTTAGATTTTTGAGTATTGGCCAACTTTTTGGGTTAAATACCCTTTAGTGCGCCGGACCATAACTTTTTTTTTATTTTTTTATTTTTTAAAAAAAGCTGTAAATATTTAATAGCATAGCAATCAAAATACGGATTGCGTTGGTTTCACTCTTTTTGGTGAGGTTAGATTGATTATTTGGTGCTTTGAATAACACTAAGGAAGGAGCATAATGCTATCCATGTATTTATGCATGGTGGTCGGAAAAAGGACTCTAGGGTGGGGATCCTTGACAGTTCTGTTTGACGATTCATTTGACACATTTTAATTTGATTTGAAATTTTGTGGATTTGTCAGTCTTTACGGAGCTTATTTTATGTTATTTATTATTTATTATAGTGCTGATAGTTGTATAAAGGTAGTAAATTTACATGGAAATTGTGGCAGAACTTAAATTAACAGTGACACTATCGCGATTTATCGAAAACGACTAAAATAGTTGGTCGTGTAGCGTGCGGTAGATCTCGGCAAAAATCGAGTTAAATAATGGAACAACTTTTCGCTAGTAAGCGACTATATAATATACATACGTGTAGTAAACCGACCATTTATGAAATTCACTTAAATTAACTAATTATATATTTTTTCTTGAATTTTTGCTTTTATTTACTACTTGTCAAAGATTAGATGTCAAAGAATTTAGATACGTCAATTTGACTTACCTGCTTCAGTAGCGTATCGGATGTTTGTGTTAATAAATAATTATTAAAACTTATTTATTTTTATTATAATAATATGTTTTTATAACAATTTTAATAACTACCAACATTTATTCACAACGTAAAATAAAAAAAAATATTGAGTCTACGCCACGTCTACCCTACATCATAGTTTTACATTTTTTAAATAAAATTAGAATGGCACTGATAAACCGGAATTTAAGTCGGCCATATTTGAGTCCCATCGCGGTGGACTTAAGATTTTTGATATGCTCCTTCCTTAGTCTTCTTATTCAAAGATTTGGTGAGGTTAGTTGCGTTGGTTAAGTTGGTTATTTGGTGGGGTTGATTGCGTTGGTTGGGTTAGCTATTTAGTAGGGTTGGTTTGGTTTTTACTAATTTACATTTGTTTAGCGTTGGTTAGTCTCTGGAGTAAGTTGTTGGCATTTTTATTTCCGGAGCCGGCATCTGTGCTCCCGAATTTTGGAAGCCGGCAGCGAACTATAATAAGGAAGTGCTTATTAAAACATAACCATATAAATACTGTTGTATATTTTTGAGAAGCTTTTAAAAAGAAAAATTAGCTTCTTGGCAAATATACAGGATGTTCCATTTAAAAAATCTAAATATTTGCTATTATTTTGTCTTTTATTCGTAGTCAAAAATATAAATCAAAAATGTTTGGTAATTATTGGGAAAACTGGAAATCGTCCGATTTTCACCAAAATTGGTATACACACTATTTTGAGGTCGTAGATTACGAATCTGAACTTTTTTCTTGGCGGTCTCTTACCGTTTTTCAGAAAAACGGAAAATTATTTCCAACGTGGAATTTTTCTTTATTTCGGCCCTATAAAGTAATAATTTCACTAAATTTTCATTATATTATAGTTTATCTAAAAGCCACACTTGATTGGCGGTAGAAAAATGTTCAAAATTTTACTGAAACACACTTTTCTTAACAAAATAACAAAGAAAATTGAAACCAGATGGAAGATGACATTTGATATGTCCTTCTTTCTCTCTCCTATGTAATGAGAGAGACAAATATATTCTAGACCTAATCTAGAAATTTGAAAAATCACAACGTTGCCATATCTTCTATTTTTTCGGGTGATTAGGGATTTTAAATAAATTACCTATTACGAGATCGAGAATAATTAAATATGCCTACCTATATCCACAAAGTTACGCGGAAGAGTTTTGATTGCATTGATTTCAACTTCTATGCGGAGGGGGTTAATCTTTTTTTTGTTATATTATATTTATAACCACGAAGTTGCACGAAAGAGTTTTGATTGCATTGGTTACAATTTCCATGCGGAGGGTGTTAATCTTTTGTTGTTATATTATATCAAAAGAGTAACCCCCTCCTCAAAGAAGTTATATAAAGACTATTTAGAACCACGAAGTTGCATGAAAGAGTTTTGATTGCATTGGTTTTAACTTCTTTGCGGAGGAGGTTAATCTTTTTTTGATATAATATAACACGAAAAGATTAACACCCTTCCGCATGGAAGTTGTAACCAATGCAATCAAAACTCTTTCGTGCAACTTCGTGGTTATAAATAGTCAGATCTCGTTGGTAAAATAGCAATTATGGGAAGGAGCCGTTCTTCTGGCTACCGCCTTTCGTAATCCCAGAATGAGCGAAAAAAACACGCTAAATTTAGGTTTAGCATTGGCAACGTTGCTTTAAATGCCAGGAACACATAACCCAGCATTTTCAGATTGTTTACAAATTTATTTTGGCAAATTTTCCTCTATTATGCATAGATTTGGTTAAAAAAGTAACAAAAAATAGCAATAACATCATTGTTTATTGAATACCTAACAAAATATGTGCTAGAAAACCTTAAAAATATGAGAAATTAAGAAAAATTCGATGTTGAAATAATTTTCCGTTTTTCTAAAAAACGGTAAGAGACCGCCAAGACACCAATTTTGGTGAAAATCTGACGATTTCCAGTTTTCCCAATAATTACCAAATATTTTAATTTAGTTTTCATTATTTCGGTGATACTTTTAGGATACCTATCCATATAGAGTCAGATATATCCTAATGCAGTTGAATAGAGTAATGTGTTTGGAAAATCCCGAGTACAATATTCCATGGTTTCATCAAAAAATTATTGACGAGTACCAAAAAACATGTAAGTTTTGACGTAAAGTTTTCTTAACTTTTTTATGGTAGTTAACCTGAGATTAAAATATAGAAAATATACAGGACACTTGGTTTAAAACGTCCGCCAGGTATAGATTAGGAACAATAATTGTTGGTTTATTTCATTCAACCATGGAAGGGGCAATAAATTATAGTTTTTAGTTATTAAAATTGAAGGGTTCAGGTTCAGTGGTTACCAGGTTATTTCCCTGTATATATATTTTTACCTTATTACCCTGTAGAGTTTATACATTTTGTAGAGACCTGTTATACCTATAGTTCATATCAAATAAACTATTAGCCACGTGATTAAGCTTGACCGGCACAGTGTTGCCCATCTTTTACATATTTTTATCAAAATATTTTAATAAACAAAATTAAATTATTACAAATATATAAACAGTTATTATTTACACCAACAAAACTCGCTTTCTTAACAGCACTTAAGGGACATACAGGGCCATTACTACCGCTTTTTTTACTAGTTACTATGCTATTTTTTACCAGTTTTTTTTTCAATTTTTTACACTTAAAAGAGGTTCTAAAAAGAACAATGTTCGACTGCAAGGTCTGCTAGTAAAAATGTTTCAGCTTAAAGTATCACAATACAATTCATTTAAACCAAAAACCCGTAATACAAAACTAAAATGTCAAAACGAATGACAATGTCAGTAAATAAATAAATAAATGTAGCAGCTTGACATTTTTACAGCAGAGCTACCATCTGAATGCCCAGCGGGAAATTTAAATTCCAGTTAGTCAGCCCGGCGCCGAATATGTCCATGCTTGTCAACAATGAATTTAAAAATCGTCCCCTCGATTACGTAACTAAAGGCTCGTTTACATTTGTCACTTTGGATGTACAACTTGGATGAATCATCCAAAGTGATAAGTATAAATTCATTAACTCCTATAATACCAAAGACAAAGTGCTGCCGCGTGACGTCATCGACCGTCGGCCTACGAGTTCTAAATGGTTCTAAGGGGTTTTGTGTAGTTTTCTACGTTTGAAGTCGATTTATACGATTTAGGTATAGCTTTAGGGATTAATGTAATAATAAATCTAAACATATAATAACAGCAAGGATCTATAAAAAAACACAAACAATTTAAATGGTATTTAAGTACGTAAGCAGGTATAGGTAATAAATATATAATATGTACGTGCACTTAACTGTTCGAAATACACTAGGTAGAATCTAAATTTAAGAATGCTTATTTTTGGAATTCTCACACAGCAAGATACCATAACATTAATAAATTATATTTAGTAAGGCATCATGCAATTCATGATTGAATTTTTCGAATCAAATTTTGATTTTCCGAAGTTTGCATCTATAGTAGTTAGCTAACTCTATACTCTATACATTGATTTTAAGTAGGTTTTGATTTTTTTCTTATTACCCCTAAGCGGTAATTTTTTTACTACAGTAGTTTTTAATTAGTGTATTGGAAATACAACTCAGTAAAATATGAAGAATGGTTTTTACAGAGTGATTATGGCAACCAAAGCAAGTAAAATTGAACAAAAAATCATAGTGCTGGTAGAATATCTATACCGTTCTTTTGCTAATGTTCACAATTTTAGTTGATCAGAAATAAATTCAATTCCTTGTGACAAATCTTCATCCTCTATTTTTAGGTTTTTAAGTAAATTGGATATAAAGTCCAAAACCTGGTAAATCTTTGTCATATCTGTGTTATTTTCTTGATACTCATTAAGATTGTCACAGTCGGTATTGGAATTGTCATGTTTAGTATCCTCGTTGGTGTCTAACGAAAAAGTCATCATCGAACTATCAATTCAAACAATTGTATCAAGTAAATTTCCTATTTCGTCCAAATTACTGGAAAAAAAGGAGTCTTTATATTATTTACTTCTGAAGTTATTACCTGACCATATAAATATGTATTTACTATTAAGTTATCGGCAATTACAACAGCCCAAGTAATCGTAGGCCCCGGATTGTATTCTACTTTGAATATGGATAAGCCATTCTCGTTACTAATGAAAAACCAACCAAGTTAAATTAAAAGACTGAAATAATGGTTTAAGTTCCTCCAAAGTCGTAAAACTCGTAAGTTTCTTATGTGTTAAATATTCTTGTTTGCTTTGTTCAATTGCTTGCTGAAAGCGAATTTGATCTAATTCGTTAAATTTTTCGTCTTTGCTTTTCCGATATGATATCATTTTTTTGATAAATATTTGGGGCAATTCGGAAATTTGCTTGGTACGCTAGTTTCTTTTAATCGGGGCAAAGTTAAATTAACTGAAACGATCTCACCGGTTTTTGTATCCTGTTGGGAAATTTCATAAATAAAATCCTCCTTCTCAAAATGGCACTCACCATCAGATATCACACACCCGATTATTGTTATTTGGCCCAAATTTTCGCGAGGAATTGCAGTAAACCATTTTTTGCGAAGTTTTTTGTCTCTGGGAAACCGAAACACCCGCACTTTTGTACCGCTAGCATAAAATTACAACCTGGGACACAATTATGGAACAACATATAAAACACTACAAACACTACACTATCTAAATTTGTTAAAAGTACAAAAAACACATCAAATAGTCCGTTCAATAATACCTAATCGATAAAATCGAGCGAATTCATTGACCCAACAAAAACAAACGCGGCGTCTATCTAGACAAGGAAAGAGAGTCTCTCTTTCCTTCTCTAAGGACAAAATACTCGGAAGCTGAACCGCGCAACCGCGGTTTACGTCAAACTCAGCTGAACTTTACCGCTGATGGACTTTTATAAATATCAGAGTAAATTATGGCCCTATTTAAAAACAAAGTTAAAAACTCATCAGCATTTCTGTATTTTTAAATCATACAAAAAATACTCATTAAGTTCAAAGAATTATTCATAATGTTCAAAATTCCCGCAAAGCGCTTCTCGCCGAACAAAACCGAACTCTCCGTGTAGGATCCGAATGCTTCCGATGTTTTCGTGATTGCGGTTGCGCGTTTCAGCTTTCGAGTATTTCGTAGTTAAACAAGGAAAGAGAGACGCTCTTTCTTTGTCTTGCCGAATTCGTGTTAGAATCGCTAGGCCCACAGACCGTGACGTCAGCATCATTTTTAATTTAAGCACTTTGTCTTTTTTGTAGGAGTTAATGATAAATTGCCTTTCATCACTGTTTCATCCAAAGTGTACACTAAAATTGAACCATGAAACAAGTTGACGGTCTTCCTACTTTTGTTGAAAGAAGCGTTCAACGGTTCAACGAATCGTTGATTCATCCAGATTGAACGGCAAGTGAAAAATGTAAACAGCCGACGCCGCACAGTGTTTTGAAGTATAGGGGAAAGTGGACAAAAATGGAAATCTCGATTTTCACTGCCAGAAAATGTATTTTCTTACATTACTAATAAAAGATAACATAATATTTTATATTTCAAACTAATTTTTATGATATAAAAATAAACTAAAAATATTTTTGGCAAAAAAAAAAATAATTATAATTTTTACAAATATGGAAAAAATCTCCTGCAGCCCAAAGGGTAATTATTTCTCATTATTAGTAAATAACAAATTAAAAAAAAAACGTTCTCCAACCCAATGTGCGTACATATCAAAGTAAAACCTCTGACGAGGGGTAGGGGACAAAAAACTCACAATCTTTTAAGATTGTGACAACCCAAGCAGCATTTGGAACGTGTGACACAACGTTGTGTCACGCGACCAAACGTCGGGGCGCGACGTCGGCACAACTTTGTGCCAACCCTAGTCTGCACTAGTTTGGATAATAATTTTTGGGTCGAAACGACGTTGGATACGGACGTTGGCTAGAAGCCTAATTTAGTACAAACTGCAACGTTGTTTAAAATCCTAATTCACAAAAATACAAAACTATAATAATATGGCGTCTAAGTCGCGTTTTATCCTAAATTGGGATAATTATAGTAAAAATATTATTTTTATGATTTAGTTAGAGACATATGTCAGATGGCAGTGAACGAAAACAAAACAAAAGTATTTAAGTGTGGAGGATGTTTGAAGATCATAATTATTGAAACACTTTAACCGACTCTGTAACTCGTTACCCAAGGCAAAAAAGTTAAACGCAAACAACTTTATTGATAAATGTATTGTTCCTACTTTGAAAAATACCAATGGGCCTTAAAATTAAAGAAGTTTTAAAAATTTTCTTTGAAATTTTTTTTTTTTAGTAAATGAGAATAATTTATTCGCAGTCGAAAAAATTGTTTCCGCGTGATTTTTAGGGTCAAATATTTCAAGTTAATGTATTCAAAAAGCAAGAATTGCTATTTTAGGAACGAAACATTTTCTTATTTAACAACATGGCGGCTTTCACTTTGTTGTTTTGGGAGATTAAGATGGAGTAGTTCGAGTAGTCGCATACTGGACTAATAAAGTCGCAGTTCAGCCTTAACAGGTAGTATACTAGTCGCAAGATTGCCTAATTTAGTCATCCTAGAGTCTAGCTTGTGCCGCCCTCTATAATCTAAATAAACGAGGGAGTGGATAAACTATCGGTAATATATGCCGATGTATATTTAAATTTAGTTTTATATGTACCTTTCTTATGTCCCATTTTAAATAAGTTTTTTTTATAAAAACAAAAACAGCACTGAACTGTCTGACTGAACAGAACAATGAAGTGAAAATTTAAGATTTAAGGTTATGGTTCAATACAGTTGCAAAAAGGTAGTGCCTCGACGTCCTACCAACGTAAGAATAAGGAAATCTAAACAACGTTGGAATAAGTAAAACAGACGACGTTTGCATAACGTTGGAATAGGTCCTGAAACTGACGTCGGAAAACTCTATATTATCCAACGTTGTAACTACGTTGTCCGAATCACCTAAAGATCACTTAAGCAAAAATGGTTACAAGACAACGTTTATTCGACGTCGCAGAAGCTTCTACTTTGCTGTAGTACTAGTCCAACGTCGGCACAACGTTATAAAAACGTTTAAATTTATTTTAATACCTAAGGTAGGGAGCTAACTATTTTTTGTAACTAATCCAACGTTGTGTTTAGTAAATATGTGGTCGCAAGTCGTGAAAATGCTACTTGGGAAAACTTTCAAGAATTTGTCCGTTATCATGGTAGTGTGGCCTTTATATAATTATTATAATTAAAATAATTTATTGAGCGGTAGGCAGAACTTGGATTAATGAGAGCACCGTCTTTTCAGAGCGTAAATATAGTTTATCGTTTACATATAAAAACAAAATATAACCAGCTAAAAATAGAAATTAAGGCATCGCACTTTTATGGTAAGGTTCTTTCTAAATTCGGCTAACATAAAACTCTACTGCCACTTACCTTATTACGTCAACATCCGTCAGCAATACATCAACAACAAGAACCTGTCGAAGATTTCATTGATCCCCTTGTAGATCTACCTCTTCGGTCTTAGGATTGAACCACTCGACCGGTTATCACACTGTTCTTTCAAATAACTTAATATTTTAGTGATTAGGTGAAATAAAGAAATAAAATGCCGATTTTTCACAACACCTAACTATATTTAATATAAAGAAATAAATAAATAAAAAATAAAGAAAAAGCTTTAACAACAAAACATTTATAATTAATGAAAAAGAAAAAAATTGAATCAAAAATAATTAATGACAATTAGAGAATTGAAATTAAAAGTCAGAGATGATAAAGTTAAAAAAAAATACAAAATATTCTTCTTATTAATCCAATTTAAATTATCTACAATTAGCATACACTTTCAAATCTCTCTTAGAATTATCGTTAGCAGAAAATTAATATGTTAAAAAAATATTCACTGAACAATTAAATTTAAATTAGAATTTAATAAAAAGAACAATTGCAAAATAATCACTTATGCAGTGACATCTAAATTTGACTAAAGACTTTAGAATAGAAAGTCTTGAATCCTTAATAAAGAAAAATATTAGAGAAAATCCAAAACAACAATTAAAATACTTTAATCATGAATAGTTTAGAATTTCCTAACTTGAGAATTTATTTGAGACAATCTTTAGATAGAGAACTTACTAAAACAATTAAAAAGACCACTGGATAATATAAGATCTACACGGAGTAAATTCGACCGTCTAATTTAAAAGTCAGTATCGAACTAATTTTGAAGATGAAAATACTGATGCTGGTACTATCTCGGAAAGGCTTTACTACATCTTCGGCATGCCCCTGTTTGAGGAACCTTCGAATATCCATCCAAATGCATATTTTGCACCTTTTTAATTGGCCGAAGGGTTCCTTCCTCGAAAGATCCCTAAACTTCTTTCACCCCTGTTTCTGGTCCTTATTCCGAGAGGGCATCAGCATGTCCTATTTATTAATTAAATGTAATTTTTAAACCCTTCCGTGTAAATCTTACTCTTTTACCAATTTGCTGGATAATATTCATAATCTAAGCCTTAACTAATACAAATGATATCGTGCCATAGGATTACCTTAAAAAAACCGCCTAGAAATTAACTCTTTATTTCTTCATATTTTTGTCTATTTCTATTTAACTCTAGGAACGGAAAAAAAGATAATCCTATTTCTATCATTTTCAGATATTCATCTCGTGAACGTTTGGATTCTGATTTTAAAACATATATTTAATACTTTTAATTTTCAATGTAAAACCTCTAGCGAGGGGATGATTTAATTTTACTTATCTCCTTAAGCATGCCTACGTGCTTTTTCTGCGTTGTTTATTTTGAGATATCCCTAGGGTACACACACACACACACAACTGGTACCACTCTGTCCAATAGAATTTTGATAATAAGGGATGAATGTTTGTTCTACTTAACCCTCGTTTATGTGACTTCAAATTATTTAGAAGATTGTATTATTTGCTTAGTTAGTTTCTCAGGATATATATGCGTACTTTTAGAGAGTTTATGTGTCTTGAATATCATTAGATTATTTGCTTAGCCCTTTTAAAATTCGTTTCCTATGTCGACTGATAACTTCGTAAACTGAAATGGTCCCATCTTAGAATAGCAAACCAAAAAGATAAAATTTTACAAAGCTTGATATTATTCTATTACAAGATGTTTATTTAAATTTAATTTGCTTCAAAAAAAGAAGGGGGCGACATGTTTCGGGACTTAACAATTCCCATCTTCAGGCCCAAGAAAGCTAAAATAATTACAATCCGAATAATAAACAAATTCCAATAGTCATACAGAGGTCTAAAAATATAAAATACAATCACAAAACAAATTAAAAGGTAAGTAAGTACTGGACATTCTCCTAAAAAAATCGAAAACTTAAAATATCGCAGTTTTCCGCAGAAACTGAAATAATGGTTTTAAAGTACAATACTTGGGACAACATTACACGAAAAATCTCGTTTATCATATTATACCATTTTTTTAAAACCTTAAATAAAATTACACTACTAATTTTCATTCAGACTCGATTTGACTTTTTGTAATGGCCATGTATATAAAAGCAATGATCGAATTTAACAACAACTAATATGGAAAAAGAACGTACTTACTATAAGTGTTTTTCTCCATTTTGTGCAGCTAGGAAATATTTTTTTCAGCTACACAATATTCACTCCAATTTAATTGAAAAATGCGGTCACTTAAACACGCAGATAAATACTTGCACTTGTGTAAGACACATCGTGTATAATTACTTAATAGCCAAATGTTGTTCCATTATATTTAACGTTCATTTTTGCTAGATGCTTACACAAACGAGTAAACATGATTTCTATATTTCTATTATCGATGTACTTAAACAGCCGTTAAACGGTAGCCTACTAAAATGCCGTTAATATATATTATGAGGTCGTTGATGTCAGCGGAAAGTAATGCCTGGCGATAGGCATTTTGCAAGGTCCGTGATTCAAATCTCACGCCGGACCAAGACTTTTTTTATATTTTTTTTGCTTATAGCGTGATCTTATTGCATTGGTTTCACTCTTTTTGTTTGGATTGGTTTAGTTATTTGGCGGGTTGGTTAGCGTGGTTATTTGGAGGGTGTTAATTCATTGGTTAGTTGGTTATTTGGTGGGGTTGATTCGTTTTTACTAATTTATATTTGTTTTTTATATTTTTTAAGTGTCAAAGTTAGTTGCGTTGGTTAAGTTGGTTATTTGGTGGGGTGGATAGCATTGGTTAGTCCTTATAAAATTCCTATATTTCATAAAACCGTCAAGTGCGTCTCATCAACGACGTCATACCTATTAACGGCATTTTAGTAAGCTACCGTTTAACGGCAGTTTAAGTACAGCCTTCTATTATACCTTCACAAGTTAAAAGTAAATACATACCCTGCTGGACATCGAAACTATGCGGTCTGGATTTTAATGCTTGTGACAGAGAATAATATAAATGACCGGTTGACAGACAGAGAGACAAAAAAAAAGCGGCATACAATGTTGCCGGTTTTTTACGTTTGTAACAAAATATGTGTAGAAAAATATAAGCTATTTAAAAACTTTTATGTATGCTACTGAAATGAAGATAATATATCTAAGCTAAATATAATCTATTACAGCTGTAGTAAAATGAGTAAGTAATAGTGGAAAATAAAGTTCCAACTCCAGAGGCAAGATTTTTCATAAACGCCTACTTGTGCGGTTTGAAATTTTGATGCAAAATCCGGCAATACCGCATAGAAGAAATGTATCGACCCGATTTTTATCTCTTTTTTTAATACATTTGATTTTCCATTAAGCTGTCTACATCACTGTCTTATACGTTAAAATCCAGACCGCACAGTTTCAATGACCAAATCGGTAAAAGAATTTCTTTTAGATGCTATAGATGACGTATCCAATAGATGTCATTTGAAGTTAAGGGAATATATGCTTAATGTTGTACCCAAGGAATACGTTTCAGAAAATGTTAGCGTACCATATGGCTACAGAATAAATTTTGTGATTCATTTAGACCAGAATAATAGACCTACAGTGAATGTTGATGATCCAAGGACAATGTAAGTAATCAGAAAAATTGACCCATAGATACGCGCCTGGCATTAACTTTAGATGCGGCAAGTCTATCAATAAATAATAATTTTTTGTTATAATTGATTTTTGAATTTTATGAGATTTTCTATTTTTTACTAAATTGATACTCGCGCTTGGCATTAACTTTAGATGCGACAAGTCTATCAATAAATCCCTTAGGGTTCAGTACTTGACCCTATTTTGTTTCTGGTGTTTATCAACGACATTGCAAATCTAGACATTAGCAGTAAAATCTGCCTCTTTGCAGACAATACTAGTTTATCTTGGAGCGGCCCAGATGTTACAGCACTATATAATACTATATCCAGAAACTCTTACGCACCATTAAATCTGGGTGCGATTCTAATCTCCTATGCCTCAACCTATCAAAAACTAAAGTTTTGTCATATAAAAGTACCATTCAACCTTTTGTACTTAATAACACCACTATTGTCGTCGTGGACTCTATGAAATTCTTAGGACTTGTTGTAGACAACTCATTAAAATGGGATTTGCACATCGAAGCTGTATCAAAGAAACTAAGCGCTGCCTGTTTTGCGCTAAGATCAGTTTCTAAGGAACTTAACTTATCAACCTCTAGAATAGCCTATTGTGCCCTTTTTGAGTCACATCTTCGTTATGCCCTTCCATTCTGGGGTACTTGCTGGGCAACAAAACTTGATCGTATTTTCAAACTTCAAAAGAGAGCAGTTCGATATTTATTGGGACTGAACAGTAGAACTCACTGCCAGAATTTCTTTAAAAATTTCAAAATATTGACTCTTCCTTCTTTATTCATTTTTGAATCCGTTTGCTTAATCCGCAAGCACATATCTGCTATTCCCGAAAGGCCATCTCATAAATATCCACTTAGGAATGCGGAGCATGATCTTTATCTTCCAACCCCGAGTTCAGAACTAGTTAAAGGTTCAATACTGTACATTGCCAAAAAAATGTACAATCATCTGTCTTTGAATATCAAGTCGCTTTCATTCTTTCCCGCATTTCGCAAAGTTCTGAAATCATACCTACTGGAGAGAGCCCTATATGCGGTAAACGACTTTTTTGTTGATGTTTAATCATGAACAATTTTGAATTTAAACATTTTGATCGTCTCACACACTGGTCAAAGGTCGAGTATTTATATATTTTATAACTCTTAAAATTATATCTATTTACAATTTTCCTATTGTAAAATTTTATTGATACGCCTTTTTTGTGTTCTGCAATTGTCGAGGTATGTTCTAGTTGTAATTTTAATGACTTAATTTTTTTTGAATTGTATGATTTGTATTGTATAATTTTTATTATTTGTATATTTTTTGTGCTTTTGTTTTATTTGTAAATGATTTGTCGATTAAGCTATTTTGGTTTTTTGCACAAGAAACCGTTATTTATTTTATTTTTATTAATATTAAATAATCATTTTTTGTTATATGTAATTAATTTTTAAATTTTATGAGATTTTCTGTTTTTTTAGTAAATTGGCAATATTGGTTAAGTATCCTCGGTCATATACTAGGTTTTCTGTCCAGTTGAAAGGCCAGGACGAATTGAAGAATAGGCATTTGGAGATTTTAGGTTACAAAGTGAAAATTATAAAATGGGAGGAATTCAAAAATCTTCTGTATGCCGGCGAAAGAATAGAATTTATTAATAATGTTATTTATTCATGACACAAAGACCCTCTAAACATTTTGTTTAGAGGTCTTTAATAAATTGTTAGATATTTTAATTTTTTAGCGTTTATTTTCTTACACTTAAATTATTGATTTTTATTTACTGTTTATATTTTTGAACTAAATTATTCTACATCATTCTATACAGGGTGTCCCAGAAATACGTGCAAATATTTTAACTGGTAGTATAGTTCAACCCCAGAAACACGCCTATGAGGTTTTTTTGCGAAAAAAAAAATGTTGAAAATTTAACATTTTTCTTGACATTTTCCGGAAAATTTGAAAAAACTTTTTAGTGCCACTTGTTTATTCACCTGAGATTTCTCTAAGGTGTATCTAAACCTTGCAGTGTTGCAACCTCCTATGTTATCCACATTCTACATAGTTCTACATTTATAAATTCATAGACAAGTTTCTACTCAAAAAATTAGGAATGTTAAATTTAATCTTTTATCAGTGCTCATTATTAATAATTATAGAAAAAAACACATTAATTATTTTTAGTACTTACCCTTTCAATGAAAACTTAACAAAACCTAAAACCGATGACGTTTAAACAAAACCACCGAAAAATTAACTAAAACATTACGTTTATGACGTTTACGAAAATCTTTGTTATGCTGCAAAATAACTTTATTTTGGAATAAATTTAATAAAACGATTCTTCATATTATTCAGAATCAGGTCACAAAAAGAATTTCCTAAAATGTTTATCGTAATTTAAAATTCAATATATCGAAAACAGCCCAACGAATAATCGATTCATTTTTGTTTTGTTTGTTTTCTTTCATGTTTCTCTGTTTTATTTCAACCACTAATTTACAAAACACCTTGAAAGGGCACATTACTTTGAATACCTTTTCTTTCTTAATGAATAAATGTTGAGAATTATTGTCTCTTATCGCCACTTTACGAACTACTTTCATTCTAAGAAAATACATGTTATTCCATTGACAGTCCAACCGTCGCGCGTCTGCCATGAGTGCCGCGTGTGAACTGGTCCTTTAAGGCGCCGCGCCGTCGTGGCGTGAGCTTGCGTCAAGGTGCGTATTCACTATCCGAACGAATGTTCATTCGTTCGTTCGGTAATAATATGGACGGGACCGGATTTTAAGACCAAACGAAAACACCTTAACCCATTCATTTGCGAACGCCTTTGATGTACCGACTCGAAACGGATGGCCGAGCGAACGAACAAAGGAACGACCGCATGCGTTCGGTCCACCGTCCAAATATACCGAATTCCATTCGTTCGCTCGTTCGTTCGTTCGGATAATGAATACGCACCTTCAGAGGACGATGTTAAGCAACGTTGCCGTAGTTACAACAATTTCAAATTCAAGACATTCGAGCAATCAAATTCGTATTAAATTTTAAAAATAAAACAGAGAAACATGAAAGGGAACAAACAAAACAAAAATGAATTGATTATTCGTCGAGCTGTTTTCGATATATTGAATTCTGAATTACGATAAACATTTTAGAAATTTATTTTTGTGACCTTATCAATAATCAATTCATTTGTGTTTTGTTTGTTTCCTTTCATGTTTTTCTGTTTTATTTTTAAAATTTAATAAGAATTTGATTGCTTCGAATGTCTTGAATTTGAAATTGTTGAAACTACGGCAACCTCGCATGACGCAAGCTCGACACGGCGGCGCGACAAAGGAGCAGTGAGCAGTTACCAGTGATGCGCGGCTCTCTCGGTCGACGGTTGGGCTGTCGATGAAATTGGTGAAATACATCGAAAAAATAGCGAAAAAACAAAATACGTATTTAAAATTGTGGAGTGAAACATGTATTTTCTTAGATTGAAAGTAGTTCGTAAAGTGGCTATAAGAGACAATAATTCTCAACATTTATTCATTCAGAAAGGTATTCAAAGTAATGTGTGCTTTTCAAGGTGTTTTGTAAATCAGTGGTTCAAATTGTGATGAAGCCTATATGAAAAAAATGTGTTAAGTTAAAAATGGGGACTGTTATTTTAGTAGTTATTGTAATAATAAATAATAGCATGCACAAGTAAAACAGCACAGTTAAGTGTGTCGAAAAAGAGAACTGTCACAGTTACATCGATCTGTCATAAGTTAGCGATGGGAACTATCGAATGAATTAGACTATCGAATGTTTAATGAATGAATGATTTCAACTATCGAATGGTTTTATTCGAATAAAATCATTCATTTATTTGTATACTAAAGCATATGTGACAACCTCGCCGTGCGACTAAATGGTTATCGTTGAGCCACGACTATCGAATGCTTTTGATAAATGAAATTTAGTATTCGTTTGATTTTTGTATGCGTCAGTGCATTATTAGTTCTTCCAAATTTTTATAACTTCGCCGTAAAATACTGTGCTATTTTTGCGTTTATTAAAATAGTTAAAATACTAAAATAGTTGTTATTTTTTAATTGTATTTATTGACGATTGTGTGCATGTGCAGAAAATTTGTGTGGTTTTCCGTAGTCCGATCTTTCAATTATTTAATTTTATATGATATATGGTCTATTTTTTAATGGGAAATTTTAAGAAGTAACAATTTTTTAATGAGATGAGATGAACTTACAATTAATTTTAAAAATACATATTTGTATTTTAGATGTTTTAATAATATGAATTAGTTGAACTTAATAATCATATTTAAGTAATGTAGTTAAGTAAATGGTTATCGAACTCAAACTATGGGGTGAGAAAATTAAAATAAAAGTTTTACACGTGCCAATTTAAAAAAAAAAGTTAACGATGTTTGTATTTTGTTTATGCTAATTCTCTTACATGTACTATTTTGCGAAGAAATATTTCATTTATTTTTTAAAGTAAATGCCAGTAAAAGTAAATATAATTTTTAAATAGTAATATAAAGCACCTAATATAAATAATTTTGATTTCTAATTTTTTATTTATATTTTCCTTCCATTACACTGAATGCTTAGAAAATTAATAAATGTTTATATTTCATGATTTTAAAATTTGTTCTTAATATAACAAATTAGTTCTGTAATTATTATTATTTAATAAACCAACGTTGCCACACACAAAAAATTTAGAGACTATATTATTTTTAAATAGGATCTAATATAAATAATTTTGACATCTAATTTTTTGTTTATATTTTGCTACTACTTAAAAAAAATATTTATATTAAATGATTTTAAATTTTGTTGTTAATAAGTATAACAAATTATTACTGTTATTATTATTTATTAAACCAGTCTTTGCTTAAAAACATTAAAAATCATTTTCCTACATCCAAAATAACAAGTATTATTGCAGTGTAACAACAGAATATTAATAAAAAAATGCAGAATATATAGACATACTATCCCTAACTAACTAAAGTCAAACAATAATATTCTTTGCCAATATCAACTAATACCAAAATATGGTAACAGCGCCCTTCATAATGTATTTTCTGTATAAATACCAGCACCTCAATAAAAAAAATAATGTGTCCTTATCTATATCTGACTCCGCAAAAAATCAAAGATGCCGGCTTCCTTCATAGCATTGCCACCGACCGCTGTCGGGTTTCTCGGAAAGAAACCTACGTCGCCGGGCGACAACTAAAATTCAGTTGATATTTTATTATAATCGATCCTGACGAATAAATGAATTTCATAAATGAATGAATTTTATAAATGAATGGTTTTTGCTGCCGAATTACTAGAATACAATATTTCAAGGCAGATAACGGATCTATTCGATAATTTTTATTCGAATAGTTTTCAACGAATGTTTTCTTACTAACTATCGAATTATTCGAATGAATTGCAACTATCGAATGTTTCGATAGTATTCATTCGATAGTTCCCACTACTATCATAAGTATCTTTTTTAATGTTGGGTAAGTTTTTAATTTTAATTTTTAAACATTTAACTTTTAATTTATTTTATGTAATAATATCACAATCTTAAAAATGTAATGCATCTCTGCAAACTCCTCAGGTGTTATGATTTTATGACTTACTTTTAAACATATACTTTCTTATCCATATGGCAACACAGTGCGTCGAATTAACTGAAATCCGGGCTTGATCCGGGTACTTGGATATAGTCGGCGGTTCTCAAAATGTTGCGATTATTTTTTATAAATTTTCAAAGTTAAATAACTCTGTTATTTCCAATTTATTTTAAAAATGGTAAAGAGAAAATATGTGTTTATTTTTTATTTTGACCAGATCTACCACCCCTTAAAATATCTGCACTCATTTCTGGGACACCCTGTATAGGGTGTCCCAAATTCCGTGGACATATCCATGGAACTTCTACATATTTTTGGAACCAAAATAGGTTCATTTAAAGTTTGATGCCCTCTAAAAACCAAACAAAACCAAATAGGTTAAAGATTCGTTTGAATGAAGATTTGGTGGCCCACCAAAGTGATAAAATCGCTTTTTAATTTTAACTGTGATGATTATAAGAACATAATTATTGAATATGTTAAGCAGGCAAAAAATACAGCCTCTAAAAAATATGTAATTCAACCCTATCCTGTTTTAATAAGCAGTATCTGCCTGATTTTTGTTTTATTTTTAAGACTGGAAAAAATTGCTAGACTGGCAGAGATTTGTTGATGACGTTTACAAAATGAATGGTAAAATTTATGTAATAATATTGCATCTCATTAATTGCTCGCTTAACATATTATCCAGCTAATTCGCGAAATAGCCAAGTGTTGGAAGATATAACCAATCATATTGTATAATTCGCGTTCTAACCGGATAATTTGCGAACATTTTTAAAATATATTTATTTCTTTAAACATTAACCGACTGTGTTAGTTAATTCGCGTTTTACCCGGATAATTCGAAAATGAACTAATTTCGCGTATTTAGCGTACCCGTCGCATTTTGCTGCGTACTCTATGACATTTCTTCATTATATATGAGTTATTCTGTGATATGACCTTTCTTCATATCTTGGGGATGTTCCTCAAGATTATTGATGTTCCTACGGTTCCTATCAAGATTCCTAGTTTAGTTAAAATATTTCCCACTCCCTTCAAAATGCTCACTCTTAATTGTAGGCAACTCAATATACTGCCGTGTAGAACTAGTAGTATAACTATGGAGTATAACATGAGTATAACCTTAGAGTATAACCGTGGTATAACCAAAGACTACATCTAAAGGGTAGATCAAACGTTCCATCCTTTTTAACCATCTCTAACAAAATGTCAAATCCAAAGCGTATCAAACATATGAATATATATTATATATGAACCTAACATAAGTATATGATATGAACATAATGACGTTAGCCACGGAACATATGTATCTTAGACAAGGAAAGAGAGAGAGGAAAGAGAGATATGTATCAAATCCAGAGTGGCCGTGACCATGAATATCCCCGCTAAAATTTTAAAGGCGAATTTGTTTACAAATTTTCGTTCTAACTACTTCTCAACTAAGTATTATTATTTATCGATAGCACGTGACAAAATGAGTTTAGAAGAAGCAAAGAAACTAGCCGCATATCGAGCAGTAGATGAGCACGTAGAATCTGGGTATACCGTCGGAATCGGAAGTGGATCTACAGTGATATATGCAGTGGATAGGCTGGCCCAAAGGGTAACTGAAGAAAATATAAAAGTAAAATGTGTCCCAACATCTTTTCAAGCCAGGCAACTCATCATAAATCACAAATTAGCCCTAACGGATTTAGAAATTTCGCCCCATTTAAACGTGTGTATTGATGGTGCCGATGAGGTCGATTCTAACTTAAATTTAATCAAAGGAGGTGGTGGCTGTCTATTACAAGAAAAGATAGTAGCTAGCTGTGCAGAACAATTGATTATCATAGCCGACTATACGAAGCACTCTTGTTTGTTAGGTAATTATTTTCATTAGAGCTTTCAAAAGGAACTTTTTTCAAGGTTTTTTAATTATTAACAAATCATTCATAGCTTTGTAGAGCAGTGATATTTTATTAAAACTAAAACAGATTGATTATATTATATCTGTAGCTACAGCAGTACCAGATAAAAAAAAACACAAATAGATTTGTATTTTTAAAATTATCTGTTGTAGATTGTTTAATATTTATATATTGTAAAAAGATAATAACTTATTTCATCATCATTTTACTTTCAATAACTTTCCATTTGTTTGCGGACAAATAAATATAATATTAATTAGGTACTTTAACACTTTTTAAAATAACATTTTTTATATACAGGTTTCCCGAATTGTATTCGGGAAACTTTGGCAGCATATTCTGCAGATAAAAAAAGTTCAGATAAATGTAAAAATGCTTAGTTTCGGAGATATAGGGTGTAGAAGTTTCATTTTTTATTTTGATTTCTTCAAAATAATTTCTGAAGTAACGTCAATATTAGGATGAAAATTGGTGTCTGGGAGTTTTTGAGACATGAGAAATTTGATTTTGATGTCAATATGACTCCTACTTGTAGAGGGCGCCACCTACATATTTTTTAACTGGTTTGAGGAGTAATAACTTTTCGTCCATACCTGTATAAAACTAGTGAGTAAAAAATTATACATTTATGACGTTTTTTACGTAAAAAAGTCTCTTGGTAAAAATCGCTATGGATAAGGGTTCTCCAGATATTTGGAATTGAAATTATCAATACCTGTCATCATTGACATAAATTAAAGACGTTGACTAAATAATTATTAGACTGAAATCATAAATTTAAACTGTTTTTGTGCCAAAAGTTCAGAAACTGTTTTATCATCATTTTTTTTTTGAGGAAAAATTTATAATTAATTTAAAAAAATAAGAAGTACCCAAATTTATAATTTCACTCAAATAACTATCTGCTCAACATGTTTATTTTTAGTCAATAATGACATGTATTTCCATTGTAAATACATATCTTGAAAACGGTTGCTCGTAGTAATTTTTACCAACAGACATTTTTTACGTAAAAAATCACAAAAATGTATATTTTTTCACTCAGTAGTTTTATACAGGTACAGACAAAAAGTTATTACTCTTCAAAACATATAAAACAAGTGTAGGTGGCGTCCCCTACAAAATGGAGTCATATTGACATCAAAATCAAATTTCTCATCAAAAAATTCCCAGGCACCAATTTTTATTTAAATGTTGACTTTACTTCAGAAATTATTTGGAAAAAATCGATATAAAAATTTAACTTCTACACCCTGTATCTCCGAAACTAAGCATTTAAGGATATACATTTATACAAACTTTTTTACTTGTTATTATCAGCAGAATAAGCTGCCAAAGTTTTAGAATGTTTAGAAGGGGAGTTAATCACCGCGACCTTATAGATCTATTGTGTGTTATAGATCTATTGTGTGTTGTAGATCTATTGTGTGCCAAAGTTTCCGGAATACAGTGCGGATCACCCTGTATACAGGGGGTGCGTCAAAACTAAATGTTGTATTTTTCTCCATTGTTTTAAATAGACCACCCTGTATTTTTTATTATAATCGAACAAAGTTTGATTTAATCTTATTAATATTAAGCACTTCCTATACCTAAAATCTACCAGATTGCGTCTCAAAAGTGGCTCACCCCCTATAACTTTTTTATTTTTTCAGATAAAAAAACGAAATTTGGTATGTTAGTATATGACATAAATTAGGATTGATTGACGTATTCAATTGTTTTCAGTCACTTCCTGTTTCACCGGAAATGAATACAACTTTTGATTTTTAAATGACACCCTCGACATTTTTTTACTTTATTTGATAGAAAATGGCGCTCTGAATCGAATGACATATTATATGTCAACTTGTGACATTTTCACTTAATACAAAATTGTATTTTAAATTTCAATTTAGAGTGCTGAATGGCTGTGTTAAAAACACTAATTTTTAATCATTGAGCCTTGGAAAAATATATTTGATCGTCTAATGTTTTTAGTGCCTTGTCCTGGTCAGTTCAAAGATGCCCAAATCGCATTTTTAATTATATCTCAATTTTTTCAAATGGAGAGAGGGTGGCTCGTTAGCATATTTGAAAAAAGCATTTTTTTACGGATAATTTGATACCACACACAATATTTCGAGTCAAATTGTCGTTATGAACCGCATCTTATAATTTCATATAAACCATATGCGAAAGTGTCATTTTCTATCGAATAAAGTAAAAAAATACCGAGGGTGCCATTTAAAAATTAAATCAAAAGTTGTAGTCATTTCGGTGAAACCGGAAGTGACCGAAAACTGTTGAATGTGTCAAACAATCCTAATTTATGTCATACACTAACATACCAAATCTCGTTTTTTTATCCGAAAAAATAAAGAAGTTATAGGGGTAAGCCACTTTTGAGACACACCCGGTATACTTAATGAGGAAATTGATTTTTTTTCAAAATATAAGACAAGATTTCACTTCCGCTTTTTCAATAGATGGCGTTTATTATTAAAAGTGTCATAACTATATTTTACAACAATGTACAACTACCTTTTAACTAACCTAATAATCAATTTTTTTGATTATTAGCTGATTTTTAGCTTTTTTTATTAGCAAGAATAATTTGTCATTAAGGGCTCAAACACACTGACGACCAGGTCGCACCGGCCAGGCCGCAGCTACCTCTAAAACCGTTAAATCAAATGATATAGCGCACACTAACGTCCTGGCTGTCCGTTGGTCGTTGCGACCAGAAGACTGCACGGAAATATTATTATTTTCTGCCGCTTGTTGCCGGTTTTCTTCCAAATTAATAAATTTTCAGATGAAATCCCTCAAATTCAAGGCACAATATTTTATTTTCTATAAGATATAGTGTTTTAGTGTAGTTTTTGCACACGAGCAGAAAATCCAAAGAAATAGTATACAGACTGGATCAAAGGTAAACTTAAATCTAATCCGTTTTTTTTTGTCAAGGGTCGATTCTAGTAAAAACTCAAAACATTTTTATATGACATACCTACTCTATTTATGGTTGGTATGATACCTGTTATTATACCTTTGAGTTTCGATGTTTAAAAAATAAAAAAAATAATATTTAAAGTTTTTCTACAACCACTTGTTTTTTTTTATTAAATTAGTTTTTTTAGTTGTATTGTAGTCATGTACAAGGAGGACAACTGTATTTTAAATATGATATTTAATTTAACGTTTTTCAAACAGGGTTCATTAGACTATATTTCTACTAGGTACATTATTTTGAAAAAAAAATAAGAAAGTAACTTAAACATTCATAAAAATAGAAGTAATTATTGTTGTAGATTCTTCTTTATATTGTAAACATTGAAATAACTGGAAGCTAAACTTTCTACCTCCATATATTTAGAGAGAGTGTCTGACGATCTTTTTTTACGATGGCCCTAACTTAGTAGTACATACCTGTAGCTATAGGATCCATCTAGAAAAACTACTTAAAATACTTTGAAATCGATACAAATACTAACTGTAACTGTGACATATTCTGACGTAACCAGGTTAGCGTGATAGTCGCGCGAGGCATGTCTGCTTGCAAAGCCGCCTGCGCTTTTATAAATTATCATTTGAAAAAAATATAAACGGATTTAAATGGGGAGTTACTTATAGAATTCTACTAGCTGTGTTTTTTTGTGCTTAGTTTGAATAAAAAAATATGGTTTTGTCGCTGTAAAGTACCTATTTTGCCGTATGTGCGACGGCCAGATCGTTGCGACCTGGTCGTCAGTGAGTTCGAGCACTAAAGATATATAGCTTTTTCGGAAGCCTACGTCACCCGGTATATTTAGAATAATGGTAACCGAATAAAATGAAATATTCTTTTTAAGGTGAACAATATAAAAAAGGAATACCTATTGAAGTGTCACCACTGGCTTATGTTCCTATAAAACTTAAATTAGAGAAGAAATACAAGGGAGATGTAGCGTTACGGATGGCAGTGAACAAAGCTGGTCCAGTGGTCACGGACAATGGCAATTTCATACTGGACTGGAAAGATTTCGATCAATCGTTAAACTGGAAAACGGTCAACGATGATTTGGTTTCTTGGCCGGGGATCGTTGATACGGGACTTTTCATTGGCATGGCCAGTAAAGCCTATTTCGGATTGAAAGATGGATCTGTTAAGACTCAATCTTAACCCTTGCTGTTGTGGGTCTAAAGAAGAATACCATACGATCGGGGTTGGGTAGGTAGAAAATTTTATATTTTCTATCGTATTTTCTACACTGAAAATTAATTTTCTACATTTTTTACATGCCCAGACGTAGAAAATTAGTTTTGTATATTATAAGCCGTTTTTTGAGTTTATACCGGGTGTTGCATCGTCGTTGTGACATAGGAAATCCCATGCAAAATTTGAACTGTCCAGATATTGGCTCCCCTATGGATTCTATAGCGAAGTTGTACAAACAAAACGAATTTACGCCAGATGTCTGTCAACGTTGCCAACATGTGACAACATGCGCGCTAACTGAATCTTTCAAACTCACTGCTATCTCCAGGGAATGGTAGCATTCACTAGTAAAAGTTGGTTTCAAAAATACCTGTCGAACTTTTACTAGCGTAGTCTTGCAAATCCGTGAATGTGAGCTTTTACTAGTAATCGTTAACAATCACAGATCTCCAACTTTTACTGTAACTTGTAACATATATATTTTATGAAAACCACAGGCTTTCTATTGTAAAATTAAAAAACAAGGATTAACGAAAGCTTTCAAAGAAAAGAAAAACAGACTTTTCTGTACGGTCTTCAGATTTCACAGAAAAAAATATTCTAATAATCTTCAGATCGATTACTGTCTCTTCAGGAAGTTAGTACCGTCACAGAATAGAGAGATAGTGTTAGCGCACACTTATTACAGGTTTAACATTTATAGAATTTAAAGAAAATAGAAAGGAAGAAACCTCTAAGTGAAAAAAACGCCTTTAAATATACAAAATTAATTTTGTACCTGATCTCAGATTTTCTACATTTTCTACGCACTTTTCTACATATACGTAGAAAATTAATTTTCTTCGTGTCGTTACCCAACCCTGCATACGATGGAGAAAAAAAAACGGCGTCAAAGATGGCTAGGAATAATAATCAATGATAATTTTGGCGAGGTCAAGCTCTAGAGATTGACCTCGCCATAACTATCATCCATTGTCATTCCCCAGCGGTCTTTGATACAGTTTTTTTTTCGATCATACAGTATATGCGATTCTTCATAGATACTTATAACTGATATCATCTTGTTCCTATTTGTTTTAAATGCATTTGGTGAATAAAAATCTGAAAATAGGCTCTCTACTCCTTAATGTTGGGTATGCAACTGATATATTTTAATAAAAACAGTATCAGGAAAACCAAAGACTTTTATTAAATGTCAAAAAAGAAACAGCATCTAGTTGGCTTGGAAAAATGACAATCGTTAATATTCCCCATATAATTTTACATACAAACTTACGGCGATCTTCGTTTCCAAGGCATCTCTCTCTGACGCCGTTTTTTTTTTTGATCATATGATTTATACCAATATTAGAAAAACACTTGTAGTTATTTTTTTACTTTTTATTAGCAATCCAAAAAATAAATAAAAAAATGTTATCAATAATTATATATCAACCAGGGTTAAACAGATCAAGAATTTGTTTAATACTTTTTTTATATACCGAGTGTCCAAAAGTCCTATATCAGGTTTCCTGTTGGGATTTTCACTTCATTCAAACGTTTTTTATAAAATATTCAGATAATAGTAATGTATATTTTAAAGATATTTTCCTAGATATACAGGGCGATACAGGATACAGAAATATGTTTACCATTACTAGATTATTAATTATTATCTGGACACGATCCAAATGATTAAAAATTATTAATGTTTTTAATTGAAAATATTTCATAATATTGTCCTTCCCAAAACACAGGGTCAATCGAAACCAGATGTACATATTTCTCACTACTATTTCAAATGGCACACTCTGTATATTATATCATAAATAAACGCAGTTTTTATATAAAATAATAATTTTCAGCTGCATCAGTACTATATTTTTTTTTTAATTTCTCAAATAAAAAATTATTAAGAAATACAAATATTTTAACAACCCACTGTATACTATGGATTGACATATGGTATTTTTGGAGTGGGAGGAAATTTTATAGCAAATTCACTGCACTAAAAAATATACAGGATTCCTTTAAAAACATACAGATTTAGTGTTAAAGTACCATATAATCGAATAAAAACAGCGTCAGCGATGGCTATGAAATGAAGATTGCTGTCATTTTATATGTAAAATTATATGGGAAATGTGTCATCGATAGTCATTTCATAGCCATCGCTGACGCCGTTTTTTTTTCGATCATACGGTATATTTAGATCACCCCCATTGTCCACATATTTTATTACAAAAATATGAAGTGAAAATCGTAGAGAAAACCTGATATTATAAAGCTCTTTAGGAATACTGAGTCACCCTGTACTAATATATTTAAAGAAGTTGCTAAAAACACATTTTTCATAAACTTAACTCTGTTTGAGTGTATATTTGTGCATTCACTCACACTTACAACGAAAAAATAGATATTTTTCTATAAAGACTTCTTAGTTCAATGTGATAATATCCTTAAAAAATCTATATTTCTTAAATATAAACATTTATAATGTTATAAACAAAATGTTGAGATACAATACTCGAGATTTCTGGTATATATTGATACTTTTACTAAATTAAACACATGTATATTTAACAAAAGTGACTAGATATGTGTTCATATACCACAAAAAATATATCTTTATTTGGTAAAAAAAGTTCAAGATAGAAAAGTATTCTAAAAATAGACTAAGATAATAAAACATTAACTTAATGGGAAAAAGGAACAAATGGGAATACAGTAAGTAAGTAATTCTTTAATACAAACTTGTCTTCTTCATTATACGTAGAAATTCTTCTTGATTAATTTCACCGTCGCCATCTCTGTCTGCTTCATCAATCATTTCTTGCAGTTCCTCATCTGTGAGGTTCTCTCCAAGTTCCTTGGCCACTCGTTTCAAGTTTTTAAAACTAATCTTACCGGTCTCGTCATCATCAAATAGTCTTTAACGATAGATAATATGTATTAATCATACAGTCTATACTTATTACAAAAAAATTACCTGAAAGCTTTTAGTATTTCTTCCCGGGAATCTTTTTCTGCCATCTTCATCGACATTAATTCAAGAAAATCTTCGTATGATATTTTTCCTGTACCGTCTTTATCAATGTCTGCAATCATTTTTTTGATTTCTTCCTATAATCAACATTACAAAGTAACATAGTGTTCCATAAAAGCTCTATATTAGTGTAAATATAATTAAATGGCCTGAGAATCTATGAAAATATAATAATGTGTGGTAACATGTTAGATAAAAAAGACTGCGAGTGAAAATAGAACTTGTATGGAGCTTTTCTGGAACACTAGGTAGTCATAGTGTAGAATTAACTAAACTATATACACACAATTTTAGTGGTTACTATGACGTTTAATATTGAATAAATAATAAGTTCTCCGACCAAACAGAAAAACCAAACACAATGTGTATCACAACAAAACACAGGGCTTGAAGTTTTTAAATCTATACCTTTTTAGGTTCAAATCCTAAAGCCCTAATGGCAACTTTTAAGTCCTTTGCGTCGATTTTTCCGCATCCTTCCGAGTCAAAGAGATCGAAGGCTTCTTTAATGTTATTCTTCTCCTCTTCGCCTAATTCGAATTTTGGGCCAGATTTTTTTCGAGGCGGTGCTTTCTTAATTATGCCAGACGATGAAGATGCCTTAAATATTTCGTTTAATAACATATTATATATATTACAAATTAAAACTCACCATCGAAAGTTAATATTTTCTTTTTAATAAATTGCTTTAAAGATTACTCAAATTTATGAAATTTGAAAATATTAAAAATCCCTCTTTGTTGATATTTTTGACAGTCAAAAAAAAAAGAATTCAAATGAGGGTGCAGCCACACTATCCTAAAAACGCCGTATCGGCGTAACGACGTAATGACCTTGAATAGATTTCCAGTAATTCTATTGGCTGAAACATTCATCTGTCAGAAATTTTATCTGTCAAATTCATCTGTCAAAAATTTCAGCCAATAGAATTACTGGAAATCGATTCAAGGTCGTTACGCCGTTACGCCGATACGCCGTTTTTAGGATAGTGTGGCTGCACCCTGAAAACAAGAAACAAGAAACTTCTATTTGATTGGTCAATAAACTAAAATCATGTGTTTTTAGTCTATGGTTTTAAGTTGCTGACCTTGATACGTATCTTTGCTGCACTTAGATGATGTTGCCGGATTGTAGATCTAGTATTTAAATTATTTCGCGTTCAGGGACGGTTCATGAGACAGCTGCTGTTTCTTCTTTTTGCTGCTTTTTGCCGTTTAGGAAATATCGTAAAATGTCATAAATCAAGGGTCAGCAAAATTCTACACTGATCACTCTGATCAGCGCCTGTGTATGGCTCACGTATGGCTGTGCGGCTTTGATTAAAATTCAGTTTGGCAACCCTGGCAACATTTACGGTATACGCATGCGTAGTCTCTTTGAACAAGTGCAGTAAATAAACATCTGAAACTCACCTACTATGTTCTTAATTTTATCATATATAATTAATATTTATATATGATACATCTATTTATATTTATATGCCATTTGCTGACGTATTATTGCATTTTGTCATTATGATGACAATGACATTTAGAGGTAAATAAAACAAATGAGAATTTCTTGAATATTTTTTTAAAAATTGAAATTTTTGTTCGTTCGGAACATTATTTATAATGCACGAAGCTTATCAAAATCATTCTCTTATTAAACTAAATCATCAAATAGAATCCATCGCTGCCCACGGTAAGTGTTACGCTTTTTTCTAGATGCTAACATTAATATTTCATTAAAATTATTATTTATTGTATTTCTAAAGATGACACTCTGTTGGTGGGTACTCGACAAGGACACCTTTTTATGTACAAATTAGAAAACAACTCTAAATGCGAACTAACATTGATGCGATACAACAAATCGTTTAGTAAAAAACCAATACAACAGTTGTGTATAATTCCAGACCAGAACTTGCTTGTCAGTCTTACAGGTTATTATAAACTTGCCTAATAAATTTGTTTCCTTTATACCAAATTGTTAAATTACAGATAACTTGATCCAATTACATGATATCAATGCAATTAATTTTACCACACTGCATCAAATACCAGAAAGCAAAGGAGCAACGTATTTTACTGTTAATCCACAAGTAACATTTTTAAAATATAGCTGATAAAAGTTAGAGAAGGCATTTTTATTGATTTTAGAAAATTGTTTCAACCACAGGCGACACCCATGTATTAATATCTTTAGCCGTTGCAGTTAAGCGTAAAATTCAATTGTATTATTTAAAGAAAAATGAATTTCACTCTTTTGGTAAAGATATATTGTTAAATGATATTCCTAAGTCAATGGCATGGTGCCAGGATGTAATATGTGTTGGGTATCGTGATGAATACGCTCTATTAAAAGTGAAGGTTTGAAAATTAAGCCCTTGTATGTCTAGTTTAGAAATTCAAGTTAATTTTTTTAGGAAAATGGGAAACAAACTGATCTTTTTCCTACTAGTAGTACAAAGTCGGCAGATCCATGTATTTTACAGATATCCGACTCCCATTTTGCATTATGTCGAGAAAATCAAACGGTTCTTGTCAATACGGAGGGAGAGACTGAAAAAAACAAAACTTTGAAATGGTCTGCGATACCTACCTACTTAGCACATGATGAACCTTACACACTAGGAGTTCTTACTGATTGTATTGAAGTAAGAAAGTGTTATTCAATTACTTGCAGGGTCCTGCAACAGTGCATCTGGCATCTGTACTTCCTATAATAAAAAACTTATGAATTTTGTATAAGTGCAAATCTAAAGTATGTAATAGGACGTATTTTAGGAAAATATTTTAAATTCCACAAGGTTGAGTGGATTGGGATGATTTTTTAAAAGGAACACACGTATATTATTGCATTTTTGGTTTCCTTTCTGATCACTTTACATAGTTCTAAGATATTATTAAATCTGTTTCGATAGTTTCAGAGATATTAATAAATAAATCAATAAAAAATATCTTTTCAGTCTTTATAAAAAATAAAATCTCAAGAAATATCCTGAAATCAAAACTATACTAGGTATTTACTATAGTTGGCCTGTATTTAACTTTGCTATAAATATTATAACCTTAAATAATATAGTGTTCAAAATTCTCCGCCAAAAATACAAAATAAATTTTCTTTGTCTTTTTAAATGGAACACCCTGTATATATTTTTCGGTTGGGTGCAGAATTAAAAAATGAACAACGCATTTAAAGTATTTTAAAGTTGTTAACAGTTTAGCAGATATTTGCAGTATTATATTAGATACATACCGTGTGCATCTCATAAGTTGCTCACCCCTATAACTTTTTTATTTTTTTCAAATAAAATAAAGAGACTTGGTATGTTAGTATATGACATAAATAAGGATTGATTGACGTATTCAGTTGTTTTTGGTCACTTCCTGTCTCACCGGAAATGATTACAACTTTTGATTTTTAATTTACACCCTCGGTATTTTTTTACTTTATTTGATAGAAAATGACGCTCTGAATCGAATGACATATTATATGTCAACTTGTGACATTTTCACTTAAAACAAAATTGTATTTTAAATTTCAATTTAGAGTGCTGAATGGCTGTGTTAAAAACACTAATTTTTAATCATGGAGCCTTGGAAAAATATATTTGATCGTCTAATGTTTTTAGTGCCTTGTCCTGATCGGTTCAAAGATGCCCAAATCGCATTTTTAATTATATCTCAATTTTAAATATTTGTTTTTTTTAATTACCAGAATTATTTAATACTTTACTATCAAAATATAAACGAAAATAAAATAAAAAAGTCTTTGCCCTGACCCGGATTCGAACTCTGAATCATCGGTTCGTGGTCGGAAACTCTACGCACTGCGCTATGGAGATATGTTCGATTTATATTCAATACTAGAATTTATAGGACTAAATTAATAAAAAATGTTGGATCTTCTTTCGGGTATTGGCAGTCTTCAACGGGTATCGGCAGTCAGACGGGCCGCATACTGTTCCAGAAAGCATAATAAAAGATATATCAAAGAGCCAGACGTCTTAAAATACTTTCTCGAAAACGTTGCTAGCTCTTAGACTATAATTTTTTTAAGAAAATGTAAAAGTAATGTCTCGAAATAAGGTTTTTTACCGATTCGCTTCCCCGCCTATAATTGTCACCGCACGCCGCTCTAATAGACCCTAGTACATATTTTAGGTAAGCGCTTAAACAATTTTTTTACAGGATGTACAGACAATGGCGTGCATATAATGTAGACAAAAAGGCGTTGCCTACCCCAGACAATATCATAAAATAATTTTTTACATCGTTACGCTATAACTCATTACTTCTGCGTTATCGCGCAATTCCCATATAAAATTTTCCATAAAGGGGCTCCATATTATTTACTCCAAGACGGTTTGGAATTTACTTTATATTGTCTCTAATGGGATGGTAAAGGTTGCGCCATTGCCAATCTGCCACGTACTCTACAGATCGCAATGACTGAAAGGCCAATGTGTAAGAAAGAGATAAAATATGGAAGTAACGCGTGAGTGTGTGACTGTGCAGTGTTGCCAAATCTGAACATTTTTCCCCCAATTTTCAATAAAAAATAATTATTGATTTACGCTGCACGCCACAGCCTACAGAGGCCCAACGCACTGTTTCGGGACTTTGTATAGCTCCAAAATACATAAGTTATATTTAGGTCTGTACTCTGGAACCCAGTATAACAATTCAAACATTGCCAGACATGCCCAAAGTAAGATTTCTTGTACAGGCAAGTTCGGGTGTATTGTTTGCAGCGTCTTTATCCCAAGTATGGTGCGTTAAAGCGATAGATGTTGCCAAACAGCGTGAGATTCTAGTTAATTCCAAGGAATTTCAGTTGGCTTTAAAATTAACTGTAAGTTACTGATTTTTTTAGGCAATTCAAAAACAAAAGTTTAATAATGTCGGTTTAACTTTCAGCAAATCTCAAATGAATCGGAAGAGGAAAAACAGGCTAAAATACACAATATTCAAACACTTTTAGCTTATGATTTGTTTGCTAAGAAACAGTTCCATGAAAGTATGAATGAATTTTTAAAATTGGAGACCGACGCTTTTGATGTTATCCGGTTAGTGTTATAATATTAGACTTGTCAATTTTTTTTGAAAAGTACTTTGAATAAAAAGATTAAGGAAGGAGTATAATGCTAACCATGTATTCATGCAAGGTAGACGGACAAAGGCCCTAAGGTGGGAATCCTTGACAGTTCTGTTTGACGATTCATTTGACACATTTGAATTTGATTTTACTGAGCTTATTTTATCTTATTTATTATTTATTCTACTACTGATAGTTGTTTAAAGATAGTAAATCTAGAAGGAAATTGAAGCAGAACTTAAATTATCGGTGACACTATTGCGATTTACTGAAAAAGACTGTTAAATAGTTGGTTGTGTAGCGTGCGGTAGATCTCGGTCAAAAATCGTGGGAAATAATGGAATAACTTTTCGCTAGTAAGTGACTATATAATATACATACGTGTAGTAAACTGATAATTTATGAAATTCATTTAAAATTAACTTACTATATATTTTTTCTTGCATTTTTGCTTTTATTTGCTACTTGTCAAAGATTAGATGTCAAAGAATTTAGATACGTCAATTTGACTTACCTGCTTCAGTAGCGTATCGGATGTTTGTGTTAATAAATAATTATTATAACTTATCAATTTTTATTACAATTATATATTTTTATAACAATTTTAATAACTACCGATATTTATTAACATAAAATAAAACAATAAATTATTGAGTCTACCGTACATCATATTTGTATATATTTTTTAAGTCGACCATTCTAGGACCCCCTCGCGGTCAATCTAAGATGCTCCTTCTTTAATCTTTTTATTCAAAGGAAAAATAATATTTTTTTTTCCATTGTACAATTTTTTTAAGAATTTTGCTTCTAGTTTAAATTGCGTTTATCTCATCATGAAGATCGAAATAGACAAAATATCAAGTTATAACTTTTAATCGGCATTAAACGGCCTATAAAATTTTTCTAACGAGAGAAAAAAGGTCAGTGGCGCACATGTTTTTATAGAAAAATATGCCAGTGATAACCTATATGCACGTCTCTGGTAATACGTCCACACTTTTTTAGCATTAAAACATGTCGCAGTTATAGTATCTTTTACTCTCAAAATTTCATTCGAATCGCTAAAAGCATTTGAAAGAAAATTATAATAAATCGAAAAAAATGAAAACTTTAACCCCCTGTAGCTACGGAACAAAGCAGAATCGGACGTATGTTGATATAAAAAATTAATCTTATTTTTATGTGAGGAATCTCCTCACGAGAGATGGCCGTATATGTTAAGTCTACTTTTATGCATGTCTTTTTTGTTAGGTTATTTCCTGATTTATTACCGCAAGGTCAGCAAGATGAATATCCCGACTCTTCTAAAGATTTAACAGATAAAGAACTGGAAGATAGTCGTTTAGCATTGATAGAATATCTAACGGAAATGAGACACAGATTGCAAGATACAAAGGTAAGAATGTTGTATTTATCCAGTGGCTCAAGAATACAAGGACGAATAACACCAGAAATCAAATTGTTACCAGTTGACCTCAAAGCTATTTGGCCAGTGCCGTGTCAGGGGGTTAATATAAAGAATGTTTAATTAAATAAAAATTGTAATTTTAATTGTTTCACAAATATTTTTTTTTAATTATTAGTTGATGGTTTTTAATTTTATTTTTTACGTGTCTCTCTCTGTCTTCTATTTTATATACATTTACTTATCTTTTTTTTCTAAAAAACTCTGTGATGACGCGTTTTTTACAAGAGAAAAATGTATTATGTAATAGCAAAACATTTTCCGATGCACGTCATCAATCATTGACACATTGCCACTAAAGTCTATAAACCTGACTAAATGAAATTTTGGCAAAAATGTTTGAATTTGTTGTATAATTTAAGATACCGAGCAGCTCTTCATTTGACTTTATAGAGCAAATGATTGTAACAGATATTTTATTTAGATTAAAGCTGCAAAAATTAGTTTAAACCGAAATTTATTATCACTATGTTGAATGTTGGTCACATTGCGCCGTTTTCAGCAAGCTTATCGTTTATTATTTGACAATTATCCTAATGTCAGTTATTATTTTGTATAATATCGTGTTGTTGAATCTTTGTGAGTAATTCTCGTTTTTGTTTGCCCATTTTAATAGTTTTTTTTTAAATTATACTTTTAAGCATAAACAGTTCTTTGAAGAACTAAATTTTCGAGTTTTTGTACTGCGTTTCTTAAAATTGTGTGTTGAAAATATGCCGAAGCATTTAAACAGTCGAAGCAAAGAGCTTGTAGATAAACTTCCCTGATAAACTATTTTGAACGAAAACGTGACAATAAAGGTCCTTTATTACCCTTGATTGCAGTCAGAGAAGTAAGTTTGATTGATAAGCACATTACACCACTTTCAAAGTTATTTCTACGTTAGTTTTAATTAAATTCTGTGATTATTAGTTTGTGCATTAATAGCACCCTCTAACTTGTTATTACCACTTATGGCGTTGTACGATGTACATCAATAAATAAATAATTAACACATAATAACGCTTAGAATAATCTTCATAATGAACTAGTTTTTGCCAATATGTAATAAGTAAAATAAGCTATAAAACAAATAAATCAATTAATTACTCAAATATTACTTTTAAATTAAGATTCATCTTATAAATCCATCACAATCTGGCAGCGCTGTAGCCATCGCTTGTCACTCAAAGTTGATCACGTGCATCGGAAATTGTTTTGCGATTACCTTAGTAAATATTATGAGGACCATTTTACGAAAAAAAAATCAGCGGTCGGTGGAGTTGGACAATATTTCTACTAAAATGTGTGTAGGAGTGGGGGTAGTTTTGCAACCTTGCCGTACTTTTTCTTGGTTTTTGTAAAAGTCAAATATTAAAGCGCTTAGCAAAATGTACATTTTTCCTTCAATAATTTTTTTTTCTAAAATAAATAGTAATAGAGATAGAGCAATTTTTTACTATACGTTTTATAAATTTTCCAGTTTTTTTAAACCAATCAGATATAATTTTTGCATTAACAGTATAGTGATAATATAGATAAACCAAGTATAAATATAAGCATAAAAACAATTAAAAATAACGTTTAGAAATTATTTATTAAATAAAATTATTGTTAAAAAAATTATTATTAAATTAAAGTTAATAAATGAAATGTGCTCTGACGTCATCCTGAGCGTCATATTCGTCCTCAACTATAATACAAAGGTTTGTGCAACTGATTCCGTAGCACTGACCACACTTTGAAGAACATTAAAGACCCAGTTTTCTATAAGAGCAATTTTTAGAGCACTGATTCTTTGCAATTGAAAAAAAAATAATTTTAGTAGGTCAGGATCAGTCAGGTGTCAGATTGCCTTTTTGATTTTTCTTTCATCCATATTGTAAAGGATCTAACTTGTTACCAATCCATTCTTGAATCTAAGAAATACAACTTATAACATTTCTTATAATAGATATATCTTTACAGTTACTTGAAAGTATGTCCTGAGTAAATGGAGTTTTGTAGAGTTCTCAGTTGGAGGCAAATTAGCCAAATTAAAGGTTAAAGGTAGTCTTAAGGGCTTGTTTGATGTAATCCTATTGTATAGAGTGTATCTCAGATAGTTAATATGTTTAATATAGCTTGGGCAGTGATATTGCTTTAAAAGATAATTTAATCCTGACTCAAACAAGTCATCTTTGTTAGCATTTTTTTCTTAAAATACGTCGAGATATTGACAAATATCGTTATCTTTTTCAGTATTGACAAGCACATTTTTTTATTTTTTTTTAAATAAAAAGGAGGTAGTATCATAGCCCGATATATAGTCTGTCCAACGAGAAGATCCTTGACAGTGATAGATGTGTCTGTCATTTTAATTTCAAAGTAGTTATTTTATTTTACAAAGAAATAAGTTGGTACAACTGGAACGCATAGCAGGATATATTTAAAATTTGATTGACAAGAGACAGGGTACTTCAAAATATTGTGAAAAAAACTGTATAAAACTCAAAAATGTAATTGAGTTATTTTATTTAATAAAAACGGTATGTGTTAATACATAACAAACAAGAACAGGACACTACATACCAAAAAAATATAAAAAAGAACTATTATTTACTTTCAAGCTTTATGAAACTACCCGCATTTATGATTATATTTATCAATATAACTTATGTACAAATACAAATTTGTAATATTCCACAGGAATAAATAAAACAACATAGGTAAATAAAACAAACTATTTTATTAATAATAACACCTACCAAATTTTATACCTTAAAAGTTGATTAATTAACTTATTAATTATTACTTATCTTAATTTTTTAAACCAGTACCTTTTGACATTATTTTTCTGCAGTACTAAAATCCATTATTTACCTATCGTGTGATGTCGATATTTTACAGCTACTCCAGTTTTTAGTATGTGTTTAGTTTGATCCTTCTACCATATACGAGATGCACTTATCTACGACGAAATGGTATACAAACTTTATCGATGGCAACTTCATTGGTGTATAAGACTTTCTGCCTGGGCAGCGAGTATTAACCATAAACTGTGCTCTGGCTGTGCTCTGGGTCTACAGTTAATTTTCACTCGATTTTTCCTCCACTTGACTTGAAAAGACACAAAACACACGTAATAATACGAATCAAAATGCATCATCTTCCAAAACGCAGGGTATTTAACAAAAGTTGACACAAAATTATAACCTATAATTTGGCAAGACTTTGACAAGCGTCAAAAATGACAAAATCTAAAGGCGAGTTCATACGCATCGGCGTTCGTTTGTCGTTCATCGTTCCGTCAAACCAATAAAATTGAATTACGATCTGTCATTTTTTAAATAAACCAATAAAACTGGTTAAAAACAACAAGACACGACGTATGACGGATTTATATTTAAACCCATCCATAGATAACTTAAAAATTATTAGAAACTTTTTTTAGTAAAATAAATAGATTGGTATGGGACGTCATCTGTTTTTCTTCTGTCATCGTCTGTCGAAATCTTACCTGAGAAAAAAAACAGAGTATAGCATGTAAAAACAATATGTGTTTTTTAAATGTCCCATTTTGTCTTGTACCTCAGATATTTTGGATATTTTTAGAATCAATTTTTTATGCTTTTTGGAAAAAATCTTCTCACTTTCTTATCGCCTCAACAGGTGTGGAATTATCTATGTCAAAAAAACATATAACAGTTGTCTCAGAGGATACCGATATTATGGTTTTACTTCTATACCATTCAAAACATACAAATATATCCATGCTTCGTCCGGGAAAGGCAGCAAAAGGTGATAAAATATCTGAGGTACAAGACAAAATGCGACATTTAAAAAAACACATATTGTTTTTACATGCTATATCGGGCTGTGATACTATCTCCTTTTTATTTAAAAAATAAAAAAAATGTGCCTCGTCGGTAGTGAAAAAAGATAACGATCTTTGTCAATACCTCAAAGTATTTTTAGAAAAAAATGCTTTGAAGAATTTTAAAGCTATATTACTGCCCAAGCTATCTATATTAAACATATTAACCATCTGAGATACACTCTATACAATAGGGTTACATCAAGACAGACCATTAAGATTACTTTTAATTTAGCTAATTTGCCTCCAACTGAGAACTCTGCAAAACACCATTTACTCAGGACATACTTTCAAGTAACTGGAAAGCTATATCTATTATAGGAAATGTTATAAGTTGTATATTTTAGATTCATGAATGGATTGGTAACAAGTTAGATCCCTTACAATATAAATGGAAGAAAGATCACAAAGGTAATCTGACACTTATTCAATCAACAGAAGATGAGTAATTTTTTGCCATTGCAAAGAGAGTCAGTGCTCTAAAAATTGCTCTTGTAGAAAACTGGGTCTTAAATGTTCTTCAAAGTGTGGTTAGTGCTACGGAATCAGTTGTACAAACTTTTGTATTTTAGTTGAGAACGAAAATGACGCTCAGGATGGCGTCATAGCAGTTTTTATTTAATAACTTTAATTTAGTAATAATTTTTTAACAATAATTTTATTTTATAAATAATATTTAAACATTATCTTTAATTGTTTTAATGCACAAATTTATACTTGGTTTATCTATATTAACACTATACTGTTAATGCCAAAAAGTATAGCTGATTGGTTTAAAATAACTGGAAAATTTACAAAACGTATAGTAAAAAATTGCTCTATCTCTATTACTATTTATTTTAGAAAAAAAATTATTGGAGGTAAAATATTCTAAATTTAATTATCTACAAAAAACATGTCTTTAGTTTTTTCGAAAAAAAAGTTATGCAGTTAGTATATTATTATATATTTGAAAAAAACGAAAAAATCCAATATGGCGGCGGTTTTTTTCAAACTTCCCCTACTGGGACCGAATGGGACTTTTGAGGGGTTAAATAGGAGATCATTAGCTACATATTCCCGTTGAGATTGGTTGGTTACTAATTTTTTTCACCTTTACATATAATACTCGGCTACGTTTACTGGCCTAAAACGTGTTTATTTTTTTATAGTTTGATGCCGTCTAGTGAACAAATGAGGCAGGTTTACAGAGAGGTAAATTGTGTCCAATAAATTTATTTTAATTCCAAAAATACGTAGTATTATGTAAACGAAATATTGGAAACCCTGTTATACGTTCTTGTATTCTTTAATCATTGTATTTATCTTTATATCAACGTTCTATATCACTCACTTACAGGGTTTATCAAACGCACGAGGAAATTTAAGCGAAAAATCCAGCAAATCTACTGACCATTTGCTTCAAATTATCGATACGACTTTGCTGAAATGTTATTTACAAACTAACGACACTCTGGTGGCTCCGTTGATTCGCTTGAATCACTGTCATTTTGCGGAGACTGAAAAAATACTGAAGAAAAAAGGTCGCCATAAGGAACTAATCATTTTGTATCAAACTAAAGGTAGGTTATACCTTTGAATAAGAAGACTAAGGAAGGAGCATATCAAAAATCTTAGGTACACCGCGATGGGCCTCAAATATGGCCGACTTAAATTCCGGTTTATCAGTGTCGTTCTAACTTTATTTAAAAAATGTAAAACTATGATGTATGGTAGACGTGGGGCAGACTCAATAATTTGTTGTAATTATATATTACAACATTATTGTTCGCATTTGATGCTGCCTCTTACTCCTGAACATCAGCGTAACCACCTGGAATGATTCAATGGGATTAGGAATGGTATCATGTGGTCTTTAGGGACGAATCCTACTTCTGTTTTGGGGACGCACAATAGTCGGGCAAGGGTGAAAAGACGATGGGGTGAAAGAAGCAAATCTAATACAGTTTGATAGAGAACGTCATGACCATCATACTGTCGGCATTATGGTTTGTCTCCCATTGAACATGTCTTGTTGATGAATGAATAAGTATATTGTTATATCTGTCTCCCATTAAACATGTCTGGGTCATAATGGCTTGAAGAGTGTCAAATTTAGAACACCATCCGCAGACTTTATCAACCCTTATGCATGAAGTTGAAGCAGCCTGAAATAGGATACCCCAAGAGAATATCGACGCATTGCAAAAATCAATGCATTTTCAAAAATCTACCTTCAAATTAGTAAAATTGATAATACAGGTCCATAGAAAGCTACAATCATGCTACAATTAAAATACTAGCAAAAATGTGATTGTGTCATTGTCAAATTCGGTGTAACATTTTCTTCTTCTTCTTTCTTCTCAAACTCTCCTTTTCAGGAGAGAGTTGCGTCGCCTAGGCTGCTAGGGCCATTCTGGCAAAGTACTTTTCTGCTTTTCTTTTTTATGAGTGGTCACGTTTTATGGACTTTCACTGATTTACCCTTCCTTCTTAACGACTAACAATTATTGAGGCTATTAAGCAGGTTGCTTTAAGCTCTGCGACTATTCAGTTATGCATGCGTTCTACGAGATTCACATTTTATTTACAAAAATTTGAAGATACCAAACAGAGTAAGAGATATAATAAGATATAAACAGAGTAATAATAAGTATTTATTAACACAAACATCCGATACGCTACTGAAGCAGGTAAGTCAAATTAACGTATCTAAATTCTTTGACATCTAATCTTTTACAAGTAATAAATAAAAGCTAAAATGCAAGAAAAATATATAATTTAGTTAATTTAAGTGAATTTCTTAAATGATCGGTTTACTACACGTATGTATATTATATAGTCACTTACTAGCGAAAAGTTGTTCCATTATTTCACTCAATTTTTGCCGAGATCTACCGCACGCTACACAACCAACTATTTTAGAGTCTTTTTCGATAAATCGCGATAGTGTCACTGTTAATTTAAGTTCTGCTAATTACCTTTATACAACTATCAGTAGTAGAATAAATAATAAATAACATAAAATAAGCTCCGTAAAGACTGACACATCCACAAAATTTCAAATCAAATTCAAATGTGTCAACTGAATCGTCAAACAGAACTGTCAAGGATCCCCACCCTAGAGAGCTTTTATGGTGCTTTTTCCGCCCACCATGCATGAATACATGGATAGCAATATGCTCCTTCCTTAGTCTTCTTATTCAAAGGATTATACGAACTTTTCAAACGTCACTTGTCGAAAGTCAAAGTGACTGTAAAAGTACACGTGGCAACATTGCGACGTGCATTCGTCAAATATTTTGATGACGTATTTATTGGAAAATAGTAGAGTACTATATTACATGGATAATGCTTACAGGTCAACACAGAAGAGCACTGGAGCTCTTACAATCCGAAAACGACATCGACAAAACCGTAACTTATTTGCATCATTTAGGCTCAGAAAATATGGGCCTAATTTTGGAATTTTCTGAGTGGGTTTTGAACGCGGCTCCTGAGGAAGGTTTGAAGGTTAGAAAACGTAACTGTCGAAATCAAAGTCACTAAAAAATTAGAAGCAAATATCGATAAATGAAACAAGTTTTGATTGGAAAGTGCCCATAAGGACGATGTACTGTCTGTTTAGCGATCGTTCAACGTTACGTCATCATTATTTGTCAAATATGCGTGTTAGGGTGTGTCTGAGATCAGTTTATATTGTTTAAAAAAAATTAAGTACATCCCTTAGATCTTATAAACTTCGTGGATAAATAAATTCGCTTCGTTTTTGTTGAAGACACGTCAGCGACATTCGACTATCTGATTATCCTTGTCAAAGACAAAGATAATGAGATATTTTTGTTAAATTAATTAAAATTTTAACCCGGCAAATATATAAACTAAGAAATAGAGAAAATAATATTGTTATTCGGATATTAATTATTTTTTGGATTATATTACCCTTCGACAATTACGACAGACATATTCTAATACAAAATTTACTAGTATATTAGTATAATAAATCGTATCTATTTTAAAAATAAACTTATTAAAAAACTTGGTATTCTATACAATAAAATATACTTTCATACTCTAGAAGTTCAAGATGCATAAAATTATTAAATATATTGGTACAGTATAAGACGTGACATTAGGGTGTCCGTTATTTCTCAAACTGATTTTTTTTGCTGCTGCACTCTGAAATTTTAGTTTTTTGCTCTAAAAAAATTATCCAACGTAAACAAGCTCTTAATTTTTAATTTAAACCGTATCGGAATCATGATACATGATCATAATTTCCCATTTAAATAACATGAGGTTTTTTGACCTTTTGCATTTCATTTTTTATCTCTAAAGCAAATGAACCTCCAGCTTCGACAAAGACATATTCTAATACAAAATTTTACGCTCTACAAAAAAGATCTCTTTGGGTTTTTTCATAAAAACATTCCTTTAAAAGTTATTCTCGGTCAAAGTTATGCACATAGTTTATAATCAAATTTTCACTGCAAATTTCGAGTGGTTTTTATCTTAAATATCACTTGTATCGAATTAATTAAATTAAACAAGTAATATTTATTAATTTAATATTTGACCGCGAATAACTTTTAAAGGAATGTTTTTTTTATGGAAAAAACCAAAGAGACCTTTTTTTGTAGAGCGTAATATAAATGTCTTTGTCGAAGCTGTGGGTTCATCTGCTTAATATCTGAGATAAAAAATTAAATGCAAAAGGTCAGAAAATCCCATGTTATCTCAATGGGAAAAGTATCATGATTCCGGCACGGTTTAAATTAAAAATTAAGAGCTTGTTTACGTTGGATAACTTTTTTTAGAGCAAAACCTAAAATTTCAGAGGGCGGCAGCAAAAAAAATCAACTTGGGAAATAACGGACACCCTAACGTCACCGTGCCATGGATTTTTTTAATTTTTTTAAGATTCTGAGTTTGACAGCGGAAATACTATCTGCCTTTGAATGGCGGGAAGCCGAGCATTCCAATCCAAATTTATTTCTTTTACCTATGGAAGCAAATAAGGGAGACATTGATATCGGTTTCAGATTTTTACCGAAGATATTCCTGAAGTTGAAAATCTACCTAGGCCAAGAATTTTGGACACCTTGTTGAAATCGCACAAGGAATTGGCGATTCCTTATTTAGAGTACGTCATTCAGAAAGACGACAATCCCTTTTTCCACAATGCTTTGGTGCACCAATACAGAGAAAAGATTTTGAAAGATGGAGTGGAACAGTCCGAGCCTATAAGAGTAAAGTTACTGGAATTTTTACAGCAGGTTAGTAACAGTCTCGTATATGAGATAGTGTAAATGGTAGCTTAATAGACAGCTTAATAAAAGAGATAAAAATTGGGTTGGTATATTTCTTCTATGCTGTATTGCCGGATTTTACATCAACATTTCAAATCATACAAGCATAGTAGAAGGAAAGGAGTAGTTGCACTCTCCCAAATATTTTCTGCCAGTTTTTACAATATGTCGAATATCGGCAGATTGCAGAGCGTTTCAGTTGAGTTCCGTCCGTCGACCTGCGAGGTTCGAGCGTTGCGTCCCAGCACAGAGACGGATTGCCAAAAAAAGAGTGCCTTACTGTGTGGTGCTGTTGGTTGTAGTTATAATTCAAAAAATTGTGCTTTGAGTTTTTTTTGAAAGTCATTTGTGATCTTGTTTGTGTGGAGGTTAATTTTCTCATGACTGATTACTACTTAATAATTTGATATTATTTTCATTTAAACCTCAATTTTTTATCGATTGTACTTTGGACAACCATCCCTTGCTTGCTGTTTAACGAACTGTACCATCATTGAACAAACATTTGCTAGTACCGGAAGTACCGAAAAAAAACTGGAAATCCCGGTTCCTTAGAGAGAGGCATGGTACCGAAATTACCGGTTCCGGAAACGCTATAACGTACTGTAAGGTTCCCTTTTTGAGAACGCTTACGGACGCCGAGTTGCCTTGGTTCATTACTCGGGCGCCACCCTCAAAGTTTAAAGTGTTTGAGAGACCACTAGTGCCAGTACGGGTAGCTTTTATACAGTGGAGATACCAGGGAGTGATGAGATGAAAAGAAAATAAAACACACAATTAACTATAACGTAACACTAGGTTTTTATTTAACAAATTAATTATGTACAAAAGCAATCAAAGAAACTTTACGTTCTCGAATTGTAACAATAGTAAAATAAAATGAATGCTAGAAACTCGTAAAGCAAAATTTACACTAACAACCGCGTACCTCTAGAGTTCTGATCGATTATTCCCAATACGCAACTATCTGACTGACTCTATCACTCGAACTCGAACACAAGACGCGTTCCCAAAGTGACGTTCCGTTATACACAGAGACGCGGTTCCCGGATCGGCGGCGATGTTAACAGCATCCCGTTGGACACGACGACGCGAGTCCCAGATCGGTGTCGGAGTTAGCGGCGCCCCATTGGACACAGACACGTGGGTACCGGAGCAATACACTCTACAGATACGCGGCGGCGACGTCTTTACAGGCGTCCCGATGGTCACAGCAACGTATTTATCGGAGCGGCGTCCTTTTGACAGCGAAACACGGACCCCGGATCGGCGTCGGAGTTAACAGCGTCCCGTGGAACACAGACGCTAGTCCCGGATCGACGTTGAAGTTAACAGCGTCCCGTGGGACACAAACGCGAGTCCCGGATTGGCCTCGAAGTTAACAGCGTCCCGTGGAACACAGACGCGAGTCCCAGATTGGCGTCGAAGTTAGCGACGCGTCGGCGAGTTGTACGCCGTTCGGATAAGCGCAGCACACACACACAGCCCGGTGACAGCCTCGGGATTTAGGCGAGATCCCATCGAGCGTCACTGTTACATGGCACCGTCCGGACGGCACACCGGTACCATCCGGACGCCTCGGGATTTCGGCGAGATCCTGTCAAGCGCCTTAAATATTCGCGACCCGTGCGTTTACTGAACTACCTTAGCTGTCCCTTAAAAAAGTAATTCATTATTAGCCCTTAACTAACCTTTCCCGAGAGGTACGTCATGCCTGAGCAGATGTCAGAGAGAACCCAGAAGAGCCACGATTCCTAGCGACCTGCCCTAGCACAGCGTATTCCCTCTTTTAATGCGCTTTTAATGTACTATCTATCCCCAAAATCCCGGGTCATGAGGCTATCGCATCGTTCATTAATTTGTCCGAAGACGGACAAACTAGCAAGGATGACGGCGCACTGGTACTGACTTCGAATCACCAAACTTCAGGTCCACCTAAGCTATCCTCACTGAAGGCAGTAAACTGTCCGCAGTGCGGCGGCCAAGCACCTGGTGGATGACGATCCACGCGTTCACGCAATTCGGTCAAATAGCCCACAACCTGCAAAGAGGACACAATTTGGCCTATCTGAGCGAATGTAAGTTTTGCTGTCTCCCTTACCCCTATAACGCGCTTAGGTAGTAGAGTAAACGCTAGTAATAATAAAAAGAATACGACCTACCCTCGATCACTTCGGCGGCTGGTACTTACCTTGCGCAGTACGGCAGCGATCGGCGGCTGGCAGCTGGTTACTCGGCGGGGCACTCCGGGCTCGAACTCACTGTTCACTGCTTCGCGTGCGACCACAAACTGTCGTTTTAATATATATGCTGCAACTTATACCGGGTCGACAAGAGAACGGTATTGGGTCGACGTTTACTTACTTGTCTACACTTCATACCAAATAAACTTTTAGTCGGTGATTAAGCTTCACCGGCACAGCGTTGCCCCCTTTTATATATTTTCTTTTAATCAAAATATTTTAGGAAAAAAATAAATTAATTATAAAAATATAAACAGTTATTATTTACATCAATAAAACCCACCTGATTAACAGTACCCAGGGAACATAAAGGGCCATTACTACCGCTTTCCCGTTCAACATATTCTAATAAAGTTGCGAGCGATGAGTTTTTTACGGCTATTAAGCTATCTTGTACGCTTCGCACTAAAAAAGGTTCTAAAAAGAACAATGTTTGACTGCAAGGTCTGCTAGTAAACATTTTCAAGCTTAAAGTATCACAACACTATTTATTTAAACCAAAAACTCCAATTAATCAGTTAATCCCAGTTAGTCAGCACGGCACCAAATATGTTCATGGTTGGCAACAATGAATTTAAAAATCGCGTTCTCGATTACGTATTTGTATTTGACTAAGAGTGGGTCCCAGGTGAACCCTCCACTGCGGCCGCGAGGGCCTATTGTGGCTCAGTTTCTACAAGCTCTTTAATAGAAAAAGAGCATTAAAGTTCACCCTCAAGACCCAGCCTTTCAACATAGGCCGTTCTGTCCAAGGGTGATATGTCTTCTTGGTCTGATAGGTCTAGCGTGGGTTTGCCAAACACCTCAAACCTGGTCCTGTCCCAGCGCGGCAGGTACACATAACATGCTTCATTGTTTCGTCATCTTCCATACAGAGTCGGCATTCGGCGTCTTCCACCAGTCCCATCCTCTGTAGGTGTGATCTTAACCGGCAGTGGCCCTTGTATACTGCAGTAAGCGTACGCGCTCCGTTCCTACCAGCCTTTAGGAGTTCATCTGTTCTACGTTTGGATGGCTATGCTAGGACTGTCTTGGCATGTTCCTTTCCGGGACTGTCATACCAGTCCCTAAACGTCGCACCCCTAACCCATTCACAGAGCCTGTCTCTTGCGAGATTTTTTGGTACGGTAAGTGTCGGTTCTGGGCCCACGAATGGCAAGCCTGCACCAGTTTTGGCGAGGGAATCAGCACGTTCATTTCCCTCTAGGCTGACATGTCCCGGTATCCATATTAGCGACACTTTGTTCCTATCTCCTAATATATTGAGTAGTTTCTTACAATGAAGAATCGTCATGGACGTGCTTTTCGTTGCCTCAAGCTCGATTACGTAACTAAAAGTTTAATTGATACGAAATAAATAGAAGTGAATCGCTATGGCGACCTTGTAACTCAGAGAGAGAAGAATGCAAAGTTTATTACCTATCCACACATATCCCTGCCTACACACGTAAAAACCGGCAACACTGTAAGCCGCTTTTTATTTTATCTGTCTGTCAACACTCGTATTTCTTTTCTTCTCAATGGCTAAAATATTTTTTTAGAGCACACAGTACACTGCGGAAAATGTTTTAAGAGATTTCCCAGTGGATTGTTTGATCGAGGAACGTGCGATCATTGTTGGACGATTGGGTAAACACGATCAAGCTGTAGCGTTGTATGTTCGAGCTTTGGGCGACTTAGAGAAGGCTAAAGACTATTGCAAGCGGGTATACGATAGTGGTATATCTGGAAGTCAGCAGGTATCTATAATACTTTTTACTATAGCAGAATATTTGAATATAAAAATAATCTTTAACTCCATTTTTGTATTTTTTTTTTAAATTTAACAACCTTTGAATAAAAAGATTAAAGCAGGTCTAACAAAAGTATCTAGGCCTCTCATGCATGTATTCGTGCATGAGAGGCCTAGATCATATTATATACTTACGTGGATAAATCAACGCCATAAGTTTAGCATTAAAAAATATGTCTCCAACATCACGACATGCCATTTTCAAACATTCTTTATTGCACTTATGAAACGTTCAAGAAGCTTGTCTTTCTCGAGGACCTTACTTTGCGCATGCGCACTAAAAGTTGCACGTATTTCCAAAATAATTACAATTTTATACGGTTTAGACCTTTGAATAAGAATATATATCCTTCAATTTAATAGCTGTTTCACTTCAAATATGCACAGATCATAGTGCACACACAATTTTTTTATGCACTCTGTCCTTAATTTTTTTATTCAAAAGTTGAATTTATTCTTAGGCTTAGTTTTTCTTTTTAATAATTATTTCAGGTATATGTTTACTTAATTAACATCATCCTTAAACCGGACAGCTTTCCGTTGAGTCTGCCCGGAATAACTTTGTCCCCGAAAACCGCGCAACCCGACTTGGAACTCGCTCTGCAATTACTGGAAGAGAACGCTTCGAAAATCAACCCCATCGACATATTGACCATCTTACCTGACGACATTCCCGTGTCAAGACTGCACAAATTTTTACTGGTCGCTCTCCAGAAAGTTGTACAAGAAGAACGACGTGTAAGTATGTTTATAGGTTTTATTAGTGTTGGGAAAAATCGGATGATTTCAATCCTCGAGTATTGATCCTCGAGGATTCCAATAATCGGATGATCATCCGAGGAATCCTCGGTCATAAAATGTTCTCTGTATAATATCTCGATCGAAACCTGAATAATACTCGCCGCTGGGTGTGAGTGATTTAGCTTGCTGTTTTTAACACACTGTTGCCATGTACTTGAATGACTTAAATAATATTGTAATAAAAATAAATACTAATTATTTTAAACACTTTTTTAATAATTTTTAATATGTTCGTGTATAATTTCATGTGGGAAATAAAATGTTCATAGGTTTTGCTTTAAATTGTGCTGATTTTGTTTCTTTAACTCCGACTTTGTGGCTAATCTGGCAACCTTTCAGCACACTTTCAGGCCAAATGAAACCAAGTAATTCTAGGAAATACGGGCGGCTTTTTAAAAAGGGTTCGTTATTTATTGTTTATTTGTCGGCGGTCGGTCATTGAGATAAAAAATATATTTTGTTTTACTTTTTAATAGCGTACTTTCACCGAAAATAAACTGTAGTGCCTAATAAATTGTAGTAGTATTGTGTTATTGTTCATATTTTAAGTTTTTGTGCCACATAATATCCAGTTTTAAAATTGAATTTAATAACTGTATTGTTTGGGCACAGGTTAACTAATAATCGAAAAAAAAAAGTTAATGATGATTGTTTCGGGTTTTCAACCTCTTTCTCTTGTGAACCCTCATAACAGAAAAATATTAACTATTAAAATTTTACTTAAGGCCGAGCTTAAGGCTTACAACGAGTCAGCTGTCGCTTTAAAAACTGTTTAAAAAAAAATGAAATAAAATATACAGCAATATTGTTATTGTTCTTGTTGGCAAATTTCGCAAATCATTCACTTTATATCTACGTTCCATCACACTAAATTTCGATTATACTTTTATCACAATATAGTCTCCCAACGTACAACTACAAGCAAAGTTTTTTTTACAAGAAAAGACGTAAATTTAAAATTAAAAATGCAAATAAAGCAAAATCTCCAAAGCCTTAACCCAAATAAACAACTGTGGTTTTGTTAAATGGAATTTTGAAAGTCGAAAACTGACGTATTATGAATTTTCAAATGTTTTAATTCTGAATTATTACACAGAAAAAAACAACATTTTATTATTACATCAATGGTTAAAAAAACTATAAATCTTCAAATATAAAGTCTGGAGAAAAAATCTTTATAATTAATATATCCCATCTAAACGTCTAAACAAAACAAAAATAAGTAATGTATTTCTGTTCAAAAATGCAGGTTATTACTCTGAAAACCGACTAGTGAGTGAAGTGATTAAACGGTTATCCTCTGTCCTCTATATACAAGGTTTCAGCATAAATCGTAAATCGCCTGTATCGTTGCGAGCAGCGAGGACGGTACGCTACACCCGATGTTAGTTGCGTGACGCGTAATGCTCGGGATCGACAAAAAAAGGTTTCAGCATAAATCGTAAATCGCCTGTATCGTCGCGAGCAGCGAGGACGGTACACCACACTAGAGGTGTGTAGTTCGTGGACGAACTAGTTTCAATGAACTATTCCGACCCCGGAATGAAAGGAACTAGTTCCTGGTTTCTCAAAGAACTAGTTCCTCAGGACCTATTCCGAGATCGAGACTGTGACCCATATAGAATAATATCAAATCAAATTAAATCAAATATTTTTATTAGGCCCCAATATAAAAAATATACAAAATACAAACCATACTTTGGCTAACTATAGCCTAATAGCCTAATAAGGAGTGCACCGCGATTACAAAACCGATTCACTGATTGCCAAAGGCATCAGTGTGGCACACTCCCTGTAAAAAATAACTAAACAGAATTTCATTTTCAATACAATAATATACCAACAACAAACAAACCCGTAAGAAAAACAGAGGACCACCGGCAAAGCAAAAAGAAACCCCGAGCGCACAGAACAAAGCGTCTGCAAGACAATTTAGCAATGTTAAAAAGTATATAAATACAATTTCAACACATACACAAATATTTTCCAAAATTGTAAAGCTGAGCAGTGAGCCAGTCAAAACCATATCAAATTAAAGGCCCGTTCACCACAGTTTGCCAAAATAACAAAAGATAAAAGATAAATTTAGAAATAAGTTCTATATTATATTCGATTGTAAAACCAGCAAATTATTCTTAACGTATTTATTAAAATAATGTGATTTAAAGCATTTAACACTGATTGGAAGAGAATTCCATAATTGCGGCGCAAGAAAAGAAAACGATTTCCGAAAGCCAGCCGTCCTATGTTGAGGTATCCTGAAACTATTTAATTTCTTGTTACATGAGTGTGGTCAAAAGGTATAAACAATGATTTTAAATAAGGCGGTTGGCCAGTTTGTAAGATACGGTAGATAAATGTTAACATATGAAGTTTTCGCCTATTTACCATAGACAGAATATTAAATTGATTTAAATATGGCGTAATATGTGTACGAAATGAGATATTATACGAAAATCTCATGCAGGAATTTTGAAGTTTTTGAATGGATCTGGCAACTATTTGAGTCAATGAAGAGCCGTATACCACATCTCCGTAATCAAACAAGGACAAAATTAGCGAATTGCACAGATAATATTTTGTATTCTGAGGAAGGAATAATATGCGACGGCGACGGATCTGCCAGCGCGCGTAGCCCGATGGTAGGCAGGAGTGGGGAGTGCCAGCCGTACGTTATCGGATCCGGACCTAAAGGAACTAGAGGAACTAAATAAAAGACTACTTTACGTATGGATCAGCCAGCGCGATTGATGCTAGGCAGGCGTAGGGAGTGCCAGCCCTATGTTATCGGATCCGGACATAGGGGAACTATTAAAAGACTAGTTCACGGGAATCTATTCAGTCGGCAGATCCGAGATATAATACAAGGCGACGACGATGGATTCGGCCAAAATTGTCGTGGATACTGTTTTTGAATTTAGTTTGTTTTTTAAATATTTTATGGGAATGTTTCACTTTAGGTCCCTAAAATTAAGAAATATCTTATAAAACGAAGTAGATATTCTGAATTTCTAGACAAAAACAAAAAGCTTCAAGTGAGGAAAAATGCAATTTTTCGTAAAATTGTTGTAATATTTGCTCCAATTGATTTGTGATATAGTTTTTTAAACTCTGATTTGAGTTTCTTTTTATTTTTTTTATCTGCAATAAAACTTACCTATATGTTTTTAGCATACACCATTACACGTCTGGTTATATCTCCGTACATTATATAAATTATACAGATCATACTGTAAATAGTTCTGGCTGACAACGAAACGCATTAGCAAGCAAGGGGGATGTCAATATTAGTCGGGAACTATTGTGAACTAAAGACCTAGTTCAAGGAACTATTTCTCTGGAGGAACTAGAACTAAGGAACTAGAATTCCCACCTCTACCCCTTACCTAGACAGAATTTTGTAAAATTCCATTTTCGTAGCAGCCGTTCTGGCTGAAGGAACTTGAAAATAATTTCCAACGATTTCTCATGACGTCTTTGATAATAATTTCTTCTTTTTTTTCTGGCGGCTCTACGGCTAATACTTTCCAAGACCCAGCCGAGACCAATTCTTAGTGCGACATCCGCTACACGTTGTCCCAAATTCAAGGATGACCATTGGAATCTCTGAAAAGGGGGTGAAATTATGTCAAAATTGTGGAATTTTATGACCACTAAAAAAACAAAGTATAGTAATATCTCTCCAAAAAAAATCTTTATGGGTATTTCGCCACTGCACTGCAAGAAAAATCTACAAAATAAAATAGTTATTTTTTGTAAACACTTCTGCGTTAAACCTAAACGGAGGCTGCTTGTCAGAAGTTATCTTTATTCTTTGTATTTTTTTTGCTTCCGACGACGGAAAGAGATAAACTTTCCGAAACGTTAAGCATTTTTTTCTTTATTAGGCAAATTTTTATAACTGTAAACATAACTTCTGACAAGCAGCGTCCGTTTAGGTTTAATGCAGAAGTGTTTACAAAAAATAACTATTTTATTTTGTAGATTTTTCTTGCAGTTCAGTGGCGAAATACCCATAAAGCATTTTTTTGGAGAGATGAATCCGCCACATGGGTATAGACATTTTTTATAGTAATATCGTTTTTAGTTTATTCTAGGTTAATCTGAAGGAATATTTTAAGGTAAATGCCTATATAATTTTGCCTACAGGTACAATTACTGAAAGGATTGCTGTATGCTGAGCATTTGCAGTGCCAAGAACTGAAACTAAATTTGCAAAATCAACGAATTTTAGTTACTGAGTTGAACGTTTGTCCAGTGTGTAAGAAACGTTTTGGAAACCAAAGGTAATACAATATTTACAGTAGCGTTTGTAAAAATATTAGAAATATGCACTGTATTCCGGAAATTTTGGCAGCATATTCTGCAGATAAAAATAAGTCAAAAAGTTTGTATAAACGTATGTCCTAAAACGCTTACTTTCCGAGATACAGGGTTTAGAAGTTTCATTTTTATTTCGATTTTTTCAAAATATTTTTTATGGGTAACGCCAGTAATTGGATGAAAATTGGTGTCTGGGAGTTTTTATAACATGAGAAATTTTATTTTGATGTCAATATGTCTCCTACTTGTAGAGGGCGTTACCTACATATTTTTTAACCGAGTTGAAGTGTAATAACTTTTCGTCTATACCTGTATAAAACTACCGAGTAAAAAAAATATAAATTTACCACGTTTTTTACGTAAAAAAATCTCTTGGTAAAAATCGCTGCGAGTAATGGTTCTCGAGATATTTAGAGTCGAATTTACCACTACCTGTCATCATTGACATAAATTAAACATGTTGACTAAATAGCTATTAGACTGAAATAAGAAATTTGAAATGTTTTGTGCCAAAAGTTCAACAGAAACTGTTTTTATCATCATTTTTTCGAAGAAAAATAAAAAGTTCCCAAATTTATCATTTCAGTCAAATCTACTTAACATAATTATTTTTAGTCAATAATGACATGTATTGACTATTTCCATTCTAAATATCTTTAGAACGGTTGCTTGTAGCGATTTTTACCAAGATATATATTTTTACGTAAAAAATTACGGAAATGTATATTTTTTCACTCGGTAGTTTTATACAGGTACGGACGAAAAGTTATTACTCTTCAAAACATTTAAAACGCATGTAAGTGGCGCCCCCTACAAATAAGAGTCATGATGACATCAAAACCAAATTTCTCATGTCAAAAAACTTCCAGACACCAATTTCATCCAAATATTGACGTTATTTCAGAAATTATTGAGAAAAAATCGAAATAAAAATGAAACTTCTACAACCTGTATCTCCAAAACTAAGCGTTTTCGGACATACATTTATAAGAACTTTTATACTTATTTTACCTGCAGAATATGCTGCCGAAGTTTCCGGAATACAATTCGGACCACCCTGTATACTATCGCATTTAATTTTTTTGAAAAAACTCGCAATGTTTGTTAAATTGTAAGACAGCGCCTCCTAGCGTCGACATTCAAAAGCTTATTATTATTGTTTATACGCTATAATATAGAGTAAGAAACGCTCTTTTAAACGAGCCCCCGTTTGTTAGATTCCGTTCATCCAGTCCGGAGTTATTAATGTTTAAATAGAAACAGATCTAACCTTCCCCCACCACTTTATTTTGGCAGATACGGGAAAATGGTTCTAACAAAAAATATGCAAAATTTACTGCAGTTTAAGAATCTATTATTTATAGTATCCATTATCTAGGCAAAATTGAGTAAAAACTCCTTTTTCTTCTTTTTAATAGCAGTTGCGCCATCTAGCGGCCGCTATACAAACTTGAAAATAATTTCCAGCAATTTCTCATACTCTCTTTAGTTATAAATATTTTTTTCCGTAAGCTCTACGACTAATATTTTTCGAGATACAGCCGAGAGCTATTCTTAGTGGGACACCCGGTACAATAATGATTTCTGCAAACAAACTGAAGACTACAGGGGAAAAACGATCTAAGTCACATTTTCTTACTTTTGAGATAAATGATTTTGAAACTTTAAAGACTAAAGGAAAAGAAATAATAAAATGTAGCGAATCGTAAGAAGTTTTTATCAATAGTTATATCTATAGACATTAACTGATTAACAGACAAAACAAAGAAAAATAAATTGTAGCAAATTTGTTAGATAAAATAAAACTCGTATTCGCTTGGTTCAATGGAAAAGCGATCCAAACGGTGTTACTGTAGCTTTTGACAATCTGTAAGTCGAGGTAGATTTCGACAGATGACATGCAAAAAACTACAGAAAAAAGAATTTGTGAATTGAAATTACAGACAACTTTGGACAGTGTTTTGCAGTTACTCTGACAGAAATTATCATCGATTGTCGTTTCAGAAGCAACTGCGACGCCGTTTTTTTTACATTATAATATGATCTGTATTTTGAAATGTATTGATGTTTTTTCTTTATTTTTTAGTACTCTCGTTAGATATCCAAATGGGGATGTAGTGCATTATTCGTGTCATGAGAAGAATTAACACAATAAGATTATGCTTAAAAGTACATATTTGTTATGATAAGATGAAAATTTGCACTTCTTTTATTTGAGTGTAATTAACCATTATAATAGGTATCTAGGTAATTTATACGTACATATAGTCGTTCTCACCTAACTTTTCCTGCGTTTGACATTTGACATCGTGTATAGTAATGTTTAGGCTCAAATGAAAATATTTAGGCAGTTGATACAAATGTCTGCGGAGGTAGACTCTGCATTAAAATTTCTATTATTTTATAACCCTTATCTATCTTTCTTGCTATTTTACTATTTTTTATTGAGTCCATTTTAACAGCATTTAAAAGAATAATAATTTAAATATAAATTGTTTAAATAATTAACATTATATCATCTCTTAATTAATTTGAAATAATTCGTCTGTTTTGAATGCTTTGACGTATCGTGTTCCGCCATATTGGGAAAAGTTACCTGAGACGAACTATATAATATGGGCCTTTTATGTTTATAGGTATTTTTACTATCAAAAATAATATTTATACTGTGATATATAATTAATTAATTAATTCTATTTATTATTAAGTACATTAATATATAAGTTAATATTTGTGCATTGTATGCATCCCATTGTAAAACGATGCAACTAAAAAAAATATGAATAGAAATATACCGTGAATTACCTAAATATGCTTAAGAATTTTATCGTATTGTTTATTTAAAATTTGAAAATGAAAAATAAGAACTCCCCTATTTTTTTTTTTGCTGGTTTATCAGAGAACTAACAATATTTTATTTTTAGGGTCGTCTAATCAGTTTAATATTATCTATAATAACTATAAAATTTAAATTTAAAAATTAAAAACTTTTTTAAAAATTTATATATGCTTATATCATGATAAATTTTATATATGATCGAGAGCTCCACAGAGTATATATCTCTGGAGCTACTGAGCTACATGATAAGTAAATCCTTAGTTGGTCTGTGGTCATTTATTAATTAACTATCTGTGGTCATTTTACGTTTTAAATTTGTAGGTTATATTTTTGAAAATGCTCGAAATTTATATTTAAAAACAAATGTTAATAAAACCCAATAACAAATTAAGTTTTGTATTATTAAATAAAGTAAATAGATCTAATATAATTATAAAATATGGCAGAGCAATACAAGTAAGGCTGTTACTGAATTTTTATTGCATTTTTCATATAATACAATGTTTTTTTAGATCTCTTCATCCGGCTAAATATTATCGGGACCATTTAAAACACGATATTCGACCCGATGGCCGAGAACTTTCAGATTTCAGACCTGTGGTTATTAACGTTGGTTCTATAAAAACTGCCGATGGTTCATCAATTGTTAAAATTGGAAATACCACAGTTGTATGTGGTATAAAAGCTGTGAGCATTTATATCTTTGTCTCATAGTATATTTAACAATTTTACACATATAACTTGTAGCTTACAATTACTTATGTATTTGTTTTTATTGTAATTTTTAGGAAATATCTCGACCTAAGGCAGATGCTGCAACAAAAGGTTTTTTAGTTCCAAACGTAGAACTGTCTCCAGTATGTTCCTCCAAATTTAAACCCGGTCCTCCCAGTGATCAGGCACAGGTTTTAACTCAGATTATTGCTGATATTGTAGGAAATTCTCAGTATGTTCATTTGTATTATGGTTTACTTTATTTTAAATAATAACTCTTTAATTTTTTTAGATGTATCAATTTAGAAGAGTTGTGTATATTTCCAGATAAAATAGCATGGTGTCTTTATGCTGATTTAATTTGTATAGATTATGACGGTTCATTAATTGATGCTTGTGCCTTAGCCCTAATTTCATGTTTGAAAGTTGGTAATACTTTTCAAATGTTGTTTATTTTTTATATGTTTTCATACATAAATGATGTTTTAGTATCTTTGCCAGAAGTGTCCTATGATCCAAGTTTAGATAAGCAACAGGTTAATTTAGAGAAAAGAACGCCAATAAATGTAAATTCTGTGTTTGTTTCAACAACGTTTGCAATCTTTGATGAGTAAGTTGAAATTATTTTCATAGATATACAGCATGATCCGAATATTATAGATTGAAAAAAGGCGCCAGGGTTATCCTGAAAATTTAGCTCACTATTAATATAAATTTTTATGAGGCAAATTCGTTTCCAAGCCATATTGGAAACTGACACCATTTTTTTTGATCATAAGGTGCTGAATGCCGAATTTTTTTGGCTAGTGGGTTTTAAAAAAAAATGAAATAAAATTTCCTTTCCAAAAATACTTTATTGCCATAATCTATCAGTGACGTGTTTTTTGAAATTGACCATTTTTTTGTCTAAAATTTCTGCACATTAGAAACTCCAAAATTTGCAAAATCACAAATTATTTATTGATTCTTTTTAAACAATAGCATATACAGGGTGAATTAAATCAGAGTGATTTATATTTTCCTTCTCTGTGAGAAATGGAACACCCTGTATTTTAAAAAATAAAAGAATGTATAAGTTTATATGAAATAAACTTTTAGTCATGTGATTAAACTTGACTGGTACAGCATTGCCCACTTTTACATATTTTCTTTTAATCAAAATATTTTAGGAAACATAAATTAATTATAAATACATATATGAACAGTTATTATTTAAATCAACAAAACTCACCTTTTTAACAGCACTTAAGGGCCATAAAGTGCCATAACTACCGCTTTCCCGTTCAAAATATTCTATCTATGCGCTAAGTTGCGATGAGTTTTTTACGGCTATTAAGCTATCTTGTATATTTTACACTAAAAGATGTTCTAAAAAGAACAATGTTCGCCAGCAAGGCTAGTAAAAAATTTTGAGTTTAAAATATCACAACACAATTCGTTTAAACCAAAAACTCGTAATACAAAACTAAAGTGTCAAAATGAATGGCAATGTCAGGAAATAAATAAATAAATGTGGCAACTTGACATTTTTTACAGCAGAGCTACCACCTGAATCCCCAGCGGGAAATTTAAACTCCAGTTAATCAGCCCGGCGCCGAATATGTCCATGGTTGGCAACAAAGAATTTAAAAATCGCGCCCTCGATTACGTAACTAAAAGTTTAATTGATATCAAATATAGTTTTTTTACACCTAGTACTGAAAAATGGAAAAAAACAAATCATGTGTTTTATTATACCGTATGATCGAAAAAAAACGGCGTCCAGTTGGCTGGGAAATGAACATCAATGACATTTCCCATATAAATTTACATATAAAATGACAGCGATCTTCATTCCATAGCCATCGCTGACGCCGTTTTTTCTCGATCATACGGTATAAAAAAAACACAAATAATTGATGAAATGAAAATTACAAATCATAAAGTTTTTATTAGTTATTTTATAAAGCACAAAATCTTTGTTATGAAATTAAGTACAGGGTGGTCCATATAAAACAGTTGAGAATAAAGTTTTATCTAGTTTGGTTAGCCCTGTATATACGGAATATATACAGGGTGAGTGAAAACTAGATACCAATATTGCCTATTTTAATAGGATTAGTTTTGAAAAATACATTACCACAAAATAGGTACTTACTATCATAATATTATCTATAATTACTATCCACTGCAGCTGTGAGGGCCTATACAGGGTGCCCCAGAAATAAGTGGCAGTATAAGTCAACCCTAGAAACACGCCTATTTAGTAGTTTTTTTCGCGAAAAAAAAATTTTGAAAAATCGAAATTTTTTGACAACTTTTTTGGAATTTTTTTTTAGTTTTTAGTTAAAAAATAGAATTTCTTGATAATATGGCAACATAGGTATTAGATTAAATGTACAAGAAAGAAAATCCAGTGGTTCTCAAAATTTTAGCAAAAAATATATTTTTTTGGAATGTTTTCATAAAAATACAAAATTTTCCATAGCAAAAAAGTTACAGCAATTTGTTAAAACTGCACATTTTTGAATAACACGCCGTAACTCCGAAACGGCAATAGATATTAATGTGCGGTTTTCACTATCATGTTTTTGATAAAAACTGAGCTCCAGACACCGATGTTAGTTTTTGTCTATCTCCTATAGAAAAGGATGTTTCTCTTTAAAAGTGTCCAATTTGACCCACCCTGTACTTCCATTTCAAAATCCATTAATAATTAATCATCACTCAGTATTCGGGATATTGGATAGTGTATTTAATAGCAAATCTACTGAAAAAAAAAGAAATTTCAATTAAAAAAAAACAATTTTATTATTATTTTCAATATCCCGGTATTTTTACAATGTGCGCTACTATTTCTGGTGTATTTTATCAATAAAATTTGCGTCAAAATCTGTAATAGAAAAACTAAAGGTTTTTTTCTGGAACACTGGGCCGCCTTGTGTTTTTGTTTAATTTTAACTACGAAATGATTTTTTATTTTTCAGCAAATTAATTTTGGCAGACCCCACAGTCGAAGAGGAAAATTTGTGTACAGGCACATTAACAATTGTCACTTGTAACGATGAACTGTGTTATGTCCATAAACCTGGCGGAAGTCCGCTAGTAGATGAACAAATGTCAGACTGTATAGAGAAATGTATGAATCGATCAAACAGTATAAAGAAACTAATCAAGACAGCAATTTTAGAAAATATATGATGCCTCTACTATATTTATCTTTTATTTTATTCCTTTATACAAGCTGTCCCACAGAGCTGTAACAAGTCAGTTTTAAAAAGACTTAAGTCTTGAGGCTTAAGTAATTTCTAAAATCAAAATGATTTTTAAGTCTTTGATTTAAGTTATTTTATTTCAAGTCGTCATTTTTGTAAAGACTAAAATCAATATAACGTTATTTAAGTCGTTTTTATCACTTAAGTCTTTTATTTAAATCATGATGATCTGCAAGTTAAGTCAGTAAAATGACTTAAATCAACATAATTACCCTCAAGTCAAGACAACCAAAATTCAATTTAAGTATCTTTTTTTAAATGTTAATATTAATTTTCTTGTATTACTAAAGGATTGTCAATTAGCAATTGTTTTCTAAGTATATTATTAATTTATAGTAGATACAGATGAGACTAAAGCTTGATTTTCATGCATCCGTTGTCCGACGAACCGTTGATACGATTTTAATTTTATTGGTAGAATTTAAAGACTTTGATTGGTTAGAAAATAACGCAGTTTTTAAATTTATTGCATTTTCATGCCTCCGTTTATCGGATATACGTTGGTGTTATTTTATATTTTCGTTTCCATAACAATTTTGCTATTTTACTTATATTTTTATTAAGGTTAGATTAAATTTGTCAAAAAAGTGTCAAAACGTCCGTTATCGTATGAACGGGTCCGTTGACGGGCTGAAGAGCACCGTCGGACCATCGTATCAACGTATAACGGATGCATGAAAATCAAGCTTAAAACCACATAAAATAAAACGGTTTATTTTCAGAACTACAAATAAAAATAGTTTTTTTTATAAAATTTAACCGATTTTGTAGTACTTTATACAGGGTGTCACTGAAATGGTGTAAAAAAATCGGGGGGTGATAGTACTCCAAAAAATAGTAAAAAAGATCCCTATAAGTATTGGGCGGAAAATGTATATTAAGGGAGTTAGGGGCACTGAAAGGGTGAATTTAAAAAACGCTTGTTTTAAAATTGTAGGCTTAAAAAACGAGATAAAATTTCGAAAAAAAATCCTCTGCCATAAATGTTGACCCTAAATCAAATGGTGATACTGAAAAATTATTTGGAAAAGCGGAAAGAGTAGTTTTTGCATGGATAGATTTTTTTTTCATGAATAACTTTTTTGAGGTTATTTTTTTGCAAGATGGGTTCATTTTTTGAAAACTACATACTTTTTCCTAAAAAAGATACTCTTGTTACACATCGCCCAGAGCGATGGTTTTCGAGAAAATAGAAGACAAAGAGTTTGCTCTGATGTGTTACTAACTGGTTAATCAACATAAACTTATGAAAGTTATGGTTAAAAAGTTATCAAATAATTAATTAAGTTATTAAAGTAGTTATCAAATAATTCATTGAAAAATCAAAATTTCATGATTTTTAAAACATCTTATTGCTTTAAAAAACGAAATAATCCAATTACCAAAATTCCTTATTAAAATAATGCATTCCTTAATTCATTCATAGTAAATGTTCAAAGTGACCACCATTCATTTCAATGTAGACATCTGATCTTCTCCACGATCTGCGTAGATACCCTCTGGAATATCCTTGGTGTTGTCCGAATTTGATTGGAACAATCAATAATGCGTTTCCGTAGTTGCTTTTCAATATTAATCGGCACTGAGCAAACCAATTTTTTTTAAAACCAAAAAAGTTTATTTCGTTTTTAAAGCAATAAGATGTTTTAAAAATCATGAAATTTTGATTTTCCAATTAATTATTTAATAACTACTTGGTTCCTTTTGAACCGCCATAGCTTTCATAAGTTTAGGTTGATTAACCATTACAGTTGAGGGTTTGAACCTTTGGTGTTACACAGCAAAATAACTAAATCACCACAATACACCAAAACACTTTTACTTTTACACTGGACGCGCGTTTCGCTAACCATGTTAGCATCATCAGCAGTTCTGTATGGCTCTGACTAGGTTGGCTAGATTTTGCCACGCCCACTCGGTGCCCACTGGGCGAGTATATAAACGCTCAACTTGTAGAATGTACTTTAGTTTATAATCATCTGCTGATGATGCTAACATGGTTAGCGAAACGCGCGTCCAGTGTAAAAGTAAAAGTGTTTTGGTGTATTGTGGTGATTTAGTTATTTTGTTGATTAACCAGTTAGCAACCCATCAGAGCAATCTCTTTGCTTTCAATTTTCTCGAAAACCATCGCTCTGGGCGATGTGCATTTTCCACCCTATACTTATAGGAACTTTTTTTACTATTTTTAGGAGTACTATCACCCCCCGATTTTTTTTACACCATTTCAATGACACCCTGTATGTAGATATCCATTACAGATTGATGTGATTCGAATGTATGTCTATTAAAAAGTGGTGATGTGTTTTGATCCCTATGTAATACCGTATGGTGGAATAAAAACGGCGTCAGCGATGGCTATGAAATGAAGATCGCTATCATTTTATGTGTAAAATTATATGGGAAATGTCATTGATCGTCATTTCCAAGCTAACTGGACGCCGTTTTTTTTTCGATCATACGGTATATCGATGGCATAAGCTAAGGGCTGGAGGATTTTGAGGTACTTAATCTTCTAAAGTAGGGTCTTCATAACGGAGTCGGGAATTCTGAGAAGACTTAAATCCTTTTTTTATTGGCGTAATAAATTTAAATCAGAAATAATTTTCAAAAAGACTTAAATTTTAAGTCTCAAGTCAGTTTTCGAAAAATGACTTAATAAGTAATTAAAATGATTTAAATCAAAAAAATACTTAAATTTTCTGTGAGCTTGCAGCTCTGCTGTCCCATAGGCTTGGTGCATTCTCCGCCGGTGCTGCCACTATCGGAGAATACCGTAAACAGCCGAATAAACATAATACACGGATTTAAATAGTGGGTACACGAAAAATTTTGTTATATTATTTGAAAAGTGTTAGTAAGTGCATTTTGTGAAAATTCTAAAAAAAATATAAGATGTAAATCTTCATAATTTCAGAAAGTTTAACGTGTATTATAATTTATTCCTCAAGCTAATAAATAAAATGTGTATACCAAGATGTATATTAAAATATAATAACTATACGAATATGTCGAACATACTAAACTATAGTCTGTTCGACTACAGGATTCATGACACTGACAGTTGTCTCTGTCATTTTAATACACAGGTAAATGGTATTTGCTGTCATTTTTTGGATGTCGTCTGTTGGAATCTTCCCTGACTCACTGACAGACATAGAAGAGATACGAAGATGATTAAATTAGACAAAAGTTGCTCCTCCTTGTTGAATCCTACGTCATGTTTTGAATTAGATTTTTGACCGATATTTCGTTTTCGAGATACTTCCCTACCATCATCAACTTTACGCGTTTAACGAAAATAAAGTTATTTATTATAAGATCTATAAAGGTACTATACCGGATTGTTGCTCAATTGACTTTTTACCGCAAGAAATAGTTACTATTTTACATATAAAAGTAACAATTTCAATAAAGTTCAGTTGTAAAAGATACCTTACTGTAATATTTACTCCAAAAATACATTTATTCAGCTCTCTGAATTTAGATAATATCATATAATTTAGATAAAGAATAATAATGTTTTAATGCAATTATTAAAATAAACCGGACAAACTTCTAGTTTAGTTTTTTTAGTTTAATTCCTGATTTTATATGATCGAAAATCACCGATTTAAAATTTTCCGCTTTCGAAATGTCAGACAGCTCGATCGCTCATTGGCCGAACAAAAAGTACCGTCAGATGTCCTCAATGGATATTTTAATCTGTTTGTAAATAGGTTTTTCCGTAATTTTTTCAGATACAGGCGAAAATGGAACGTAAAAGAAAAGTTCTGAGTGGAAACTAGATAGTTTTACGTGTGGAATCAATCCCGTCTTCGTTTGGGTTTGTTTCGAGCTGCAAGGACATATTTTTACAGGGGCACATTGAGGTTAAGTTCAGCCCTGTGTAAAATGCACTGAAATCAAAATCTGTGATGTGGACTCTAAAAAGCTCATTTATTGTACGTTTAATAAAATATTCTTGCTTATTTTATTAGATTGTCGGTAGCGGTAGGTAAGTGGTTTTTGTATTATGGGATGCATTAAGGAATGACCTATAAAAATGATCAACAGTCAGTCAACTTTCTCTATGTTGTCACTTCTGTTATTATATTATTTTCAATACTTTTTTGTAAAACAGAAAAGTTATTAAGTATATTTAGTACTGCTGTCAGAGAACTACCTTTCTGATAATATTTTATCATTTTTAGATTTTGGTTACATTCATAATTCATTTTTGATTGTCAAAACAGAATCTGATATAGGATGATAATGACAATTTGTTTTCGATTATCTTTCAGAGATTTTGTTTTTACATTTATTGGGAATGAAAACATATTCTTTATACTAATATTTAAATTTCTTTTTGATAAAATTTTATTGTTGCTTAAGCATTCACTTTGTAACAATTGAGTTACAGAAATAAAATATACAAATAATACGAGAAAAGGATGAAAAAGATGTGCAGTTACTTACCTAGACATAGAAGAGAAGATTTAAATCAACCATTTATATTATAATCATGGGATTTCCATTAAAAAAATAATCTTGTTTGAAAATTTTAATTATATTTATTTTATTTAATTAAAATGGACCAATTTTTGTAGTAATTTCGTGTGAATCCATTAGACTTTTAGAAATTGAATCTATTAGAAAAGTTTATGTATACTAGTGACATAAATCCTTTGTTTGACAACCTTTACTACTAACTAGTTCCTTCTGATGTTAGGCTATATTTTCATTTTCGAGGAAATATAATCAACGTCAGAAAATATGCTAGTGTCACAAGGCTGTTTTATATCTTTTTTGAAACAGCTGTATGTTGATCAAGCTAACTTTTGCCTTCTCCAAATATCTTCTAGTTCTTTTCAAATTAAAAAAATCGATTTTTTGCACCGTGGCTAGACACTTATACATAATAAGAATTTTCATATTGTAATTGCAAAACATTTTCCGATGCACATCATCAATCATATTGACATTGACACTAAAGTCTATAAACCTAACGACTAAATTAAATTTTGGCAAAAATGTTTAAATTTGTTGTATAATTTACAATACTGAGCAGCTCTTTATTTGACTTTATAGAGCAAATGATTGTAACAGATATTTTATTTAGATTAAAGCTGCAAAAATTAGTTTACTCCGAATTTTATTATCGCTATGTTGGTCACATTGCGCCGTTTTCAGCAAGGTTGTCGTTTATTATTTTACAATTATCCTAATGTCAGTCATTATTTTGTATAATATTGTGTTGTTGTTGAATCTTTGTGAGTAATTCTCGTTTTTTTGCCTAATTTCATAGTTTTTTTTTAAAATTGTACTTTTAAGCACAAACAGTTCTTTTAAGAACTAAATTTTCGAGTTTTTGTATTGCATTTCTTGAAATTTGGAGGTTGAAAATATGCCGAAGCATTTAAACAGTCGAAGCAAAGAGCTTGTAGCTTCCCTGATAAATTATTTTGAACGAGAACGTGACAATAAATGATCCTTTATTACCCTTGACTGCAGTCAGAGAAGTAAGTTTGATTGATAAGCACATTATATCACTTTCAAAGTTAAGTTTTTATCAATGACTAAAGAATCCAAGGACAAATAACACCCGAGAGCAAATTGTGCCGATGTCACCAAACAGTGCCGTGGCCAAATGTGGCACATATTTTTCTTAACCTAGCTGTTTGAAGCAATATTTATATTTTTTGATAATTGTTTTGACTACGCCTATGGTGTATCATCCTAATTAATTACGAAAAAAACGTATTAAAATGTTAACAAAAGGTACAAAACTAGTATCGACGTATAGCACATATCAAGTACATATAGATGTTAATTGAAATTGAAGAATAATTATCGAATTCAATAAGAAAACACTAAAAAGTTGGAGTGGACTGATTTACCTATGAAACGTAACTCCTGGCTCTTTCTTATCGCTGCTGCTTTTACACTTGAAAGCTGAACAACTAATCACCATTGTAATAAAGTTTGTACAAAGTTTACTACACACGAACTATTAAAAATCGCTAAAATTGTCGCTGGTGACCAAATGATGACTCATTGTTTGCCACGAAAACAAAAAAAAGTGACAAATTCTGCTGCAGCCCGTATAGGGGCGTTACATGTCCTTATATTATTTAGTCATTTGTTTTTATTAAGTTCTGTGATTTTTTTGTTTTTTGTTTGTGCATTAATAGCACCACAGAATAGGTATCCTATAAGTATACAGATAAAAATCTTGTCCCTAATTCGTAGTACGAAAATTGTTTTTTATGACGATGTGCAAACGAGTAAAATTTTCTGTGCGCAAAAATAAACTCGCGTAAAATAACAATAAACAGCGTAAATAGAGAGATATCGCTAAACCGAATAGCGTGCATGGACGTTAATAAGGCCAGGTGTTATTTCCTTTACGTGAGGTGGTATTAACTCTCTTCATTTATAGTTATCGGATCGGAAAGAATTCTGTTCGCGTCGCGTCCGCTATTTAAACTTAACCTAACTTTGAATTTAAAACTTTGAAATTGTTTTGTGTACTAGGTATTTTGAAAACTAAAGTCATTCAAACTAAAGTCAAAACATTTCCAGTGCTTTATTGTTCAACGTCTGCCAGTGGGTTTAGGGCAACAAGCAACAAATTCTCTTAGAAGGGCTAAGTCGTCATCTGCTGTAAACCTAAGCCTCTTTATAGGTTCTTTAATATTGGAAGAGGTGGAATCCATATTTTCGGCCATATTTATTTAATTAAAACTAATCCCAGCTACTTAAATATCAAATTACCTAATAAATCTAAAGTAATAATTCAAAACAATTCAAACATAACCTAAAATAAAAGATCTCGCCGGCCGGCCCCGGTTGTCAAATACCCGCACATGCCCATTTAAGCAATTTTTAAACGTTATTTTGAAATAGCGCTTGGTGTAATTGATCCGCAAATTACGTCAGGCGGTAACGTTATTAGCGGGTGTTGCGTTAAAAATTGACTCATCGCATATCGTAACCATGATAAGGTACGCGTAAATACTGCATGACGCTATTCGGTTTTCCGATATCTCTCTAATAACTGTGCCGGTCAGGCGCTGTGCACAATTCTACAGGCCATAAGTGGGCGTGCTATATGTGCGCAAACTAGTAATCTAACTAGTGCCCGATTCCGAAAATTGGAACCACGAAAAACAATAAAGAAAAAACAAAGTTTATAATCTGTATAATCTGTGATAGCACCCTCTTAGTTGTTATTACCACTTTTGGCGTTGTAAGATGTCTTAATTAATAAATAAGTAACCCATAATAACACTTATAATACTCATAATCATAATGGACTAGTTTTTGCTAATATGTAATAAGTAAAATAAGCTAGAAAATAAATAAATCAATTAATCACTAAAATATTAGTTATAAAACGTAAAACTCTTAAAAAAATGATATAATAAATATGTTGCTTGTCAATTTTACCTCAAGATTCATCTCATAAATCCATCACAATCTGGCAGCTCTGTCGCCTTCGCTTGTCACTCAAAGTTGATCACGTGCATCGGAAATTGTTTTGCGATTACCATAGGTATTTTGTTAACAAAATGACATAGCAGGACTCTATTAAACATTATTTAGAAGTTACTAAAAATGGATTTAAAAAAATGACCTTAAATGGAACAAAAATGATTTTTTTGATACTTTAATAAAAAATATTTTAGGTTCTTTCAAGGCGATTGGTCAAGATGGAATGGAGGCTTTTATTTTAAGCGAGGCAAAATGTGGATTTCTGAATGCCGGTTTTAGTTTCATCCAATGATGCAAAGCCGGGAGGCAGCATGTGATGAGGGGGAAGTAAGTGTTTTTCTTTGAATAAGAAGAATATGGAAGAAGCATACCAAATCTTAGGTGGAGCGCGATGGAAAGCCAAAAATGCAATAATATACGGAGATGCCTGTAGATTGTTGCATTTTTGGCTTCATTTTAGATCACTTTACATAATCCTAAGATATGAGTAAATATATTTAATTTTTTTTCGCCAAATATTTCTCCGGCGAGCGCTTCGATATCGGGAGAAAAAAAAGCTCTTTCTTAGTCAGCCGCCAGCGCACCGCTAGCTGGCGAAAATGACAGCGCGTCGCCGTCTCCGACAAAATTTCACTTCGCGTAGAGGGTTTTAACAACAGGGAACATTTTTTCTTCCGGTTTCTACACAAAATCGGTTAGTCGAACTTTAAGTTAGATTAGGTTAGGTTGCTGGGGTTTGGGATCATATTTGATCCCTCACTCGGAGGCCTTGGGCCCATTGCGATACCCCTGTATTGTTTTACCAAACCTTCCTCTCATTCTTTCTTTGCGTTAAAGCACTTCCAGCTCTTTGCAAAGTTCCCGATGTCGCTGATGTTGGCTTCTGCTGCTTCCTCTAGTCCCTCCAAAAAACCTTGCCCTAAAGTTTTAAAGCGTCGGTATTCCAGTGCCGGACAGTGGCACATCAGGTGCTCTATGGTTTCTTCTTCCTCTCCGCATTCTCTGCAGTAGTCGTCGTCGGCAACTTTCCATCTTACGAGGTTTACCCCCGTGGGACAGTTTTCAGTGACGACACCTACAATTATGCGTACTAGGTCCTTTTTGTGCTCTAGTAGTTGTTTTTTTCTTTTTGCTATCTACCACTGGCCATAGTCTTCGAGCTGTAGCGCAGTCCTCACGGTGTTGCCACATCTCTTGCTGCTTGGCTTTGATGGTAGTTCCTATAGCCTCCTTCAGTGTGTTGATTGTCACAAGTGGTGGGTCATCTGCCACGACCTCTCCCCTGGCCCCGTCTTTGGCGAGTCTGTCTGCTTCCTGATTGCCCACCTGCCCACCACAGTGCTGTGGCCTGGCACCCAGCACAGAGTAGCCCCGCCCCGACACAGCCAGGACAGTGCTTCTCGGCATTCCATCACAGTTTTCGATCTCACTGATTGCATGGTGATGCTTCTTAAAGCGGCCAAGCTGTCAGAGTATATCACTATATCCCCTATTGGTCTATCAGCAATTTTCTCTCGTATACATCTAGCCGCTTCCTTTATGGCGTAAACCTCTGCTTGTAGAACATTACAGCCATCCGATAGCCTCAAAGATCGTCGGATGTCTAGTTTCTCTGAGAAGATGCCTATACCTGTGCCCCCTGAATTTGCGGAAGCATCTGTGTAGACTGCTATCTCGTGAGTGTTCATTACTCGGTTGCTTTCCCATTCTTCTCTTGTCGGGATGCGAATCTAGTCTAGCAGATGTGGACTCGTGTTCACCATGATTTTTCCTATCACTGGCAATATCCTCGAGTGACCGTAGTTGGTCCGGTTCCACAGATTGGATTCCCTTAATCTTAGGGCACCCTTAGCGGCCAGATCCTTCACGAGCCAGTCGATTGATTGCAAGTCCAGAATTGCTTCTAGCGCAGCTTGCGCTGTGTTGTTCCTTGCTCCAGTTGTACCTAGAGCTGCTAATCGCTGTACTTTTGTGAGGCTTTTTCTATTAGTCTCTTTAAGTACCGCTTCCCACCATACTAGTGCTCCATAAGTGATGATTGGTCTAACTATAGCAGTGTACATCCAGTGTATAATGTACGGTTGCAGACCCCATCTCTTTCCAAATTGTTCTTTACATGCATAGAATGCATTTATTCCCTTTATCATCCTTTCCTCCGTGTTCCTTTTCCAGGAAAGCTTCGAGTCCAGAATGATTCCTAAATATTTGTCTCCTTAGCAAGTACAAGTGTCTTCCCTTCCAGCTTTAGTCGAACTTTAACATTCTCTAAAAAGAAAAAAGGGTAATATAAATATTTTATTATTTGTCCATTATTTTGTTATAATTCGTTTTAAAGTAATGAATAATATCTTCGTAAACCGTCACTTATAGTAAAAAGATTTACAATTTTTTATATACATATTTTTTTGGCTAGGTATATTTTTGGGTCATAATAAAAAGGGTATTAAATTAATAATTTATATAATGGGGAATTCCCTAGGTCTGCTCGGTTATTTGAAAGTTTTATGGATTCGTTTTTATTATGTTTATACATTTTTATAGACCTAACCTTAACCTATTGGCGTTGTGTTAAGGATTTTAAAATTATTTTAAGGGAAAATGTGACCAGTGTAGAAGTAATTTATATTTTTAAATTTACTCTGTTTTTGTTTTATATAGATGACTGATGTTTTGTGAATTTGCAATATTTTTTCCAGTTTGTGTAAGTTACAAAAAGAATTAATGTAATAAACGTAAAAACAATACGAAAAATAAAAAATTATAAACATAACAAAAACAAAACAATAAAACATTTAAATGGTCAAATAGATGAACTGAATTTGAGGCATATGTCAAATGTTATGAATAATAGCTTCAAAAATATGAATGTCATCGTTCTCGTCGATTTCTGCATTAATCGTACAATATTATAAATATCCATAATTTATTCAGTTTGCTTGGTATTTCTTTCAACTAGAGAAATAAACCAGATTAAACTGGCGGGCCGCCCGGAGAGGGTAAGGACATGCTCCAGTCGCCGGCCGAAAATCACCGGATGGGGTTTAAACTGCGCAAGTGTTCTTCGCCTGGAGATCGACTATGAAACGGAAAAAAAATGCTTATCCAACCGCCTGCCGGCGAGAGAGCGGTTACTCTATATGACGGATGTGCGCACGCGTTGCTCGGAGAGCGCTCGACTCTGAAATAAGAATGAAGAATTTCGGGAAAGCTCCCGCCAGCGGGCGGCTGGCGATCGACTATGAATACGACTGTAAAAGAACTGCCTACCAACTTTTTATTAACATATTTTTTTCGCCAATTTTTTTCTCGGTCATTAGGTTCATTTTAACCCACAAATTCTATAGGTTATTTTTTTGGCTCACCCTAATATATAGGATGTTCCATTTTAAAAAACATTTAAAAATTATTTTATATTTTAGAAAGTTTGGCGTAGAATTTTTATAAATTACTAATTTTTTTCCAATTTAGTATGCAGTGAAAAGACGTAAAGCCCTTCAAGCTGCTGCCTCCTCTGTGTCCTATCCCACGGGATCGACACAAGGGCCGAATCAACGTTTCGAAAGGAAGAAATACCGATGTAACATCTTCAAGGAATTGCAAAAATTATTTGACGAAGATGAAGAAAGTTTTTCTAGTGGCAGCGGAAACGAGGTAATTCGAATCTTATAATAATAGTAATAAATAACGCTTTATTGTACAAAAAGTCAAAATAACTTCATTGACAAAGCATTTACAAAACAAACAAAAGCACAAAAAATATACAAATAATAAAAAATATCATACAATACAAATTATACAATTAAAAAAAAATACGTCATTAAAATTACTACATTAATACATGGACATTGCAGAACAAAAAAAAGGCGCATCAATTAAATTTTACAATAGGAAAATTGTAAATGGATATAATCATTTAAGAGTCATAAAATATTAAATACTATACTATTAACTAGTGTGTGAGATGATCAAAATTTTAAAATTCAAAATTGTTCATGATTAAACATCAACAAAAAAGTCGTTTACCGCATATAGGGCTCTCTCCAGTAAGTATGATTTCAGAGCCTTTGCGAAATGCGGGAAAGAATGAAAGCGACTTGATATTCAAAGGCAGATGATTGTACATTTTTTTGGCATTGTACAGTATTGAGCCTTTAACTATTTCTTAGCTCGGGGTTGGCAGATAAAGATCGTGCTCCGCATTCCTAGGTGGATAGTTGTAAGATGGCCTTTCGGGAATAGCAGATATGTGCTTGCTGACTAAGCAAACGGATTCACACACAAAAATCAATAAAGAAGAGTCAGTATTTTGAAATTTTTAAAGAAATTCTGGCAGTGAACTGCTCTCTTTTGAAGTTTGAAAATACGATCAAATTTTGTCGCGCAGCAAGTGCCCAGAACGGAAGGGCATAGATGCGACTCAAAAAGGGCATATTAGACTATTCTAGAGGTTGATAAGTTAAGTTCCTTAGAAACTGATCTTAGCGCAAAACAGGCAGCGCTTAGTTTCTTTGATAAAGCTTCGATATGCAAGTCCCATTTTAACGAGTCGTCTACAACAACTCCTAAGAATTTCACTAAGAGTCCACGACGTCATTAGTGGTGTTATTAAGTATAAAAGGTTGTATAGTACTTTTATATGACAAAACTTTAGTTTTTGATAGGTTGAGGAGATTAATTTAATTAATTATTAAATAAGATAGGAGAATAGAATCGCACCAAAATTTAATGCTGGTAAACACCAGAAACAAAATAGGGCCAAGTACTGAACCCTGGGGAACACCCCATTCTATAGGCTTACTAATATGCTTGTGATATTTTTTTTATTTGCAATCATATGTAATGTTAACATGTTATTGACTTTTTAAAAATATCAATAATTTCAAAACAGTATTACAATAGGTTTGTTTAAACATAGCATAGAACCCTTCTTATAGTGAAAGAAAATAAGCTTTTAAATACGAAGTTTCGGTAAAAGCTTGATATTTTTATATTTATTTTTGATATAAGTTATTTTGAAAGATCTAAAAACGAATTGTGATTTTTTTAAATTCACCCCCGAGAAGGGGTGAAATAACTAAATAAAATTATTTTTTCGATATTTCGGAGAAACGGTCAAATTTCACATAGAAATTATCTCTATCCGTTTTTTGCTCAAATCAAAATTAACCGAGACAGGGTGACTAGAAGCTAGGGGATGATAGTAGAAATTTAAAAAAAAATTATAGGTTAGGTTAGGTTAGGTTGCTGGGGTTTGGGATCATATTTGGCTCATTCCGATACCCCTGTATTGTTTTACCAAACCTTCCTCTCATTCTTTCTTTGCGTTAAAGCACTTCCAGCTCTTTGTAAAGTTCCCGATGTCGCTGATGTTGGCTTCTGCTGCTTCCTCTAGTCCCTCCAAAAAACCTTACCCTAAAGTTTTAAAGCGTCGGTATTCCAGTGCCGGACAGTGGTACAGCAGGTGCTCTATGGTTTCTTCTTCCTCTCCGCATTCTCTGCAGTAGTCGTCGTCGGAAACTTTCCATCTTACGAGGTTTACCCCCGTGGGACAGTTTCCAGTGACGACACCTACAATTATGCGTACTAGGTCCTTTTTGTGCTCTAGTAGTTGTTTTGTCTTTTTGCTATCTACCACTGGCCATAGTCTTAGAGCTGTAGCGCAGTCCTCACGGTGTTGTCACGTCTCTTGCTGCTTGGCTTTGATGGCAGTTCCTATAGCCTCCTTCAGTGTGTTGATCGTCACAAGTGGATCATCTGCCACGGCCTCTCCCCTGGCCCCGTCTTTGGCGAGTCTGTCTCATAGAGAAAGTTAATAGTTTAGAGAGTGGTGAATCGCGTGGTAAAATGTTGGGAGATTGCACTTTTAGCGCCCTCTACTTGGCTACAGGTACGAACTATGAAAGAGCGGGAGATTTAAATTATTATTATACTTATTATTTTTAAGGCAATTAAAACTAAGAGTGCCCTTAACCAAAAACAGTGATATAAATGGAGATACCTACTCAAATTTTATATTATCATGATACTAAAGGATATAAATACAACATTTATAATCCTTTTACACCTTTCTATTCAAAGTCTTACACGCTAATATAAAATTTGACTATCTCCATTTATTTCACTACTTTTGGTTAAGGGCACTCTTAATTTTAATTTTCCTTTTTTTATGGGAAAACGATTAAATGGGAAGAATTGAATGGGAATGGAAACAATGACCAATTATTGTATTTTGTGTTAATTTATAATACCCCTACTCTACTAAATATCTAGCTACATTGTACTTACAGTTAAATAGCTACATTGTACTAGTTATATCCATATTTACAGTTTTATGATGGCTATTATTTTATTTCAACGTGCTACCAATTGATTCGCTCCGACTTGAGTACTTACTATACCTCGAGATGGCTCCAGGAATTATTTATCTTTACAGGCCTAGAATATGAAGATTCACAGTAGAATTTTTGGTTTTACTACCTATTAGAAACAAACCTACCCCCCTACATCAAGGGACATACAATTATGCCTTGTTCTCGGCCATGATATTCCTTCCATTCTATATCCAACATCCAACTTAGCAGACCTTCTGGTTCACAACAGGGCCTAGACTGGCCGGATGATATTTTAACAGAATAGCCCTTGATATCTCCTTCACACTTTTATTTAATAATTAAATAGGAGGGCTGGATGGTATAATTTCTAGAAAGAATAGCCTGTGAAATAAAAACTTCTGCATGGACATTACCTTTCTTACCTTTGTCTGCTATTTTTTAATAAAAAACCACTGTTTAGTTTGCACAAAATAAAATTAACAATCAAAAATTTCTTAAAAAATGATCAAGCCTTGTACTACGCCGCGTGCCGCTTTTTGAACAAACAACAAACAAAAGAATGAGGTTAGAGGCGTTGCCAATGTCAATTTTCTAAACTACCCAAAAATCTAAATAAAATTCGCCAATTTGGGGAGAAAAATGTCCCGATTCACCAAAAATTCCCCATATGATTATTTTAACAAAAAAAAAATAATTTTAATAAAAATACAATATTTATTATATATATGTTAGAGAGATTAAACTGTAAATTACCTCCTTGTTTTTTAATCCCTTCCCTAGTAGTCATTAAATAATTTGAGGTCACTAAATTTTCTTTCAACTGAAGCATTTGCAAAGGGAAGCACAAGTAAAAAGCAGATTATAATTTTTAAGTTGGGAAAGATATATCGTCTCGCTCCGTTTTTAAAGCTAAAAATTTTACGCCATTTTCAATCAGCAATAAAATGTTGAAACTCCCCTTATTTTCGCCCCCTATTGCTAAAATCCCCACAAAACTCCCAATCGGCTCCGGATTCCCCAAAATTTGGGAAATTCCCCACAATTGGCAACGCTGGAGGTTAGCGTGTTCTTTCTGAATATGCTAAGACTAACGGACTAGTGTCGAAACACAGATAGCTAGATGGACGTATTTCGGCACTTGCGTCGATGCGCTACAGGTACATTTGCCTGCGCGTCGTATGTCTTCTGGCAGTCTTTTAATTTTTCTGTTTGTCTATGGTCTGTCTGCTTCCTGATTGACCACCACATTGCTGTGGCCTGGCACCCAGCACAGAGTAGCCCCGCCCCGACAGTTTTCGATCTCACTGATTGCATGGTGATGCTTCTTAAAGCAGCCAAGCTGTCAGAGTATATCACTATATCCCCTATTGGTCTATCAGCAATATTCTCATGTATACAACTAGCCGCTTCCTTTATGGCGTAAACCAAATAAAAAAAAATTATAACTCGCTTTAAAATTCATATACATATTTAACATTATTATTCAATTTGTTTGGAAATGTGTTTTTTTTTTCAAACTTCAGAGAAACGGTGAGGACCTTGAAAAAAATGTTTTATCAATACAAGTTGTCTCCTAGGTTTTAGCCACCCTATCTCGGTTAATTTTGCAATTATTCTTTTTGGAAAAACGTCGTGGGGGTGCTATTTGTTGTATTTATGAATTTGTGCTGTAATTTATATATCTTTTTTTAGTCTGTTCAATACAAATCGTTAATCTTAGAAGAGTTAGTGAAACGGGATAGACTGAACACAATTATAATTAATTTGTATCCTCAAGAGAAGGGTTATTCTATAGCATTTCGTACGCGAGACAGGACCATGTGTTTAAAGGGTGATACAGAAGATATGGTGGAAACCACTCCAAAACCCTACGGAGACTGGGGACTTTTAAGGTAAACTTTGTACATAACTTAATGGTATGCCATTGGATTAAGCGTAAAATATCTACAGGATGTTTCAAAAAACATGTGCCATCTCTCGTGGGGAGATTCCCCACGTATCGACATAGGTCCGATTCTGCTTTGTAGCTACAGGGTGTTAAAATCTTAATAATTTTTCGATTTATTATAATTTTCTTCCAAGTACTTTCAGTGATTCGAACGAAAAATTTTGAGGGTAAAAGTTACTATAAGTACTACATATTTTAATGCTAAAAGAGTGTCGATAAATTCATCAGGGACGTGCATATGGGCTATCACTGGAATATTTTTCAAAAAAAAAAAAACGTCGCCACTGATTTTCTTATTTTTTATATCAAAATTGTGTAGGCCCTTTAATGCCAATTAAAAGTTATCTCTTGATATTTTGTCGAATTCGGCCTCCTTGATGAGATAAACGCAATTTTATTAATCACAATTAATAATTAAAATAAAAATGAAATTAATAAATTATGTATTTTACCTAATTTATTATTAAATATCATTACAATCAGTTATTATTACTATTAGTCCAACCTACAGCAATTTCAAATAAAAAAATTATGGTATTTAAGATAAATTACAAAAAAACTAATTTTAAAAAGGTGTAACATCCTGTAACTCTAAAACTATGCATTTCCATACCCATGTTTATAGGAACTTTTTTTCATATTTTTTGATGAGGAATCAATGAGTACTTATTTAAAACTTTCGCAAGTTAATGCTATTAAATTTTTTTAAAGGTTGCTATTAGACTTGGATCAAGGCAAATTAATAAAATTGCGTTTATCTTATCAAGGAGGCCTAAATCAACAAAATATCAAGAGACAACTTTTAATCGGCCTTAAATTGCTTACACTATTTCGCTAACAAGATAAAAAAAGTCAATGGCGTACATGCTTTTTTTAAAAAAATAATCTAGTGATAACCCATATGCACGTCCCTGCTGAATATGGAGACACTTTTTTAGCCTTAAAATATGTCGCATTTATAGTAACTTTTACCCTCAAAATTTCATTCGAACTTCTAAAAGTACTTTTGAAGAAAATTATAATAAATCAAAAAAATATTAAGTCTTTAACACCCTGTAGCTAGGAAACAAAGCAGAATCGGACCTATGTTGATATGAAAAATAAATCGTATTTTTATGTGAGGAAACTTCCCACGAGAGATGGCACATGTTTTTTGAAACACCCTGTATAAAAATCCGTTTTTATAGAAATCGGGATGTCTCATTTGCAGTCAAAATAGCACACTCTGTACAGGGCTTAAATGAATAAGCGCGAAGTATGAGATGACGAGTGTGCTTTTTTAAACAATTTTTCTTTTGCTGTATCTAAATAATGTAATAGTTAGATGAAGCGAACGCACTTATTAATTTACATCCCTGTATAGCCCAAAATGAACTTAAAATTTATGAAAATGGTATGTCGACAGGTACTTGTCAAGTGAAGAACTACCTCCGCATCTATTGGATGTTTTAGAGCAGTTTCAGTTTCTGTTTTATAGCGGTTGTGTTATAGCCGAAGTTAGAGACTATAGGCAAATCTCTTATTCTAATATATGCTATACGCATCACATATTGCTTAGGCCTACATATAAGGTAAGTGGAGTTAAGCTTGATTTTCATGCATCCGTTATCCGACGACACGATGATACGATAGTAATTTTATTGGTTGAATTTAAAGACTTCAATTGGTTACAAAAAGGTTAACTAATCTTTAAGTAACTTCTTTAGTAACCAAGCCTTTAAATCCAACCAATAAAATTAATATCGTATCATCGTATCGTCGGACAACGGATGCATGAAAATCAAGCTTTAAAGACCAAATTAAAGATATTAAGTAATGTCTAAGGTTACGTCGTTCAATCTGTTTTCATCTAATTACATTCACCCTGCTTTGACCATGAGGAAATCGAACTTAAGGTAACCTGCGTTTGATTATCGACCCGAGATTGTTGTGTTTTAATTGTTTAATTTTTAATGTTATTTAAAAACATATCTGGGTCGATATCTGCCTATAGGCCCAAGAGATCGGTTACCTGCATGACATATGATATATCATGATATATCAAATTGGTTTACTCGAATTATATTATATTAACTAGAATTGAGCGTCCGGATTGCACAACGACCTTAGCGCGTGGCCGCGGGCAGCCCAGTAGACAAGCGAGACAGCGACGCGTTCTTGCGCGCCGATTTAACAAAATAAATAATTTTAAACCTGCCGTTATTTCGTTAATAATTATCGTATCGTGCTGATTTTTGCATAGAAATACTCATGAGTCTTTAACGCTTCCGACAAGCCTAAATAACTGGATTATTTTTTATATTTTTGATTTGTTTACATTGCCCGAGCATATTATAACTTTGAAATAAAAATCTCTGTTATAAATTTTAAAACTGACAAATATTAATATAGTACTATTCTTTTAAAAGTTCCTCAATATGGCCGACCTAGTTACGAAAATTGGTAATTTTTTTTTAATGAAAAATAAGTTGGCGTTAGCGAATTTAGAAATTGATTTACTCTTTGGTTAACAATAATATTTTTCAGGATTGTCAAGTTGACGTTAAAGTTAGGTTATTAGGTGGTTGTCATAAATAAAAACATATATTATTGAAATTATTTAATAAGAATAAAGGTATTTTACCGCAGATCCGAAGAGATTTTACTTAAAGGTATTTTAAAAACTTTCTCAGTGAGAATATTAACTCCCCTGTTTCTTATATTTCAGTTAAAGGGACGTAAGAACTATAGGAAGTAAATTTTTGTTTTGATGTTTTGACGATATCTGAGAGTTCCTAGAATTATCAAGATTATTGAATAATTATAGTTGTTTAATAAGTGAAATTAATAGAAGACTTGGAAATACGATGATGCTTTTCATGTTATAGTTGATAGATCACCCCATTCCTCTTAATTTGTTTTTATTTCAGTACAGTTAATCACAAATTGAATTGATGTGTGCAAAAACAGCTATATATTTTCAAACATCTTATTTAAATAGTTCTTTTATATACTGTTAAACTGTATCAACTACAAAGTATTTAGCAAAAAATTATAAGGTAATAAATTTTGTAGATATAATTTATGAAAATTTATAATATATAAAGATTAGAACACAATCCTCTGAAGGAAAAAGAAATACTCAAAAACTCATTAAATATACTTTATTAAAAATAACAACATACAAAAACATCCATGCAAACTGTAATAATCAGAACATTATCCACATTATAACTACTAACTCAACTTTTAAATCTGTTTTAAACCTTCTTTATATTTTAAAACTGATTTACAACAATCTGTAATGCCCGCGCTGTTTCTTGAAATATAAGTTTTAATCTATTTATTATCATATAGTACATATTACAAACCTGAAAATTACTGATACGAGGAAACTTCTCAAAATAATTAGAGACCTTTTGACAAACATCTGGACTAATTTATTTTCACGAATTTGTGAACGAGTCAATGTTTTCTAATACGTTTTTAAGCGTTTTACACATTTTGAATATCTTCCAGTCTATTCGTCAATTCTTGATTGGTGAAAAGATTATTTATAACTATATAATTAGTACTGCAGGTTGCAGGTTAAATAAAAGAACAAAATCAAGTAGAATTTGTGAATAAAAACTCAAAAAATAATGAAAATATTTAGAAAAAGGAACCGTAAACGTCAATGTCAGCCAAGTGTCAGAGTTCAATTGGATTTACCACAGATTGACAGATTATCAATTTGAACGATTTGAAGTACAGTCGATTCCAGTTTAGAGATTTTCGTTTTTTAAGCCTCCCATACTGAAGTCCGCCATATTGGGAAGTTTTAAATGAATACAAGTATACCATCATTTAATTAGTTATACATTTAGTTACAACATATTCAAAATTTAGGTCTATCGGTTTATGCTAGCAGTAATAACGAGTATAAATAAAAAAAAATGTTCAATACAACGCTCGCCGTTTTTAGCGCACGTTCAGCTTTGGGTTTAGTTTTAGCGCTATTTTTATAGAAAATAAATTCTGAACTTTAATCAAATGACAAGAACATTATCATTGCCAATATCTCCTGGTTATGTAGTTCTTTTTTCAAAATATTGCATTGTTTTAGCTTAAAATAACTTGAATTATGTGTTTTTTTTGCGAGAGCTACCGGAGCTGCGTTAATAAAGAGATGGCTATGTACGTCAATCATAGCCACAATTGACTGTAATTTTGCCTCGTCACGAGATTTTTTGGAAATATTGCACTTGCATTTATCCGAATTTCTACTAACTTTTGATCTTTCTTTTCGGTCGCATTTCCCTCTATTTAATAATAAATAATTTAAAAAAACGCACAAATACTATTGGTAGTAAACAAGCTGTGGCAAAAATTTTCTATACTCCGTGTAAACAAAAGACTATCGCAAATACTGTCTTTCGATTGACGTACATAGCCATCTCTTTATTAACGCAGCGCCGGTAGCTCTCGCAATAAAAGCGGCACAATTCAAGTTTTTTTAAGCTAAAATAATGCAATATTTTGAAAAAAGAACTATATTATACCAAGGAGATATCGGCAATGATAATGTTCTTGTCATTTGATCAAACTTCAGAATTTGTTTTCTGTAAAAATACCGCTAAAAGTAAAACCAAAGCTGAACGTGCGCTAAAAACGGCGAGCGTTGTACTGACCATTTTTTTATTTATACTCGTTATTACTGCTAGCATAAACCGATAGACCTAAATTTTGAATATGTTGTAACTAAATGTATAACTATTTAAATGATAGTATTCATATCTGTCAGTTTTAAAATTTATAACAGAGATATTTATCTCAAAGTTATAATTTGCTCGGGCAATGTAAACAAATCGAAAATATAAAAAATAATCCAGTTATTTAGGCTTGTCGGAAGCGCTAAAGACTCTTAAGTATTTCTATGCAAAAATCAACACGATACCATAATTATTAATGAAATGACGGCAGGTTTAAAATGATTTATTTTGTTAAATCGGTGCGCAACAACGCGTCGCTGTCTCGCCTGCCTACTGGGCTGCCCGCGGCCCCGCGCTAAGGTCGTTGTGCAATCCGGACGCTCAATTATATTATTTGTGCTTTTTTCCCAATTTGATCTAAACCCAAGTTGACATCTATTTAAGTCTTGACAACGTTTAACAACTTTAAGACTTAAATATCTTTAAATATCTCAAAAACCAAAGATTTAAAACATATTTAACCCTTATAATAAATGTCTTTTTTTGGGCCCAAGAATCCAAAATTAAATAAAATACCGGGTCTCTCCAAAAAAATCCTTTATGGGTATTTCGCCACTGCACTGCAAGAAAATCTACAAAATAAAATAGTTATTTTTTGTAAACACTTCTTAGTTCAGTCACTGGGGATCAAAAAAGGGGCCTGCTTGGAAAAAAGTCTGGAAGTTTTGAAACTTTGCAGGTTTATAAGTTTTGGGGTCCCTAACTAAAGTCCATAAAATGTACATCTTCAGACTTGCCGCCGGCGCGGCGCCGCACAATGGATCGAAGCATAAGAAAATATGGACATTGACTTATTTCGAAATTAATACTTTTATTTTATTGCTTTTTATATACGACTTCAATAAATATAAGAAAAATCTAAATTAATATGCCATTTTGTACTATATAGTTTACAAAATATACAGGGTGTCTCAAAAAAAGAACTAATATCTAAACAAAAAAGAAAAAAAAATATTATAACAAAAGAGAAATTGCTTTCTCTGTTAAATCTAAATTAATATGGCCTTTTGTACCAGATATTTTAAAAAATATACAGGGTGTCTTACAAAAAGAGCTCATCTATAAACAAAAAAGAAAACAAAACATTATAACAAATGAGAAATTACTTTCTCTGTTAAATCTAAATTAATATGGCCTTGTGTACCAAATAGTTAACAAAATATACAGGGTGACGCACAAAAGAACTAATCTCTAAATAAAAAAGAAAACAAAACATTATAACAAATGAGAAATTACTTTCTCTGTTAAATCTCAATTAATATGGCCTTTTGTACCAAATAGTTAACAAAATATACAGGGTGACGCACAAAAGAACTAATCTCTAAATAAAAAAGAAAACAAAAACATTATAACAAAAGAGAAATTGCTTTTCACAATATGCTTCATTGTTATTCCATGGCAAACTTGATATCTGAGTGACGAAATTGCCAAGCTAAGCGCACTGTATTACAAATGTATAAATATTATATCATTACTGTATTGATAAAAAGACAAAACCTGAACTTCAACTCGTTCATGTTCGGTGTCTCTTGTTTATCTTAACTACATAAAAATTAATGGTATTAAAGAAAACGTTTCTGGGCCTTTCAACCTATATACCTTATGACCTTATGTATTTTAGCGTAATTTAGTCCCACTCCAATATTCTTCGACGAATATACTTACCTATGTATATCGGCAAATTACAAATTGTTTGATGGCGCACTGTGCGTGCATTGCATACATTCAAGGATTTTGACATTAAAAACATTATATTTTTAGCAGGTGGCTCTTTACATTGCACGTAATATCTCCACTTACATCCGCTTACATTTTTTTGTAATTCAAGAAAACTTTATATTTTTAAGTCTTAATGACATAAATAAAAAAATTGAGTTTTTCACTTCTGGTGTGACTTTTTTTTTAACTATCCAATACTATAGCCCAAGAACGCTTCTAATAAGTCGTTATATATAACAAACGAATATCTTTTACATCCATTTTAAAATTACAATCAAATGTAAGACTCTTTATCTACCAATTTGAATGATTTTTCAATTTACTTCAAATGGTGCTCATATGCTCAATAAGTAAATAACAAACAGACATACTGTATATGTTTTACAAAACTAGAATATCTCTTTAACACAAATATGTGAAAAAAAATATTTAAATTTGGAACTCTTCAAAAACAGCCAATGTCTTTATTTTCTTATGCTTCGATCCATTGTGCGCCGCCCTCTTGCAAAGATGTCGCCCAAAATCGGTATTTTGTGAATATCTTGAAAACTATGCGTTTTTCGTGAAAATTTGAGGAGAGCAAAATTAAAGAGAATAAAATTTCCTATAAAAAAGGTTTTATGAAAATTTTTCCTAAAGCCAACCGTTTAGGCACAAAATCCCTGGAAATTTTACAATTTTGCGTAAAATATATATTATGTATAGTCGATTTTCCGAAATCAAATGTCGATTAGGGTTCACTAAAACTAGTTTTAGTTTAGTGTCTTCAATTTTGTCATGAAACGGTGGCGTATTATTAATTCGCTCATTAATTTATGAATAATTAATTGTCGTGCTGGACAGCATTCATTGCGAACTTACCAGCAGGTTCAGCATTGGTCTGGTTGCGTTATACCAAAGATGCCGAAAAATGGGGTTGGAAGAAAACGAAAACAGGCATTACTCCAGTCACAACATTGAAAGATCCAGCTCCAAAATCCCTGTTGGCATTTTTATCCTGTAAATGCAAAACCAACAACTATGGAAAGCCTGCGGATGCAGAAAAGCAGGATTAAAATGTTCAATGATTTGTGCATACTGCAATGGGAAATCCTGTGACAACGTCACTGAAGTGTCACTCGACGAATCCGATGAAGAGGAGTTGGACTTGCCTGTAGATATTCCTCTGGCGGCTGAAGATGAAGAGTTGGACGTATTGAGAAACCACCCTGATGAGCTCAGCACAGCAGACACGATCGACTTTGACATCAATGAGCCAGATCCGTCGGGCTTGTGCAGATAAGTAAAAGATTTAATTTATCTAGTGGAGTAGGCCTCCGGGGAGACCACGTTAAAATAAACGCGCCATATACTTTACCTCTTGGGTGGTGTGGAAACAAGTACACATTTTCAATAATTAAAATTAATTATTCATAAATTAATGAGCGAATTAATGATACGCCACTGTTTTATGACAAAATTGAAGAAACTAAACTAAAACTAGTTTTAGTGAACCCTAATCGACATTTGATTTCGGAAAATCGACTATACATAATATATCATATTTTACGCAAAATTGTAAAATTTCCAGGGATTTTGTGCTTAAACAGTTGACTTTAGCGAAAATTTTCATAAAACCTTTTTTAATAGGAAATTTTATTCTTTTTAATTTTGTTCTCCTCAAATTTTCGCGAAAAACGCATAGTTTTCGAGATATTCACAAAATTCCGATTTTGGGCACCATCTTGGTAAAATGGCGGCGCCGGCTGCAAATCTGGAAATGTGCATTTTATGGATTTTTTAGTTAGGGACCCCAAAATCTATAACCTACAAAGTTGCAAAACTTCCAGACTTTTTCCAAGCAAAAATCCCCAATGACTGAACTATCTGCGTTAAACCTAAACGGACACTGCTTGTCAGAAGTTATGTTTACAGTTATACAAATTTGCCTAACAAAGAAAAAAATGCTTAACGTTTCGGAAAGTTACTTAACAAGAACGTCAACGGTTTCTTGTAGACGTATCTGTTTTAAAAAAGTAAAGTGTTCTCGAATAGTTCAATTTAAATATTTTAAATAGTTTTTTCTTTATTCTTTGTATTTTTTTTGCTTCCGACGACGGAAAGAGATAAACTTTCCGAAACGTTAAGCATTTTTTTCTTTGTTAGGCAAATTTGTATAACTGTAAACATAACTTCTGACAAGCAGTGTCCGTTTAGATTTAAGGCAGAAGTGTTTACAAAAAATATCTATTTTATTTTGTAGATTTTCTTGCAGTGCAGTGGCGAAATACCCATAAAGGATTTTTTTGGAGAGATGAATCCGCCACATAGGTATAGACATTTTTTAAAATACCGGGGGTGTTCCATAAAAAAAAAACTTTGGTATGGATCTTAGTTCTGAAACACCCTGTATACTTCAAAATAATTTTAAATTGTGTACATTGCCTCCCCACATATATCCAAAAAATATTTTGTTTCTACATCTTTTTCCTATAATCAACCGAGGCGAATGAGGTGCACCACCCTGTATGCAACAAATAAAAAAACAACCCACGTGGCCCTGTATTACGTAATACACTGTCGTTACTGTAATAATAAACCCACCTACCAGACCTGTGACGTAAATATATCTGTTATTTATATATTTTTCAGACTCTTTTAGCGGATATTAATAATTTGACCAAAGACAGGACGGATTTCAGTTCGGACGACAAGGCTGCGTTGGAGAGCGAGCTTTTACTGGCCCACACGCCGGACTTGTGTTTAGAATCCGATCCGCACATAGAAAACGAATTGGCGGAGGTTTGCAACCGGAAGTATATCTGGAACGATTCTCCGTGTAGGAAAATAGCTAAGAAATGCCCACAGGTTGGTACCGCAGGCTTCAAATTTTTCAGAAAAATCCTGTGGCCAATTAAGAATGGACGCCATTCTTAATTAGTCACAGGCCATACTATCCAAGCAGGAAATTTTGCGCTGATCCAAATATACCCTATGCCTAAAATAGCTTTTTTGCTTGTTTCCCTTCAAAAAACACTTTTTCGTGTTTTTAACGTATTTTTCCATGTAATCCTGACCATTACTGTTCAATTTTACTTTGCTTCCACAGAGTTATAAAAAATTAAACTCTGCATCGATTTGTCACCAGCAACTGCCGAATTGATCAATAAGTAAGGTCATAAGCTTTGAATAAAAAGATTAAGGAAGGAGCATATCAAAAATCTTATATCCACCGCGATGGGACTCAAATATGGCCGACTTAAATTCCGGTTTATCAGTGCCGTTCTAATTTTATTTAAAAAGTGTATAACTATGATGTAGGGTAGACGTGGGATAGACTCAATAATTTGTTGTTTTATTTTACGTTGTGAATAAATGTTGGTAGTTATTAAAATTGTTATAAAAATATATAATTCTAATAAAAATAGATAAGTTATAATAATTATTTCTTACCACAAACATCCGATACGCTACTGAAGCAGGTAAGTCAAATTGATGTATCTAAATTCTTTGACATCTAATCTTTGACAAGTAGTAAAGAAAAGCAAAAATGCAAGAAAAAATATATAATTAGTTAATTTAAGTGAATTTCATAAATGATCGGTTTACTACACGTATGTATATTATATAGTCACTTACTAGCGAAAAGTTGTTCTATTATTTCACTCGATTTTTGCCGAGATCTACCGCCCGCTACACAACCAACTATTTTAGAGTCTGTTCGATAAATCGCGATAGTGTCGCTGTTACGCTTCGTCCTACGTGGGAGACAAAAGCGAGCGATTCGGGTGGTGCGAGCGACGGCGTATTTATCAAACAACGTTTTCTTACGAAGGTGTCCTAGGTAGGAGAGTCGCTCGACTGAAGCGGCATCGTAGGCAATTCAAATATGTCGTGCTAGTCGCGCTTATCGCCCTTTGTTGTCGCACGCGTCGCCCGCTCGCTTTTGTCTCCCACGTAGGACGAAGCCTTAATTATTTAAGTTTTGCCACAATTTCCATCTAGATTTACTACCTTTATACAACTATCAGTAGTAGAATAAATAATAAATAACATAAAATAAGCTCCGTAAAGACTGACAAATCCACAAAATTTCAAATCAAAATCAAATGTGTCAAATGAATGGTCAAACAGAACTGTCAAGGATCCCCACCCTAGAGTCCTTTTTCCGCCCACCATGCATGAATATATGAATAGCATTATGCTCCTTCCTTAGTCTTCTTATTCAAAGGGGAAATAACAGGAAATATTTTCAAATAAGTTAATTTCAATAAAACTTAAATATCAAAACATGACTTCAGTGACACATAGTGCACACATTGTTTTATTGAAGCGACGGATAAATAATTGATAAACTTTGTATAATCCACAAGGAAAGTGGATAAAAGTGGAAAGTGTTATTACATTACATTATTGACACCAAGCGCAATTAAATGTACTACAGTTAATAAGCTGTAACCGGGATTATACAAAGTATATTATAGTTGTCTTATAAATATTTCCGTGACTAGAATTTGAATACTAATTTTATAGTGAGAAAATCTGCATTTTTGGAAAATTTTGCAATGAAGTTTAAAATTAATTTTAGTAATTTTAGTTATACGTGCATAAAAAAGCTTTTCGGGCATGAAAAAAATCTGTTGGGTAGAAACTAGTGTTGTATTTTAAACCTACTTATAAAATAAAAATAAGTGAAACATGAAATGAAATACCGATTAAATAATGAACTTTTTGCATCCGGCAACCAATAATGCACGTGTGTGTATTATTGGTTGCCGGATAAGGAGTAATAACCATGACAAGGACTACAATGACGTCACAAAGCAAGGAGTTTTTGCATGCACCTGGCGGACACTTGGCTGAATGAGCAGTCCTATTAGGTTAACTGTTCTTGACCTATACATATCTTTCAGTTATTCATGTTTCTTTTTCATACTCTAAATTTTTATACAAGTGGTCGAATCTTCTTTGTACCCATTTTAAAATTTTCTTGTATGTATTGTAGGCTACTATTAATACGAAAAGAAAACTTGACCAGTCCATATGGGATCTTGATTTATTTGAGTATACTAGAGCCAAAAAGAGGGCAAAGTCCGAAGCTCAGTCGGTAGTCCACTCCAGTAGGGCACCCTTAAATAAGGTCAGTAAAATATACTATACAATAGCGTGTCCGTTATTTACGAAGTTGATCATTTCTCTCACGACGCCCCCTAAATTTTTAGTTTATTGTCTAAAAAAAATAACAGACCATTGTAAACCCTTAATATTAATCCCACAGACGATTCATTTCCCATTTAGATTACACGGGAATTTGCCACTTTTTGCAAATATTTTTTTTCCTCGATTTTGTTCTTCCGCAGCCATGACAATCACACATTCTTGTACAGAATTGATCGCTCTACAAAAAAGGTATCTTACAATTTTTCGATAAACCTACCCCTTCAAAAGTTATTCACGGTTAAAGTTAACCACTCGGAAAATTCCTAAATTTTTCAATTTTTCACAAAATTATGATCTATTATTTGAAAAAAAGCAATTTTTATGATACCGTGATAAACGATTTTGAATCATGAAAAACAGTTGAATGCATGACAGGTAGTTAATTCTAATACTTATTATAGTATCAGGCAGAAAATGGTTGAAGCTTTAAAAATGAAATAATGACGAAGGGTTCGATATTTCTAAACTTTTCATTTTTAATCAGGATGATATTAGATGGTTTATAAAACAAAAACATTGATTATTTCGTAAATTCAAATTCGTTACAACTTTTTACACAGTTTAATATAGATACAAGTTTTCTGCAGTTAGAAAGTACGGAATGGTTAATGGATCCTGGATATATGAGAGGCTTAGAAATTGTGAAAAATTTGAGAGTAGTTAATGATACTGCAGAAAGAGCTGTTAAATAATCAGAAGAATACATTAATATTTTATCTAGAAGTGAAGATGAAGAACAATATGTGAGTCAGATTGTAAGCGAGTATAAGAAGAAATATCAGAATCCAACTAAAGAATGTGTAACGTTTTTAGTTCGGTACATGTCTTTTTTATATATGATATATATGATGTCTGGCGTATCGTCATCGGATTCCGTATCGTCCAGGCCTGATAATTTATTTGGCACGCTTGGCGTAATTTTTACGTTCCCTAGTCGCCACCCCTACTATCGTTTCACTGTTCTGTGGAGGCGAGCGCTGTCAAGATCATGTTATATGTCAAGGCGCCTCTCTGCGTTTCAGACTCACTTTTGTTCACCCGGCTTTTAAAAATGGTAATAATTTAAATCTTGCTGCAAAATCTGAATCAGCTGCCATTTCGAAGCTACAGGGTAGAGTTTTGGATGTCCCAACTTAACTTGTATTTATATTTTGCTGGCACGTTGGCGTCCCTTTTTGTCCTCCAGAATGTTACATGGAAGAAAGGACAGTTTCTTTGTTTATTATTGAGCCCTCGGAAGTAATTCGAGGGTCTTATGGACGGACTGTGTCCAAGGTACGGGTAGTGTTCCCCTGTACCGTTATCTTATGGACGGACTGTGTCCAAGGTATGGCAGGTGTCCCATATCTATGTATTGATTCCAAGGTTCGGGCATTATCCAAGGTCCTAGTAGTGTTCCAAGGTACGGATAGTGTCCCCATATTGCCACAGTATGGATGTAGCGTAAGCCCCATGCTGCTTCGTTCCCATTCCTCAGTCTAGTCAGTAGTTACGGCTGTATCAATTCATGGTGTCCTCATTCTGGCCCCCTTTTGTTGTATTGGATGGCCGAGTACAGAGATGCGAGACCACCTCACGCTGCTACCGTTTGAAGCAAGGTTACATAAAGAACAGCTAAGTGTAGATTTAAGTTCTAGTTTTACATTTAACCTCTAAAACATTTTCAGTCTTAAACAATAATGTACATCTTAAATAATATTGTACAGACTATATTTAGTGGTTAGATTATTAAGAACATTTATGTCGATTTAGTAGTTACAATATGAGTTAGATATTAGGTTTCATTACATTACGCCTTGTAATAGTATTTAACCACTATAATAATTATTAAAATTGTACAATGCTATTTACCTTCAGAATTCATCATGAATAAATATAGCCATTAGTTTTAAGTAATATACAACTGTGTTTTCTTTCTCTCTACATGCCTGGCGCCCAATATCTATTTTTTTTTTGTTTATTGTTATTAATTAGTTTTCTTTCCAGTGAAATACCTTATCCACGACTGCTCTCCGATGAAAAGCTGCCGTTCGCAGTGGTAATGTTTATAAAAAAAACGCTACAAATGTTTATTAAAATAAAATCAGCTATAGGTACTTATAAATGGTTTAAACTTCATTAGACTTGAAGATTTCTTAATTCCCAATCTTAACACCATCAGAATTGTATATTTTTACAGTAATAGATTAAATTTTTCAAAAATAATCATAATTTTCTCAAAAAAGTTGAAGAATTTAGTAATTTACCGAGTGGTTAAATTTAACCGTGAATAACGTTTGAAGGAGTAGGTTTATCGAAAAATTGTAAGAGACCTTTTTTGTAGAGCGTTAAAGTCTGTATAAGAGTATTGAAGAATATGTAATTGTCATGGCTGCGAGAGAACAAGGTTGAGAGAGAAAAAATTATTTGCAAAAAGTGACAAATTCCCATGTAATTTAAATGGTAAATGAATCGTCTGTGGGGCAAGGTTTATTGTGAATATTAAGGGTTTACAATAGTATGTTATTTTTTAGACAATAAACTAAAAATTTAGAAGGCGTCGTCGTGAGAGAAATGATCAACTTTGTAAAATAACGGACACTACTATACAAATATTAGATTAATATAGTCTGTCAAACGACAAAATCCTTGGCAGTGATAGATGTGTCTGTCATTTTAATTTCAAAGTAGTTTATTTTATTTTACAAAGAAATAAGTTGGTAAAACTGGAACGCATAGCAGGAAATTAATATATTTAAAATTTGACTGATAAGTGATTACTTCAAAATATTGTGAAAAAAAACTGAATAAAACTAAAAAAATGTAATTGAGTTATTTTATTAAAAAAAACGATATGTATTAATACAAAACAAACAAGAAATAGACACCACATACCAAAAAAATATAAAAAAGAACTATTTCTTACTTTCAAGCTTCAATAAACTTCACGCATTTATTATTTATCAATATAACTTATGTACAAATACAAATTTGTAATATTCCACAGGAATAAATAAAACATAAATAAAACAAACTATTTTATTAATAATAACACTTACCAAATTTTATACCTTAAAGGTTGATTAATTAACTTTAATCTTAATTTTTTTTAAACCAGTACCTTTTGACATTATTTTTCTGTAGTACTAAAATCCATTATTTACCTATCGTGTGATGTCGATATTTTACTCCAGACTCCAGTACTATTTGTTTAGTACGATCCTTGTAGCATATACGAGATGCTGATCTACGACGAGATGATATACAAACTTTATTGGTGTATAAGAGTTTCTGCCTGAGCAGCGAGCATTAACTATAAACTGTGCTCTGTGTCTATAGTTAATTTTACCTCGATTTTTCCTTCACTTGAAAAGACACAAAACACACATAATAACACGAAACACGAATCAAAATTTAATCCATTTATCTTCCAAAACGTAGATATTTGACATAAGTTGACACAAAATTATAACCTATAATTTGGCAAGAATTTGACAAGCCTCAAGAATCTAAAGGCGAGTTCATACGCATCGGCGTCCGTTTGTTGTTCATCGTACCATCAAACCAATAAAATTGAAATTTGATCTGTCATTTTTTAAATAAACCAATAAAACTGGTTAAAAACAGCAAGAGAGGACGCATGACGGATTTATATTTAAACCCATCCATAGTTAGCTTAAAAAATATTAGAAACTTTTTTTAGTAAAATTAATAGGTTGGTATGGGACGTCATCTGCTTTTCTTCTGTCATCGTCTGTCGAAATCTTACCTGAGAAAAAAAAAACAGAGTATAGTTATGTACTTTTCTAAAATTTCACGATTATGTATAAGTATTTTTTTTCTTTTATAGGTTACCCCGGAATATAAGACTGTCATACCGGTACCTAGTCTGGAGTGTCCCTCGATAGCACCGCCCACGCAGCCGCTGGTGATCAACCAGTTCTGGCCGATCGCCTGGCCCGAAGAGACGCAAGACTGTTCCCTGCATCTGATGGAAGAATACACTTTAGAGACTGACATGCCTTCGAAGGTGGTTTTAACCCTCTATTATGCGCCTAGTTCGCCTCTCTTCTACTACGGGATTTGTTTTAGGATAAGGATAATCCGAGGGTGTACCACATTAAGCTGTCGATCTATCGGAGGCCTGCCGACTTGGAGTATATAGGCGAAATGTACTTGGACAGGGATCACAAAAAGGACAGTGCGGGACAGAATGGCGTGTCTTGTAGATTTTCCTTAGGTAAGACGTGAGAACAGTGGCCGCGACCGAAACTATAGCTTTTACAGGGTGTTCCTTAATGACATGCTAATATTTAAGGGGGCGATTCTTGATCCTATTCTAATGGTATGTATACAGGGTGTCCAGGGATTGTCTTAATTCTAGTTAATGTTATCATTCAGTGGGGTTGGTAACATTAACTAGGAAATGCTCGCAATTACGCATTGGACCAGTGAATGTGGTATTTTAAAGAGATTTGTCTACAATTCCTAGTAATTTTTAACCTTCACTAGTGACAGAAGCATTTACTAGAGGTTTTCAGTAAAAGTTATTCTATTGTACAAGGCGAGTGTGGTGAGAAAGAATGTCGGTGGAAGTTATAACAAATAAAACATTTAAGAATATTGGATCACCTCAATATTTAAGCTGATCCACATATCTTAAAATTACAATTTACTTCTGTAGTATATTTATTGAAAATTATAGAAAACAATGACATAACCTTCTAAATATTTTAAGGGAAAAGATAGTAAACATTTTAAAGCGTACAAAACAAAAAAAAATCATAAACATAACATTACTTACTGGTACAAGGTTTTTTTAATAAAGTTCTTCATTGTGGTCAAAATAAAGTATATCCGAATTTTCTTCAACGGGTGTTAACTTCAACTAACCGCTACTTCAAGCTTATCAAAACGATAGTCACTAGGTTCCTTAATATCTTTTTCTTTTGCACGCTTAACTTTGCTATGACTTCATTATGTATATTGCAAAAATAAAAAACAAGCACTATTACATTCTTGCGAGTGCCTAGTTTACCTTAATTTTTCACAAAAAAATTTCTTCCATAGGAAAAATACCGCACAGAACTTTTTACAACGATAACAAAACTATCATAACCACAAAAATCAAAGCGAATTTACGCAGATGTCTGTCAACGTTGCCAACGTTTAGCCCAATTTAATGTTATCCTTATATTGCCTATTATTCAACTTATCCTGATTTATCCTTATATTTTACAACATGTGGCAACCGCGCTAACCGAATCTTTCAAATTCACTGCTATCGTCCAGGGAATGCTAGCATTCACTAGTAAAAGTTGGTTTAAAAAAAAAATCAAACAATAAAGGTTGCTATCTTCAGTATATTTTTATTTCTTATTTCTGCAAGACGAATATCTGCTATCTCCCTATTGTCTCTGAAAAAAATGATGTAACACGAAATATTGAGTTTTATTGTTCCCCAGCAAATAAAATTCTTATTTCTTTATCATATTAACGCATGAAAATACTTCCTACATGTGTACATATTTTTTTGTACCGTTTTTTTGCTCTCCTGTAAAATTAGGAATAATGGAGTTAGCAGTTTATCACATTTCACCGACGATATTTTCTTTTAATCAAAATATTTTAGGAAACAAAAATAAATTAATTATAAGTATACCGGGTGCGTCTCAAAAGTGGCTCACTCCTATAACTTTTTTATTTTTTAAGTTAAAAAAACGAGATTTGGTATGTTAGTATATGACATAAAATAGCATTGATTGACATATTTAATTGTTTTCGGTAACTTCCTGTTTCACCGGAAAAGTCTACAACTTTTGATTTTTAAATGGCACCTCGGTATTTTTTTACTTTATTCGATAGAAAATGACATTCTGAATTGAATGACATATCATATGTCAACTTTTGACATTTCGCATGTGGTTTATTTGAAATTATAACTGGCGGTTCGTAACGAAAATTTGACTCGAAATACCAAGTGTGTGGTATCAAATTATTCGTAAAAAAATGCTTTTTCGAATTACGCTAACGAGCCACCCTCGTTCCATTTGAAAAAACTGAGATATGATTAAAAATACGACTTATGCATTTTCTAACTGGTCAGGACAAGACACTAAAAACATTAGACGATCAAATCTATTTTTCCAAGGCTCCTTGATTAAGAATTAGTGTTTTTAATAAAGCCATGACACTCTAGATTGAATTTTAAAATAGAATTTTTTATTACACGATAATGTCAAAAGTTGACATATGATATGTCATTTTATTGAGAATGTCATTTTCTATTTCGAATAAACTAAAAATATACTGAGGGTGCCATTTGAAAATCAAAAGTTGTAGTCATTTCCGGTGAAACAGGAAGTGACCAAAAACAATTGAATACGTCAATCAATCCTAATTTATGTCATATACTAACATACCAAATCTCGTTTTTGTACCTGAAAAAAATAAAAAAAGTTATAGGGGTGAGCCACTTTTGAGACTCACCCGGTATAAACAGTTATTATTTACATCTACAAAACTCACCTCCTTAACAGCACTTAACATACATAAAGGACCATTACTACCGCTTTCCCGTTCAAAATATTCTAATAAAGTTGCGATGAGTTTTTTACGGCTATTAAGCTATTAAAAAATATTAAGTGTGGCATATCATTGTACTCAGACCGAGTTCTTTCAAAACCTGAAATAAAAAATGCAGGTCTGTATTTAAAAAAATTAAGTTTGCCTCTGTATCTCCTAATTATCAGCTAATTTAAAAATCTAGAAATACTCTCAGATAGTCCTAATAAAGTGGCTATGAGAATGTGCAATTAGTTTTTTCATTTTCTAAAAAGTAACAAGAAAAAATAAAATTGATTTTCAAAAAAATTCGTTTTTTCCAAAAAAACTCAGCAATCCTTGAAAATTTTAAAACTTTTGATGGCATCTTGGTGAACAGTCTCAAGCGCAACTTTGCCCCAATTTAACCATCTTCGTATCTATTCCGGTTTCCGAGATACCAATGCTCGTACCTCGAATTTGTAGCACCCTGTATAATACTGTTTTTATATTATACAGCTTCGAGATCCAACACTAACAGATACATTGAGCAATTCACCGAAATATTTACGGAGGGCGGTCGAAAAAAAATTTTGCCCCGACTGCAACAAGGATCGGCGCGATTGGGTATGCACGCGGTGGGCCGAAGTACCGCTCAACCTTACTCTAGAGAACACATGGAAAGGATACATCAAGTAAGTAATTAACCAACACATTTTACCTCTGATCACATACTTTGTGACATAGAAATTGCAACACCCAGTAAATGTAAATATTGTCAAGGTGTATGTGGCGCTAAACTGTATTGCTGGTTGCCTTACACGGCGAATTCACCAAAAAGTAAAAGACATTTTTAGGCGCCATCTCTTAATCAAGTCGACAAGTAAGCGAATCAGACAATAGAATTTACTGGTAGATGGCGGAAAAGTATCGAAAATTACAGAAGGTTCGAGAAACAGTCAGTAGGGGTATATAAAAGCCCGCGCTTGGCAGTTGGACAGTTTGAAGTTTGACAATACCGCGTTTTAAATCGTGAGATAATTGGCGAAGGTGCCAGAACGGTTAGAGTAATAGTAGTTGCATAAATTGTGTTGTAAATAGTATAAATTGTGTATTGTGTATTGTCTCCTTACCCGCCTTCAGAGGTTTTACTTTGGTAGTATAAATTGTGTGTACAGAGTGAGATAATAAATTAGTTAAGTATTTTATCGTGAGTTTAAATTAGTGGACCCACGGAATCCGTAACAATTGGTGTCGGATGTGTGCGATTCAAGAGGATTTTAAGAAGAAATTAAGTGGATTGGAAGATTTTTAGACCGAATTAGAGTATTTTTATGGTTGGTACAAGGGAGCAAGCGAAGAAAATGGAGGAAATAAGCAAATTATTGGGCGATTTTATGGAGAATATGAGAATAGAGAAAGCAGAAGAAAAATTACGCCGTCAAGAAGAACAGGACCGTCTTGAGAAAATTCTGGAAGGCTTAGAGACGCGCCATCAGAAAGAAAGACAAGAGGAACAGGACCGGATCGAGAAAATTTTACAAGGTTTTGAAATGCGTCGACAAGAAGAAACACTTGAAGAACAGGACCGTATTAAGAAAAGTCTCGAAAAAATGGAAGAAAAAATGGAAAAAAAGCAACAAGCAATGTTAGAAGTACGTTGCCAGGAACAACAGACCCACTTCCAAGAAGTCGTAGAAGATCTGGAGAAGCGCCTTCAGCAGAAAATGGAAAAATTAGAGATGGACCTACAGAAGACCAAGGCACATGTAAGGACACCTGGCGTTCAGGGAACTGCGAATCTTAAGGCCCCGACTTACGATGGACAAACGACCTGGACGATGTACCACCGTCAATTTGAAGCAGCCGCCGCTGCCAACGGATGGACTGAGCAAGAGAAAGCAGCGGCACTTGTCATCGCGCTGCGTGGCCCTGCCCTGGAACTGCTGCAAATTATTCGTGCAGCCCAACAGCAGGAATACCAAACTTTGGTTGCTGCACTGGACCGAAGATATGGCGACCAACATCGACGCCAACTTTACCAGGCCCAGATCAAGACACGCCTGCAGAGGTCCGGAGAGAGTCTGCAGGAATTCTAAGCCGACTTGCGTCGGCTGGTACACCTGGCATATCTAGAAGCACCGAAAATATTTAAGGAGGTATTCGCTGCTTAGTGCTTTATCAGCGGACTGAAGGACCACGAGTTACAGAGGGCGCTGCAAATATCGCGGTTTTCGACCAGCAGCGAAGTACTCGTCAGGGCGCTGGAAATAGAAGCTGCATTTGGCGCCATTTCTAAACCGAAGATAGGCTCGGTAACGGTTGAGGAACAGTCAAAGAGTTCTCACGTCATACGTTTTGAGGAGATGTTTAATAAACTATGTGGGTTACTAGTGAACAAGGGAGTCAACAACACCCAGACAGAGAACCAGAGAAGATCCCAAGATATTAGGTGCTATAGATGTGGCAGGAATGGCTATATTCAACGGGATTGTCGCATCCAAATGCCATTCCGTTCATCATCAAGAGAACATAGGCACATCGGAAGATCCCAGGACATAAGTTGCTATAGATGTGGCAGGAATGGCCATATCAAACGGGATTGCCGCGCCAAATGCGATTCCGTTTACCATTCAGAGAACATAGGCACCAGGAAATCAGTACTAATGGGCGAGTATTGGATGAGGAAACCAGAGCCTCCAGGATGTTTTCCATTAGGAGTCTAGGAAAAACCGCTGACAGTTTGGTGATCAACGGGAAGGCCAATGGTAGAAGAATTCGAATGACTGTGGATACAGGCGCTATGGTATCATTGGTGCGGACTAACTCAGTGCAAGGATTGAAGATGATGCCTCTTAGAAGAAGAGTGTATTTACGCACAGTTACGGGGAAAATAGCCGTTGTATGGGGAGAGGCTTTCATGGAACTGGAGTTAGGGAATTTGTTTAGGGAAGTTTTGGCATAGCGTTTTAACAGCAGGCAATCAACCCACAAACACTATACTAAGGGCTGGCAAAGGTTAGTTTTGGGTCGAGATTTCCGTATTAAGAAGAATACAATGTCTTTATAATGTATTAAACAAAGAGAGAACGGTAAAAACATTGCCAAACGTATGAAATAAACCGAGAAACTGTGCACATTGCTAAGAGACGTGGAAGGAGATATAGCAGATTCGTCGCGGCCAATCAGTACCTCTCAGTACTTAAAATTCTAGGGAAGGGTGTACATCATGCGTTCAGCTTCACGATTTAATTACGTCTCGTGATACCATATTTGTTTATTTATTAACGAGCCGCTGTAATTTTCTTTATAGCTTGTAAATTTTTAAGTGTAAGTGAGAAACACAGCACTTTTGGTAAAAATAAGTGAAATTGAGTTGGTGTTCGACTGTGGTCGCGCTATTAGAACTCTCATTTCAAAAACCGATATCTCGAACTTCATTAGAAGTAATTGATGGTAGTTTTTTTCAAAAACTTTCTTAATATTTCTGCTATATTCTATCTTCGCAGACAGTGTGTGAAAATCTTTACAAATAAGAAAGTTATACGATTGCTGAAAACTGCTCTGCACTAAAAGTAAGTGGACGGATTTTTTTTAATTTTTGAATGGAAAGAAAACAAGCCTATCGAATTTTTCTTATTTAAACATCTTGTAAAAAATCGGTAAAAAAAAATCTTGTAAAAACTTCAAAATAAAAAAAAGCGTGTTATGCGTTAAAAAGTTGAGTTTTTATGTGTGTTATGTGTAAAAAAGTTGAGTTTTTAAATTATCGCGATTACTGATGTAGTTATAAACAAATGGATAAAATGGAAATAAGCATTTGCGATCGTGATTTTCCTTTACTTGATAGGGAAATGCGTACCGGAGAAATGTGGCAACGCCGCGACACCACACCGTCGCATTTCTCACTCCGACTTAATAAGATCTCTGTGCGATTTACATCCACACATGTAAATACCGACCCAAAAATATGAGTTGCCAGCACGGTATAGCTAAGCATATACAGGGTGTTGCAATGTTTATGTCACAGTATACATTAGTACTGTTTATAAAATTCAATTATTTTAACAGGCGCTGCTACAAGGTCGACTAACGGGTCTTAACGGTGTCTCACCAGGATTACAACAACAACTGCAAATGGTACATTTAAAACGAAAATCTATTTTTATATTTTTTGCTTTACACACTACCGCTATATTTTAGCCGCACCCCGTTCAAGTCGCCACCGTACAAAAGCCTCAACAATTAACTGCCGAGGGACAGGAAGTTAACAAATTTGGAAACTATGTACAAATTCAAGCAGCAGGTAACTATTTTTTGTAAAAGTACAAGAGTTTTATAATGGTCCATTTGAACTACTATAAATACAGGCTTGATAATCGATAATCCAAGCATTTTATAACCGTATAATTGAAGTACTATAAATATAAGCTTGACAATCAATAAGGCAAGTATTTTATAATCGTGTATTTGAACTACTATAAATACAGGCTTGGTAATGCATAATCCAAGTATTTTATAACCGTACATTTGAACTACGGTAAACACAGGCTTGGTAATTCATAATCTAATTATTTTATAACCGTTCATTTGAACTACGATAAACGCAGACTTGGTAATTAATAATCCAAGTGTTTTATAACCGTACATTTGAACTACTATAAATACAGGCTTGGTATTCCATAATCCAAGCGTTTTATAACCGTACATTTGAACTACTATAAATATAGGCTTGGTAATCCAAAATCCAAGCATTTTATATTCGTACATTTGAACTACTATAAATACAGGCTTGGTAATCCAGAATCCAAGCATTTTACACCCGTACATTTGAACTACTATAAATACAGGCTTGGTATTCCATAACTCAAGTGTTTCATAACCGTACAGTTGAACTACTATAAATACAGGCTTGCTAATCCAAAATCCAAGCATTTTATACCCGTACATTTGAACTACTATAAATACAGGCTTGGTAATCTAGAATCCAAGCATTTTATACCCGTACATTTGAACTACTATAAATCCAGGCTTGGTAATCCAAAATCCAAGCATTTTATACTCGTACATTTGAACTACTATAAATACAGGCTTGCTAATCCAGAATCCATGTTTTTTTATAACTGTACATTTGGACTACTATAAACAGACTTGGTAATCCATAATCCAAGTATTTTATAACCGTACATTTAACTATAAATACAGACTTGCTAATCCAAAATCCAAGCATTTTATACCCGTACATTTAAACTACTATAAATACAGGCTTGGTAATCCAAAATCCAAGCATGTTATACCCGTACATTTGAACTACTATAAATACAGGCTGGGTAATCCAAAATCCAAGCATTTTATATTCGTATATTTGAACTACTATAAATACAGGCTTGGTAATCCAAAATCCAAGCATTTTATAACTCTACATTTGAACTACTAATAAAAAAGAAATGTGTCCAAAGATAATGGTAGTTTACTTAAATTATAACCATTTAACTAACAGAGGACATATAGCAAAATTAATAGAAGTTGGCGTGCACGCCATTAAAATATTTGACGAATGTATTTTGCAATGTTGCCACGGCTACTTTTTTTACGTTTTCTTTTGAGTGTCAAATAAAATTCTTAATTTTGTCACCGATTCTTGATATTGATATTTCGATTGATATCAGTTTTTACTTCCCTAACTCAGGTTAACGGTAAAAGGGACTTGCCATGTTTTTTTTATTTAAATTCATTTTTACTCATTTTAACATTATAGTTCAGTCATTGGGGATCAAAAAAGGGGCCTGCTTGGAAAAAAGTCCGGAAGTTTTGAAACTTTGCAGGTTTATAGGTTTTGGGGTCCCTAACTAAAATCCATAAAATGCACATTTCCAGACTTGCCGCCGGCGCCGCCATCTTGCCAAGATGGCACCCAAAATCGGTATTTTGTGAATATCTCGAAAACTATGCGTTTCTCGCAAAAATTTGATTGAGCAAAATTAAAGAAAATAAAATTTCCTATAAAAAAGGTTTTATGAAAATTTTCGCTAAAGTCAACCGTTTAGGCACAAAATCCCTGGAAATTTTTCAATTTTGCGTAAAATATGATATATTATGTATAGTCGATTTTCCGAAATCAAATGTCGATTAGGGTTCACTACAACTAGTTTTAGTTTAGTTTCTTCAATTTGGTCATAAAACAGGGGCGTATCATTAATTCGCTCATTAATTTATGAATAATTAATTGTCGTGCTGGACAGCATTCATTGCGAACTTACCATCAGGTTCAGCATTGGTCTGGTCGTACCAAAGATGCCGAAGAATGGGGTTAGAAGAAAACAAAAACAAGCATTACTCCAGTCACAACGTTGAAAGATCCAGCTCCAAAATCCCTGTTGGCATTTTTATCCTGTAAATGCAAAACCAACAACTATGGTAAAGCCTGCGGATGCAGAAAAGCAGGATTAAAATGTTCAATGATTTGTGCATACTGCAATGGAAAATCCTGTGACAACGTCACTGAAGTGTCACTCGACGAATCCGATGAAGAGGAGCTGGACTTGCCTGTAAATATCCCTCTGGCGGCTGAAGATGAAGACTTGGACGTATTGAGAGACCACCCTGATGAGCCTAGCACAGCAGACACGATCGATTTTGACATCAATGAGCCAGATCCGTCGGGCTTGTGCAGATAAGTTAAAGTTTTTAATTTATCTAGTGGAGTATGCCTCCGGAGAGACCACGTTAAAAAAACGCGCCATATACTTTACCTCTTGGGTGGCGTGTAAGCAAGTACACATTTTCAATAATTAAAATCAATGTTTCATAAATTAATGAGCGAATTAATGATACGCCACTGTTTTATGACAAAACTGAAGAAACTAAACTAAAACTAGTTTTAGTGAACCCTAATCGACATTTGATTTCGGAAAATCGACTATACATAATATATCATAATTTACGCAAAATTATAAAATTTCCAGGGATTTTGTGCCTAAACAGTTGACTTTAGCGAAAATTTTCATAAAACCTTTTTTATAGGAAATTTTATTCTCTTAATTTTTCTCTCCTCAAATTTTTGCGAAAAACGCATAGTTTTTGAGATATTCACAAAATACCAATGACTAAAGAATATAAGGACATGTAACGCCCCTAACGGGCTGCAGCAGAATTTGTGACCTTTTTTTTGTTTTGGTGGCAAACAATGAGTCATCATTTGATCACCAGCGACAATTTTAGCGATTTTTAATAGTTTGTGTGTAGTAAACTTTGTATAAACTTTATTACAATGGTGATTAGTTGTTCAGCTTTCAAGTGTAAAAGCAGCAGCGATAAGAAAGAGCCAGGAGTTACGTTTCATAGGTAAATAAACAGTCCACTCCAACTTTTTAGCGTTTTCTTATTGAATTCGATAATTATTCTTCAATTTCAATTAACATCTATATGTACTTGATATGTACTATACGTCGATACTAGTTTTGTACCTTTTGTTAACATTTTAATACGTTTTTTTCGTAATTAATTAGGATGATACACCATAGGCGTAGTCAAAACAATTATCAAAAAATATAAATATTGCTTCAAACAGCTAGGTTAAGAAAAATATGTGCCATGGCACTGTTTGGTGACAGCGTCACAATTTGCTCTCGGGTGTTATTTGTCCTTGGATTCTTTAGTCATTGCAAAATACCGATTTTGGGCGACATTTTGGCAAGATGGCGGCGCCGGCGGCAAGTCTGGAAATGTGCATTTTATGGATTTTAGTTAGGGACCCCAAAACCTATAAACCTACAAAGTTGCAAAACTTCCAGACTTTTTCCAAGCAAAAATCCCCAATGACTGAACTATTAATTTGAACAAGAAAGAGATCATGGCGAACCCTTTTTTTGACGTTGAACGTTAGAGAGACAAAAAAAGTGGTAAGAGGTGTTAAGTTTAGTAGCGATGGGAACTATTGAATGAATTAGACTATCGAATGGTTACTGAATGAATGATTTCAACTATCGAATGGTTTTATTCGAATAAAATCATTCATTCATTTGTACACTAAAGCATATGTGACAACCTTGCCGTGCGACTAAATGGTTATCGTTGAGCCACGACTATCGAATGCTTTTGATAAATGAAATTTAATATTCGTTTGATTTTTGTGTGCGTCAGTGCATTATTTGTTCTTCCAAATTTTTATAACTTCGCCTTATAAATACTGTGCTATTTTTGCGTTTATTAAAATATTTAAAATACTGAAATAGTAGTTTTTTTTTTATTGACGATTGTGTGCGTGTGCAGGTGTCAAAATTTTTCGGAAAATTTGTGTGATTTTTCGTAGCCCGATCTTTCAATTATTTTATTTTATATGGTATATGGTCTATTTTTTAATGGGAAATTTTGAGAAGTAGCAATTTTTAAGAGAGATGAAATGAACTTAGAATTAATTTTAAAAATACATATTTGTATTTTAGATGTTTTAATAATATGAATTAGTTGAACTTAATAATCATATTTAAGTAATGTGGTTAAGTAAATGGTTATCGAACTCAAACTATGGGGTGAGAAAATTAAATTGAAAGTTTTACATGTGCCAATTTAAAAAAACGTTAACGATGTTTGTATTTTGTTTATGCTAATTCTCTTACATGTAGTTTTTTGCGAAGAAATTTTTCATTTATTTTTTAAAGTAAATGCCAGTAAAAGTAAATATTATTTTTAAATAGTAATATAAAGTACCTAATATAAATAATTTTTATTTCTATTTTTTTATTTATATTTTCCTTCCATTACACTGCATGCTTAGAAAATTAATAAATGTTTATATTTCATGATTTTAAAGTTTGTTGTTAATATAAGAAATTAGTTCTGTAATTATTATTATTTAATAAGCCACCGTTGCCAAAAAATTTAAAGACTATATTATTTTTAAATAGGATTTAATATAAATAATTTTGACATCTAATTTGTTGTTTATATTTTGCTACTACGTAAAAAAAATGTTTATTTTAAATTATTTTAAATTTTGTTGTTAATGTTAAGGTATAACAAATTATTACTATTATTATTATTTTTATTAAACCAGTCTTTGCTTAAAAACATTAAAAATAATTTTCCTATATCCAAAATAGCAAGTATTATTGCAGTGTAACAACAGAATATTAATAAAAAAAATGCAAAATATATAGACATACTATCCCTAACTAACTAAAGCCAAACAATAATATTCTTTGCTAATGTCAACTAATACCAATATATGGCAACAGCGCCCTTCATAATGTATTTTCTGTTTACATACTAGCACCCCAATAAAAAAAATAATGTGTCCTTATCTTTATATGACGCCGCAAAAATCAAAGATGCCGGCTTCTTTCATAGCATTGCCACCGACCGCTGTCGGGTTTCTCGGAAAGAAACCTACGTCGCCGGGCGACAACTAAAATCAAAATCCAGTTAATATTTTATTATAATCGATCCTGGCGAATAAATGAATTTCATAAATGAATGAATTTTATAAATGAATGGTTTTTGCTGCCGAATTATTAGAATGCAATATTTCAAAGCAGATGACGCATCTATTCGATAATTTTCATTCGAATAGTTTTCAACGAATGTTTTCTTACTAGCTATAGAATTATTCGAATGAATTGCAACTATCGAATGTTTCGATAGTATTCATTCGAGAGTTCCCACTACTAAAGTTTTGCGATTTTTATTATATTTTTTTTTAATTCTATACTAATTATAATTTAACCTTTTTTACAGCTAATGTGAAGCAACTTGCAGCTCAGCAACAACAAAAGCTGAATGCCTTAAATAATTCAGCAATGAGGTTACCGAGAAAAACGACCATAAACAATGTGGCTGGTGGTACTAGGGTAAGTATTGGCAGTACCTAACAGGGTGTAAATGATTTTTAATAATTTTTCATATATTTTTTTCCAAATCGGCGTTTCTTTATAAAGTTATTTTCTTATACAATGTGAACCAATCACCGTTTCTACGATAAAAAAACGATCTTGTGTCTTTTCTATACCTAGATCATATATACTTACATGGATAAATCAACGCTATAAGTATAGCATTAAAAAATATGTCTCCAACATCACGACATGCAATTTTCAAACCTTTTTTATTGCACTTATGAAACGTTCAATAGGTTTGTCTTTCTTGAGGACCTTACTTTGCGATCTACTTTGCGATCTTACTTGCATCTAATCTTTGTCAAAGATTAGATGTCAAAGAATTTAGATACGTTAATTTGACTTACCTGCTTCAGTAGCGTATCGGATGTTTGTGTTAATAAATACTTATTATAACTTATCTATTTTTATTAGAATTATATATTTTTATAACAATTTTAATAACTACCAACATTTATTCACAACGTAAAATAAAACAACAAATTACTGAGTCTACCCCACGTCTACCCTACATCATAGTTTTACATTTTTTAAATAAAATTAGAACGACACTGATAAACCGGAATTTAAGTCGGCCATATTTGAGGCCCATCGCGGTGTACCTAAGATTTTTGATATGCTCCTTCCTTAGTCTTCTTATTCAAAGATAAGTACAAATTATACATTGTTATGGAAACCAACTTTTCATTGTCATTATATTGTCATAATTATATGTCATAATCTTATTTCCATTGTGTAACGTCGTTTGTTTTTTGCGTTTTTTATTTTAAAAATTGTATTAATTACTCTTTTATCGACCGCTTTTATATAGCCAAGGATGCAAGTGTCTTCAGTGAGAAGTTAACTTTAAGTTAGTGCACAAGTATATTTCTATTTTTTTTTCGACTTTCTAAATACTCGTAAAAATGACTAGAAAGTGTTTGGTGTGTGGAAGTTCTAATATAAAGGTCCCCGAATTATCTTTTCATAGGCAAGTAAAGTATTCAGTTGTTCATTTATTTATATTAAACCACATGCATACTTTCTGGTTAGATTTTCTAAGAATATTGATATTCGTACGGAGTCGCTAAATGTATTTTTTATATAATTTAATTTTTGTGACAGTAAACATGCAATTTATTGTTCAAATATATGCATTTTCCAAATTAAATTTTTAAAATTAATGTACAAATTTGGCGCGTAGACGCTAGGTCCTCGATAAAGATAGACAGAGTAGAAGCACCGCGTGTGCAACAAAAAAAGAAGATAAATGGAAGTCGTTGATATGTTTGCGACAGTTTCCATACTGATTTACTTATCCACGTAAGTATATATGATCTAGGTTTGTATAGTATTAAATCATTTTATCATATCATATACAGGGTGACCTATTATTGCGAGGAAGTCCAATATCGTCTATATGAAAAAAGTTCTACATAAATATTTACAAAGGTACATATCCCAAAATATTTTATTGTATACAGGGTGTCCCCAAAAAAATAACGATAAAGTTTTTTTTTAATTAACAACCTCCATTTTCTTGTTCAGCATAAAATTCTGCATATAAAAATTATCTAAAATAAATCTCAAATAAAAAGAGTGCGAGACTATTTTTATTTGACGCTCTATGCGGGGTTGCCGCTATTTCATATTTACTAAAACTTAAAAAATATTTTTGGATGTGCATCTTTATAAGCTATGTAACATTTATATCGAGAGCGTCTCGAAAGTGTATAACTTTTTTATTTTTTCACATAAAAAAACGAGACTTGGTATGTTATATAAATTAGGATTGATTGACGTATTCAATTGTTTTTGGTGACTTTCTGTTTCACCGGAAACGAGTACAATTTTTGATTTTTAAATGGCACCCCCGGTATACTTTTACTTTATTCAATAGAAAATGACATTCTAAATAGAATTACATATCATATGTCAACTTTTGACATTTTGGCTTAAAAAATTATTTTTTTGTAAGTTTCAATCTAGAGTGCCATGGTTATGTTAAAAATAATAATTTTAATCAAGGAGCCTTGGAAAAATAGATTTCATCTTCTAATGTTTTTCGTGTCTTGTCCTGGCCAGTTAAAAGATGCCCAAATCATATTTTTAATCATATCTCAAGTTTTTCAAATGGAACAAGGATGGCTCATTAGCATATTTGAAAAAAAAACATTTTTTACGAATATTTTGGTACCACACACTTGGTATTTTGTAGTGTTGGGAAAAATCGGGTGATTTCAATCCTCGAGTATTGATCCTCGAGGATTCCAATAATCGGATGATCATCTGAGGAATCCTCGGTCATAAAATTTTCTCTATATAATGTCTTGATCGAAACTTGATTAATACTCGCCGCTGGGTGTGAGTGATTTTGCTTGCTGTTTTTTACACATTGTTGCTATGTACTTGAATGACTTGAATAATATTGTAATAAAAATAAATAATTATTTTAAACACTTTTTTAATAATTTTTAATATTGTCGTGTATAATTTCATGTGGGAAATAAAATGTTTATAGGTTTTGCTTTAAATTGTGCTGATTTTGTTTCTTCAAAGTCGAAGGACTTTGAGGCTAAACTGGCAACCTTTCAGCGCACTTTCATGTCAAATGAAACCAAGTAATTCTAGGAAATACGGGCGGCTTTTTTAAAAGGGCTCGTTATTTATTGTTTATTTGTCGGCGGTCGGTCATTGAGATAAAAAATATATTTTATTTTACTTTTTAATAGAGTATTTTCACCGTAAATAAGCTGTAGGACCTAATAAATTGTGGTTGTATTATTGTTAGTGTAGTAGTTATTGTGCATATTTTAAGTTTAAAAAAGTCCAATCAAATCAAATCAATATCCATATAAAGCAAAATCTCCAAAGTCTTAACCCAAATAAACAACTGTGGTTTTGTCAAATGGAATTTTGAAAGTCGAAAACTGACGTATTATGAATTTTCAAATGTTTCAATTCTGAATTCTTACACAGAAAAAAATTATATTATATCAATAGTTAAAAAACTATAAATCTTTAAATAAAAAGTATGGAGAAAAAATCTTTATAATTTAAAGGAATATTATAATTATAGAATATTATATTAATCTTCGCGAGCAGCGAGGACGGTACATTACACCCGATGTTAGTTGCGTAAGATGTTAGTATCGCAAGCAGCGAGGACTGTACGCCACACCCGATGTTAGTTGCGTGCCGAGTAATCCTCGAGGATTGACAAAAAGGTTTCAGCATAAATCGTAAATCACCTGTATCCTCGCGAGCAGCGAGGACGGTACACCACAACCGATGTTAGTTGCGTGCCGAGTAATCCTCGAGGATTGACAAAAAAGGTTTCAGCATAAATCGTAAATCACCTGTATCCTCGCGAGCAGCGAGGACGGTACACCACAACCGATGTTAGTTGCGTGCCGAGTAATCCTCGAGGATCGACAAAAAAGGTTTCAGCATAAATTGTAAATCGCCTGTATCTTCGCGAGCAGCGAGGACGGTACATCACACCCGATGTTAGTTGCGTAAGATGGTAGTATCGCAAGCAGCGAGGACTGTACGCCACACCCGATGTTAGTTGCGTGCCGAGTAATCCTCGAAGATCGACAAAAAAGGTTTCAGCATAAATCGTAAATCACCTGTATCCTCGCGAGCAGCGAGGACGGTACACCACAACCGATGTTAGTTGCGTGCCGAGTAATCCTCGAGGATCGACAAAAAAGGTTTCAGCATAAATTGTAAGTCGCCTGAACCTTCGCGAGCAGCGAGGACGGTACACCACAACCGATGTTAGTTGCGAAAGATGTTAGTATCGCAAGCAGCGAGGACTGTACGTTACACCCGATGTTAGTTGCGTGCCGAGTAATCCTCGAGGATCCACAAAAAAGGTTTCAGCATAAATCGTAAATCCTCTCTATCCTCGCGAGCAGCGAGGACGGTACACCACAACCGATGTTAGTTGCGTAAGATGTTAGTATCGCAAGCAGCGAGGGACTGTACGCCACACCCGATGTTAGTTGCGTGCCGAGTAATCCTCGAGGATCCACAAAAAAGGTTTCAGCATAAATCGTAAATCACCTGTATCCTCGCGAGCAGCGAGGACGGTACACCAGAAGCGATGTTTGTTGCGTGCCGAGTAATCTTCGAGGATCGACAAAAAAGGTTTCAGCATAAATCGTAAATCGCCTGTTTCTTCGCGAGCAGCGAGAACGGTACATCACACACGATGTTGAGTGCCGAGTAATCCTCGATGATCGACAAAAATACTCGAGACATACCGAGGATATGAATACTCGGGTGACCGTGTATTTTTCACTCGAGTGATCCCATCACTAGTATTTTGAGTCAAATTGTCGTTATGAACCATGTTACAATTTCTAATAAACCATATACGAAAATGTCAAAAGTTGACATACGATATGTCATTCTATTCAGAGTGTCATTTTCTATCGAATAAAGTGAAAAAATACCGGGGTTGTAATTTAAAAATCAAAAGTTGTTGTCAATCAATTCTAACATACCAAGTCTGTTTATCTGAAAAAATAAAAAAGTTATAAGGGCGAGCCACTTTTGAGACGCACCCGGTATAGAAGTTTTTTCCATATTTTTGTTAACAACGACGGTATTGGACTTCCTCGCACTAATGGGTCGCCCTGTATGTCGCACTTTATCTTCATACTTTATCACATATCATCGTATCAGACTTTTTTGCAGGCGCTGTATTTCTACGAATTTTTATTTCATTTAGGTGTTAAATCATGGCAACCTTAGTCAATCTGTACCGCAAACGGTAACCTTAACTTCCGTTAATAATAGTAGAGTGAATTTCCTGAGTGAAGTCCAACAGCCTCAGACGGTCACCTTGTCAGTTGAGAGCGGCGGCCATATTAACTGTGCACTTCCAATCAAACAAGTCGTGCAGAATGACGCATTAAATGCTGCGGGACCGTCACAATTAGGTAAGATTATAGACTTTAGAACTTCCCTAATAGTCTAAGTTCGGGCTGCAGGATTATTACTTGAGATGAAACGGATATCCGGCAAGTATCCGGTATCCGGCCTAAATTTTTATCCGGCCGGATACCGAATAGTTAGTCAATATCCGGCCGCATACCGGATATTCAAAAAGTAACATAAATAACAAAAAATAATGCACTTACAGTTTCAACTACTTTTTTGCAAACTTTTTTTTTTATTTAAAGCTGAAAATAACAAAAACTTCAAAAAAATTAAAAATATTCATTATTTACTTTAATGAAAAATACCAAAATGAAAACTTCACATAATGACATAAATAACTCATAATAAATGAAAAAATAAAAAAATACATAGATAATAAAATTTATGTTACTATCTTGTTCTTTTTCTTTTATTAAAGGGAATTTTAGAAAATCAATAGTGAAAATTAATAAGTGGCAAATTATGGTGAATAAAAATTAAATTTTCAGCGTTTGTCAGTAATAGGCGATTTCGCTTGTTCGTAAACCAAACCAGCTTCGGAAAACAACCTGTTACTAAAAACACTGCTGCAAGGAGCTGAAAGGTACATTTTCGCAAATTTCGTCAACCTGGGTTAGTGGTTTGCGTTATCCGACCACCAGCCCGGCTGTGATCAATTCGAACTGTTTTGAAGTACGCTTGCATTCGGGTTTTTCTCTTGATCTCGACATTGACTATTATTCTCATCTGCGATTTCACTGAAACAAACGCGATGGCCGGATACTGTACTATTAGAAAGAGAAAAAAATACTCTATAAGTAGGGAAAGCAAATACATTTTTGTCCATTAAAGAAAATTTGCTATTTTAACTGAATAATATCTGCTAACTCCCAGTGATCTAAAATAGTCACCGAAATGCTGCTATCTCTGCTGCTATAAGTGCAAAATATTTGCAATGCTGCTATAAGTGCAAAATATTTGCACTTATTTAAGACTCACCCTGTATAGAAATCAGGGAACTACCCTAATGCAAGGTAAATCAATGCAATGCAAATGCCAGAATGCATTGCAAAAGCAAATATTGTTAAGAATAAATAATGAACTATAAAGGGGGCCCGCCAAGGCTGGGGTCCCCCTAATAATTATATATACAGGGTGTCCCAGAAATGAGTGCAGATATTTTAAGGGGTGGTAGATCTGGCCAAAAGAAACATATTTTCTCTTTACCATTTTTAAAATAGATTGAAAATAACCGAGTTATTTAACTTTGAAAGTTTAAAAAAAAAATTGCGACATTTTGAGAGCCGCCGGGGAATCTCGCGGATCCCCCGGCGCGGGGGAGAGATCTCGCGGATCTCAGCTTGTTCGCCGCCCGCTGTTGCCACATCGACTAGAAAGACTTAAAAAGTACTTGCAAAATCCCACACCATCCAAGAGGTTCTGCAGAGGTGCGTTACTTTTTTTAAGTGGGTGATCGCCAGTAGCCCTACTTTTCACATTACACAAAATAAACTAAAAGAAAAAAAACTTACCAAACAATAAAAAAAGATATCCCTATAGCAGAGAGATACAACTGCAGAGCTTTCTTTTTTTCCATTTTACCACTCTTAAAACTGCACATAACACTACACTTAATAACATCACTTCACTACAATTCTTAACAACACTATGCAAATTTTCAACTGTGGAAATATTGGCTCCCCTATTAATTTTAGAGCTAAATCGTAAATGGTTTTTAAAGATACATTACAAATTTGCACAAGGGGATCCAATATCTCGACAGTTCAAAATTTGCATGGGATATCCTATATTTCCAACGATGATGCACCACCCGGTATACCCTTGCTTCTTGACTGCATGCTATTACAATAATTGTTCAACATGACGACCTCCATTTCCAATACATGCTCTCCTTCTTCTGAGCATGGAATTTTTAACGTTTTGTAGCAATTCTTCGTTGCTTTTCCCGAATCCTTCAAATGCTGAACCATACTTACAAAGGTTCGAGCATTAGGGATTTATCTATTCGGATACTCTTCGGAATAAGTCTCCGAGCTTCTACAGCGCTTTCCCCTGCCAGAAAGTACCTATGCTCTTAGCATATCCACCTTCTTCGGATTTGTATACTCCATCGCGATTTGCCTATACCGATACCGATTACCGACACAAAAATATGCACTAACGAACATTTCACAACACTTTAAACACAATCTCCGATCACTTTCTCGAATTTTAAAAGCTCGATAATATTAGAAATTAGATCGATTTCTAATAGTGTACATGCTTTGTGTACACTCGATTAATAATGTCGTTAGTCGTTAATATAATACAGGAATCTGTAATTTTCTCCCCACCGCCCATTTCATTGGAAAAAACGGCGGCAAGTTTTCTGCTTTTGAAATTACGATCGATGGCATTCTATTGTGTAAAAGTGGATGGTAAATGGCATCGATCGTAATTTCTCAGGCAATTTAACGTCTTAGCAGGTATACTCATTTTTTTATCAAAAAAGCTTTATAGAAAAAAGAATAACTGAATATGTTAGTAGCTTTATTACTAATTAAACTATTCAAAACATGTTTTGATATTACTAAAAAAAATTAACTAAAAAATATAGCAAATTTTATAGTTTGACGACGTTATAATTAACAATAGGCAAATGGAAAAAATTACCTAACTACATATTAGAGACATAATTCCATACCTAGAAATACCGTATGGTCGGAAAAAACGGCGTCCAGAATGGCTTGAAAATAACGGTCGGTGAAATTCTCCATAAAATTTTACACATAGATTGACAGCGATCTTTATTTCATAGCCATCGCTGACGCCGTTTTTTTTTTCACGACCATATTGTATTTCCCATTAATCGCATGGTGGCAATACTAATTTATATTTAAAGAGATATATCTAAATGTGTATATACTAGGTATTTTATGAGCAATCATATTTAAGCTATTATGACTCATATCATATTCTAATTATTTGAAACTTGAAACATAATATTTACTCCTATTATATTCATGTAACTAAATTTTCTAATATTAATAACTCTCTGATAATAAAAAACAAGAGTGTGTTTTGAAAAAGTAAAGCATAATTACTGTGTATTGACTTTATTGTGAAAAGCAACCTATTTGAAACACATTTACGTAACTACAGAATAGTTTAAAAAAGAACTTACACACATGTTTTTTTAGTCTATTTTCTTTATTATATTTGAAAACTACAGTCCCCCTTCCAATACATAAAAACATTTATATTCAAATATACTCTAGATAGAGCTCCAATTTTTATATGAAATGAGAATTTGTTCACACATAAACTACCGTATGATCGAGAAAAAACGGCGTCAACGATGGCTATGAAATGAAGGTCGCTGTCATTTTATATGTAAATTTATATAGGAAATGTCATTGATCGTCATTTCCCAGCCAACTGGACGCCGTTTTTTTTTCGATCATATGGTACATTTTATGTATTTTATTCTTTAATTTTAATTACTACAAATGGTCTTGATATTTTTCTTTTGAATACATATATTCTTGTTACTCTCTTTCATCTTTGTCTCTAATATACAGATGCATTGCAATTTGTTGTTAGTATATTTATGTAATCATTTCATAAATCCTAAAAATAAAAATGGTTATAACATGCTTTCCAGATATCCATATCCACAATATTCTGTGTGTAAATATGTTCAATTTTTAATAACCCATTCACTAAATGAGATTGTGAGACAACATACAGGTAGCTGTTTAAATAATTTTCAATCTTTGTATGTAATAATAGATTTCACATATTATATGCATTACACAATATGCATTACCTGCAATAATAAAAGATATTTTCTTTAAAGTGTATAATTCTATCTAACACACTTCTAATAAAGTATACTCTGACTCTTTGAACATTTGTTACAGCTTCTAATAATTAGGTATATCGATAACTTCCTAAGAAATTTTGTTAGCACTTTTAGTTAGTTTACCATTTTTCTCAATATATTCTGCAGAATATAATATGACTCGATACATTCACCTAGAATAAAATCAATAATATCATTTATGAATAGAAAACTACATGTATAACTTTTTCATTAATATTTGCAATTTCAGACCAGAACTTGTCTGAAGAGAACTTTCTTGGTTTGTTTAAAAATATCTTACCGTATAACATAAATTTACATCTGAATTAATCTAATCAGATCAAATTTTCTTCATAGTATAGAAAACATCGAAACTATTTGACTGGTAATCGAGCTATCAATAAGCTGACACTAAAATTTAATGAATAATTAAATGGGATAATTATTTTCATGTAAAACAAAACTTTATACTTAATAAGACCACAGGGAGTACATAATAACAGTGTTACTGAGATTTTTGATTTAATGTATTGCTTGGTATTTGTAGATCTATTATTGTATTGTGATTACAATTGCCTTCTTCTCCATTGATGCATCCTAATTTAAGATTACTGATTTTCTAATACATAATTAAAGTGAAATTATTTTTCCTACCATTACATATTAATTAAATCGAAGACCGATTTTATTTATACAGTTTTACAGGTTTATTTATTTGTTAGAATTTAGAATAAGAAAAAACACTTTAGTTTTGCTGGAATATTTGTTTGCAGTGCATCCCTAGTAAAAGGCCATCTAGCAATGAACTGAAAAATTAAGTGTAAGTGCTCGCTGCCGCATGCGCCGATGTTTGTTTATCACTTTGATATCAGGTGTCAGATTTTTGTCGGGGCTTCCCATATTTTTATATTTTAGATAACGTAGAATACTCTTTGATTTTACCTTAATTCTTTCTTGGGTATACCCTTTCTTGTACTTTTATTTTATTTTTGGGATATCCCTACTCCATACATTAAACATTTAGAAAATTGATTTATCTATCTTTAGACAACCACCAAAACGTTGACCCATAATAGTAATACATCAGTCCAGTAGAGGACGCTAAGTCAAAAAATTCCGAAATAAAAATTTGTAATTTGTAATTCCTTTAGTGTTTTCGAAATCGTTGTCGGGGTTGCGTCGGTTTTGAAGAAATGTCGAAGAAAACCCCGGACTGTCTACCATCAGCCGCCGGATATAAGTATTAGTAGTAGTTATTAAAGCAAGTTTTTTAACATTTTTTATTGTATTTATGAGTTTAGTGTTTGATTATTATCATGTGAAAAATTTTAAATAATATTTTAAAAGTGATAGGCATGTGATAGGTTTGTGATGTTCAGTTTAATAGATATTTGGTGTGTATGTGTTTGCGTATATGTGTGCTGGATAAAAACACTTTCATTAAAAGGGTAAGCTCTAACTAAACATTAAATGTTATAATTGTTTATTGAAACGATTGAAAATATTTCCTAATATGGCAAAAAAGAAGCTATAATTGTTAAGATTTATTTTTTCAGTTTACTCCACTGTAAAAAGTATTTAAAATATTGCGCGTTTCTCTAGAATTAGTAGAGCAATCTACACTAATATGAATAAATGAATTTTCGTATTTTTTCTGTAGCAACTTAAAATAATTGAATTTATAGATAAACATGCAGAATGTGGGTATGGTAGGAGGCGGCAACGTTGCATTCTCTCCGACACTCTCTATGCCCGGTAAACGAATTTCCCGGGGAGTGAACAGTGGCACTCAAAAGTTTTTCAACATTTTCCGGAAAATGTCAAGAAAAATATAAAATTTTCAACATTTTTTTTTCGCAAAAAAAACCTCATAGGCGTGTTTCTGGGGTTGAACTATACTACCAGTTAAAATATCTGCACTCATTTCTGGGACACCCTGTATAATATGGCCAGTCCGATCCTGCGTCGATCCGTTCTGTAAATACGGGGTATCCGTAAAGGGTAAGCGGAAAAACGAAATTCTCTATCATATGGAGCAGAACTTTGGGGATGCGCTAGTAAATCAAATATAGCCATAATACAAAGGAGCCAATCTAAAATTCTACGGATGATAACAGACGCATCATGGTATGTCTCCAATCACACTATACATGAAGATTTAAAAATTACGTACGTCAAAGAAGTCATCCAAACTCGTAGTAAAAAACATTTCATTGCACTACACGATCACACCAATACCTTACTTCAGCCTCTACTTGAACCAGTACTTACAAGAAGACTTAAAAGACAATGGCCATCTGATTTGAAAGAATATTAAGGAGGATTTTTCACTGGAGAAAACCTCATCACGTTAACTGGATCGTCATTGCTCTCAAGTCATCAAATTAGCCCATAGAATTTCCTTGCTAATATTCTGATTGCTAATAAATCATAATAAAAAAAAATTGCAACACAATATCTGATCAATAAATAAACTTCAGTACATATTTAGTATTAAAAACTCTGATACCCTTGGAGAAATGAAGCCTTAACATTTTTACTGCAATTTCATAAAATTGAAAATATTCCAAAAACGGTAAGGTTTAAGTATACAGGGTGTTCCATTTAAAAAAATACAACTATAATATTTTTTACTTATTCGGGACCCTCTGTATCTTGTAAAAATATTTTTAAATTGTACCTCTAATAGTCCTGCAACGAACCCAAAACTTACAATTTGTAAAAATCTAATCGTTTAGCTACAATACTTCGTGTCGAACAACCCTGCATATTTCTACATATTTTATATATTGCTTTATTTCAGCTCAATTAGTAAGTTCTGGCACTACGAAATACACGACAATTCCAGTGAAACAACAGGTACGTCATTCATCAGACCAAACGCGGTTTCAAAATGGATTTAAACGTTATTATTTTCGTCATTTAGGTAGTAAATCAGCGATTGTTGAGCGTATCATCGTCGAGCAACGGAGGAAACAATTCAACTTTGTCGGCGATGCTTCACGGTACTCCGGCCGCCGACGTACCTGGCATAGTAAGCCCCAATGCCAGTCCTCTTTTCTTGGAGAAATTGGGCGGCAACAGCGGCCAGAGTATATTCGCGCCGGCGACGCCTAAGATTCCTCAGCAGGCTCAGTTCGTCGTGCAGAGTCCTAAAGGAAATGCTGTAAGTTGAGGCAGGGTTGCCAGATGAAATTTTGTAAATTCCCTTCACATTGGGCCAGAAACAACTTAAAATGTGGAATAATTCAAAAAAATAAAATTGAGAAAACCCCTTTATTTTTTAATTAATAATAGTTAAGAAAACTCTAAAGAATCATCAAATAATAAAATAACTGACATAGGTTACCATGGTACGTGTATGTGCACTGAAAACGTCGAAACGTGGTTTATTTTATTCCGCGTATGTAAAGATTTTGTTTACAAAGTACAAAGTGATTCCAAATATTTTAGAAGTTTGTGGCAGGTTTACAACGGGTGATACAAGTACTGTTAAGTTTATTTTATTTATTTGTACTTAATTTTAAACAATATGTAACATTATGATCACGGTTTAATGTAAAAAACGCATCATTATAATATACTGATTGTTTTTCTTTTTTAAAAATATAGAAAAATAAGTGGGTTCTCCTCAAAGGGCCAGGTGTCTGGGTTATGTTTTTATTTCCTCAAATAATCTAGTTTTCAAAATTAAAGGGCCATGTGTTTGGGTTATGTTTTTATTTCCTCAAATAGTCTAGTTTTCAAAATTAAATAGAGTTACTGCGACTTTTTGCGACTTCGTAAGATATGAACAATTATGTACATCAATACTATACAAAACACTCTTTGTATTAGCTGTAACTGGGAATAATTTCCATTCCCGTTTTTTTGTATCTATACTATTTTGGAGTGAATTAAACTTAAGAAATCGATAGAACATCAAAAATAATGAAAAAAGTTCCTATAAACGTGTCCGGATCCGGAAATGCTTGCATATACTTTTCGAGATTCAGGGTGCCAAAATTTTATTTTTACTTCGTTTTCTTCGTCTAATTTGCTACATAATTTCGATATTTAGATGAAAATTGGTATCTAGGAGTTTTTTGACGTATAACATGCATCGATTATTTCAGATCCAAATAGAAATATTATACAAGGTCTTACAAAAAAGTCACGAAACTTTAAACGAATGAAAATATATGTAGGTGGTGTTCCCCTCAAGCAAGAGTAAAATTAGGATAAAATTTAAATTTCTTTTCCAAACCAAACCAAACCTCTAGATGCCAATTTTCATCTAAATATTGAAATTATATAGAAAATTAGGCGAAAAAAATAAAAATAAAAATACAACTTTGACACCCTGTATCTCGAAAACTATGCATTTCCGGACACGTGTTTTGAGAAACTTTTTTCATTATTTTTGATGTTCTATTTATTCCTTAAATTTGAATTGCCAAGTCTAAAACACCCTGTATATCGATTAATCTTTAAGTTTGATTTTCATGCATCCGTTGTCCGACGATACGTTGATACGATATTAATTTTATTGGTAGAATTTAAAGGCTTCGGTTGGTTAACCGTTTCTAACCAATCAAAGTCTTTAAATTCAATCAATAAAATTAATATCGTATCATCGTATCGTCAAAAACGCTGGAGAAAGTAGTTGACAACCATATTGGAGAAAATCATCTAAAGGTTAAACCACTGCATGATAGTCAGCATGCATATAGAACGGGCAGATCCACAGAAACTGCTCTGTACCAATTAACGGAGCTAATACAGACAAGTCTGGATAGCAAAGAAACAGCAATTTGTGCCTTCTTGGATATTGCGGGGGCGTTTGACAATATACCACATAAGGTGGTCAGGCGATCTCTAGAAACAAGAGGGGCGAACAGAACTATTATTCGCTGGTTTTGGGAAACTGCTGTCAACACGAACAGCAGAGGCTCAGATGGGCACCAAAACTGTAGCTGTTAAAACAACGCAAGGAACTCCACAAGGTGGAGTAACCTCCCCTTTGCTGTGGAGCTTGGTGGTGGATGAACTACTAGATGAATTAACTCTAGCGGGAATACACTGCATTGGGTATGCAGATGACATAGTCATGATCGCTCGGGGGAAACATGAAGGCACCTTGGAAGATTCCATCCGCAACCTGGAATGGAAATCTTGCAAGGGTCTAAGACACTCGAAGAAGTTTCTGAGGGCTTATGGTCAAGAAAAATCACAGATCTTCCTGGGTCTGAGTAAGAACAATCTTCGGATTGTCACGGGGTTTTTAACAGGACACTGTCTCCTCAATGAATACCTCAGTAGATTGAAACTAAGAAGAAATGGCGAATGCAGATTCTGTGGGGAAGATGGGGAAACACCAGTACACCTCATCACTGAGTGCGCCGAGACGACAACCATTCGTGCCATGAATTTTGGTACGACTGATATTGGAGATGGAGAACTACCCTCTATAAAACCGTCCCAGATACTGGCTTTTATCAAAGCCCTGGGACTGTATGATGAGTTATGATTCAAGAAAGGGGGACACAATGGATCTGTAAGGTCGAAGTGATTAACCCCCCTCCCACTCATTCTAAATTCTAAAAAAAAATCGTATCGTCGGATAACGGATGCATGAAAATCAAGCTTTAGTCTGCTCTATATAAAATGTTTAATTTAAGTGTTATTAATAAAAACTAACGATTTAAAAAACTATATTTATTCATTTAATACGTAATTTTAGCCTAAAAAGTTCATCAGGAATGATACAAAAGTTTTTCAATATTATTGGTTCATTAGGGCTCACTGTGCGGTGTGTTTGTTTTATTTCATAATAAATATTAACGTTTTTTTTTCTTATAGGTGATTTCGCCAATGTCTAGTCCGCCCCCTCAGACATCTGGCATTTTAAACTTGGCCCAGTTTCAGGTCAGTATTAGAAATTTCTGCTTAAAATAAATTTATTAATTACACTAGGAAACACGTTGAAAATAAAAATTCGCGTATTTGCTATACAGGGTGAGCTCTCTACGATGTTCTCTATGGGTATCTCGGAAACTACTGGAGATAGAGACTCGGTTAAATGGGGAAAGAATTGCAGTTTTGTGGGGTCATAAATATGCGCCTTTCAGATTTTTGAAAAAGTTCATGGCTTACTAGATATTTTGAAAAAAACAAATTTTGGCTATTTTAAAAATGGTCTATAATTCCATTATAATCTATTTTAGACAAAAAGTTTTCAGATAAAAGTTGTAGATAATCACATCCTTAATGAGACTGTGTTCTGCGTTTCTCTCTAAAGCCTGCCATTTTGGACACAAACTTATGTTTTTTTAAATGGAAACCATAGTTGGCTATGACTTTCTAAAAAGCGCCATTTTAAGCTTTTCAGCGATATAAACTATAATATGTTTTTTTCGAAAAATTACTGAGTTATAGCCAATTCTTATCTTTCTTGGCTAATTTCACTTAGTTGGCATGGTGCATGGTATTCTTATTGTTATTTATTTAATTATTATAATTTACTTATATAAAGACAGAATATTTTATTAAACAGTTTTTTACAATTTACATTACACAAACGTAAACTTAATCCATTATTATTAATTATCCCATTCTCTAAAAAGCGTATGTAACGTTTCCTCGAAAATATATGGCCAAGAAAAGTTGAACTAATAATACACACTTTTCTTCATTTGAAAAATTTGTATTTACAATTTTTGTAACACAACAACACAATCTCATTAAGGATGTGATTATCTACAACTTTTATCTGAAATTTTTTTGTCTAAAATACATTATAATGGAATTAGGGACCATTTTTAAAATTGCCAAAATTTGTTTTTATCGAAATATCGAGAAAGCCATGGACTTTTTCAAAAATCTGAAAGGCGCATATTTATGACCCCTCAAAACTGCAATTCTTTCCCTATTTAACCGACTCTCTATCTCCAGTAGTTTCCGAGATACACATAGAGAACATTGTAGAAAACTAAAAAAGGTTAGTCTCGGGTCGAGATTTCCGTATGTAAGAAGAGTACAATGCGTTTATTAATGTACTGAAAAAGAGAGAATATGTAAAAACGTCGCCAGACGTATGAAATAAACCGAGAAACTCTACACATTGCTAAGAGACGTGCAAGGGAATATAGCAGATTCGTCGCGGTCGACCCAATCAGTATTTAAAATTCTAGAGAAGTATGTACATCATGCGTTCAACTTCACGATTTAATTACGTCTTGTGATACTTTATTTGTTTATTTTTTAACGAGTCGTAATTTTCCCTATAACTTGTACATTTTTAAGTGCAAGTTAGAAACGCTTGCACTTTGGTAAAACTAAGTGGCATTGAGTTGGTGTTCGACAGTGGTCGCGCTATTAGATTGTTTATGAATTCAAAAATCGATATTTCGAAATACATTAAAAATAATTGATTGTAGTTTTTTTCAAAAACTTTCTTAATATTTCTGCTATATTTTTTCGCATGGGAGCTTTGTTTTTCGCATGTATGGGAGGGGGTTAAAAATTTTAAAAAATCGTAACTCCAAAATTACAGTACCTAGCCGAAACGCGGTTTTCAATTTAAGATTAAGAATAATATTTGCAACAAAATTTGTAATAACATCAAAATCAGTCAAAGTCGCAGTTTTTGAGATAAAAAAAAATAGAAAAATTCCTTTACTTTGAAACTAAAAGAACTGCCTACCAACTTTTTATTAACATATTTTAGTATGGGCGGCTATACGTGCCTCCCGGCGCCAATTTTTTGATATGCTCCATCCTTAATATTTTTGTTCAAAAGTTTGACACGTGGCGTGGTGTTAAAGGAGTTCATTTCAATTTCCAACAATATGTTAGATTTTAAATTTGTGTTCTTTTTGTAAATTGTGTCAAATTTGTTTTTGTAGTGTATTTGATGGATAAATAGACATTATGACTAATAAATGTTATATGTGAAGCTGTTTGCAATAGAAAAACAGTTTTATCGTTAAAAGAACTCCACAAGACGAAAAAATATTAATTAATTACTATATTGGTTAAATAATAAATATAAATTAGTTTAATTTTTATTAATCTATTTGTTGTGCTGCTCACTGTGTTAAAGTATTTAAAACTAATACATATTAACGTCAAAAATGGCTTTCAATATACATAACTAATTTTCTACATCTGGACATGTAGACAATTGGTGTAGAAAATTAATATTCTACGTGTAGAAAATTAATATTCTACGTGTAGAAAATACGGTAGAATATGTAAAATTTTCTACCTATCCCTGGACGTCACTGACGAAGTTAACATTTTTCTTTGCCATTTTCCTGTGCTCAATCAATATCTGAAGTAGCTCTTATGGTATCGCGTGTTATGTGTTAAAAATTAACGCGATTACTGACGTTTTCTCGTTATAAAAAAATGGACACCCTAATGATATCCTTATAATTCCATTTCAGATGCTCAGAAACATATCTAATGATTTTATCTAATTATATTTTCGAAAATAAAAGTCTTTTAAAAATAAGCGATTTGCGATCGTGATTTTACTTTACTTGATAGAGAAAGGCGTACCGCAGAAATATGGCAACGCCGCAACAGCACATCGGCGCATTTTTCTCACTCTGACTTAATAAGATCCCTATGGGATTTACTTCCACACATGTAAATACCGACCCAAAAGTAAGAGTTGCCAGCACGGTATTTTTTCTCTTGGATTTTTGCTTTTCTTTACAACTTGTCGAGGATTAGAAATCAAAGAATTTAGACACGTCGATTTAACTTACCTGCTTCAGTAGCGCATCGAATGTTTGTATTAATAAATAATTATTATAACTTATCTATTTTTATTAGAATTATATATCTTATAACAATTTTAATAACTACCTACCAACATTTATTGACATCGTAAAAATTAAACAACAAATTCTTGAATCTAACCTACATCATATTATACGTATTTAAATAAAATTAGAACGGCACTGATAAAACAGAATTTAAGTCGGCCATTTTTGGTCCCCATCGCGTTCAACCTATTTTAAAAAGGTTTTTTAAAATAGGTTTGGGAGTGATTCATCGGTCGCTACCATGTGAACTAATCTGTTCAAGGTCACATAAAACTTAATTCCAGTGCAGTGGTGTTTCAAGTCATATAATCAATATATAATCTGTTGTAATTTGTTGTTTTAACTGTCAAAGTCTTGTCAAAACATATTTGGTTAGAAATATAAAATGGAATGCCCCATTGATCGCACTGCAAGCACACCAATGGACTGACTGCACAAAAACGAAACAATCAAAGAAACGCGATATAGTATCGTCTTTGTCAATCACGCTAACATTTTAGAATAAGTAGGAGGAGCGCAGGCAGATGATTAAACCGGGCCTTTAAAACCTACGTCTGCGGTAAAAATTTACCTTTTTAATGTAAAAATGGTAGCGCGCGTAATAAATGTTATATGTGAAGCTGTTTGCAATAGAAAAACAGTCTTATCGTTAAAAGAACTCATCAACACGAAAAAATATTAATTAATTACTATATTGGTTAAATAATAGATATCAATTAGTTTAATTTTTATTAATCTATTTGTTGTGCTACTCACTGTGTTAAAGTATTTAAAACTAATATAAACGTCAAAAATGGCTTTCAATATACATAACTAATTTTCTACATCTGGACATGTAGACAATTGGTGTAGAAAATTAATATTCTACGTGTAGAAAATACGGTAGAATATGTAAAATTTTCTACCTATACAACCCTGGACGTCACTGACGAAGTTAACATTTTTCTTTGCCATTTTCCTGTGCTCCCCCAGGCGTAAAATAAAATAAAAAAAAAGAGTCAACCTGTACCGTGGCGGATTTTTACTTAAATGCAACTTTCAGGTTATCGTCTCTGGATCTGTGCCCGGCGGTGGGGGCGCGCCCACCGGTCTTTTGGTGTCTCTTCCCCCCGGCGTTGCCACGCAGACGCAGTCCTTGGCGACGCAGGGCTCCCAACAAGTCGTTCAGGGCGATGCATTGAGTACGGCGGGACCTTCGCAACTAGGTAAGCATAAGTATATACCTTATTGAGGGAAAATAAAAAACTATAAGAGGTCTTCATGGGTTAACTGAAAAACTTTACGAGACTTGAGAAAAGATACGAAGGGGGTCTAAAAATGCACTATTTTCAAATTTACTTTGTATTTGTATCAGAAACAGGGGACTAGGATAAATATAGTTCATATCAAATAAACTTTTAGTCACGTGAATTAAGCTTGCACAGCACAGTGTTGCCCACTTTTACATATTTTCTTTTAATCGAAATATTTTAGGAAACAAAAATAAATTAATTATAAATATACAGTTTAAAGAATGCATCCATTTTTCTCAACGAGACCTGGTTCAAATTAAAAAAGTAGAAAAAAGACTCAAAGTCTCGGTCTCAACGTTTATACAATGTTAAACTATTACACGTGTTTCGCTCATATATGTGTAACAGTTTAACATTGCATAAACGTTGAGACCGAGACTTTGAGTCTTTTTTCTACTTTTTTAATAAATATACAGGGTGGCGCACCTCATTCGCCTCGGTTGATTATACGAAAACGGAAAGATGTAGAAACAAAATATTTTATGGGTATATGTGAGAAGACAATCTGCATAATTTAAAATTATTTTCAAATGTACAGGGGGTGTCAGAACTAAAATCCATACCAAAGTTATGTTTTTTCTTATGGAACACCCGGTATTTTATTTCATTTTTGGATTCTTGGTCATAAAATAAGGCATTTATTATAAGGGTTTAATATGTTTAAAAGCTTTGGTTTTTGAGATATTTAAATATACATGCTATAATAAAAAAAATCTTCTCACCTTGTACATTACTTTTCAGAATTAATCCTTGTGCTGACTATCAAGCCAGAGAAATAAACTTTACTAAAAAACTTGATTGCTTCCTTAAATGTATACAGGGGTATCAAAAATTGCTATTTTAAGTCTATTTTAATTATTTATTTTGCTTAAAAATTTCGTTATTTCAAATGCAACACTATGTATTTTTTTAAATATGTATGTCGAAGCAGATTTAAATGCTCTTTCAAACTATATTAGGGTTTTGTATACCTATCTTGCTCAGATTTTGAATAAAAAGCGATTTTTCAATAAAATTGTAACCAAGAAGGCTGGTGTCGCCATGGCCATTTGCTAGTGACAGTTAGGGGCTATTTTCAAAATCGACATTACTTTATGTACTTTATTTAAATTTATAACAGGTTATTTTCATTTAATTTACCTACAATAAAGTTAATAAGTAAGTATTTTTTATTTTATTAATAAAAATTGTAGCGTTTTTTATAAAACATTACCACTGCGAACGGCAGCTTTTCATCGGAGAGCAGTCGTGGATAAGGTATTTCACTAGAGAGAAAACCAATCAATAACAATAAACAAAAAAATACAGATATTGGGCGCCAGGCATGTACAGAGAAAGAAAACACAGTTGTATATTACTTAAAACTAATGACTATATTTCATGATGTTCTTTGCTGGTACATGACATTGTAGAATTCTAATAAATATATAGTGGTTATATGTCAAAAAAAATGGTGTAACAAGACGTAATGTAATGAAACCTAAGATCTAAATCATATTTTAAATATTAAATCAACATGAATGTTCTTAACAATCTAACCACTAAACATAGTCTGTACGATATTACTTAAGATGTACGTTATTGTTTAAGACTGAAAATGTTTTAAATGTTAAATGTAAAACTAGAACTTAAATCTACACTTAGCTGTTTTTTATGTAATCTTCAAACAGTAGCAGCGTGAGGTAGTCTCGCATCTCTGTACTCGGCCATCCAATACAACAAAAGGGGCCAGAATGAGGTCACCATGAATTGATACAGCCGTAACTACTAACTAGCTTATAGATGGGAACGAAGCAGCATGGGGCTCAAGCTACATCCACGCTGGGGCACTTTATATGTAAGAAAAATCATTCCTATTGGGGACACTTGTCCACAGGACATGTGTACATAGGATAATGGTACAAGGGAACACTACCCGTACCTTGGACCATAACCTAGGACTATAACCTTGGAAATAGTCCGTACCTTGGACAATACTATATATGGGATACCTGCCCATACCTTGGACACAGTCCGTCCATAAGACCCTCGAAATACTTCCGAGGGCTCAATAATAAACAAAAGAACTGTCCTTTCTTCCATTTAACATTCTGGAGGGCAACAGCAAAAGTACACCAATGTGTCAGCAAAATACAAATACGAGTTAAGGTGGGCCAATCCAAAACTCTACCCTGTAGCTTCGAAATGGCAGCTGATTCAGATTTTGCAGCAAGATTTAAATTATTACCATTTCTAAAACAGCCTCTGGTGGGACCGAAACTTATCTGCAACAACTAAAAAGAGACTTGGAAGAACATTGGTGGAGTCAGTTCTTTGCTATGGTTCAGAGCTGTGGACTCTGAGTGCAGACGCGAAGCGCAAAATCCAAGTTGTTGAAATGGACTACCTTAGAAGAAGTGCAGGTATATCTAGGATGGAAAAAAGACAAACATCGAGGTCAGGCGTATCATGAATGCATCGGAGGAGACAGTACTGGATCGAATCGAAAAATCCAGCTTAAAATGGTTTGGACATGTTCTGCGTATGCCAGGTATAACTCTTTTATAACAGGTGGCCAAAAAGAGTTTTTCAATGGGCTCCCCAGGGCAGAAGAAAGAGAGGTAGACCTAGAAAATCCTGGAACGGAACGGTTACATAAGCAATGGAAGCTCGTAACCTAGAAGCTGATGACGCTCTAAATCGAGATGTGTGGCGTAGGGTAACGGGAAGGCAGCAATAGGCTGTAGTTGGAAATGAGTATTAAATACTTAAACCAAATCCCGTTTATATATATATACCATTTCTAAAAGCCGGGTGAACAAAAGTGAGGTTAAAACGCAGAGAGGCGCCTTGAAAGGATCTTGACAGCGCGCGCATTCACAGAACAGTGAAACGATAACAGGGTTGGCGACTAGGGAACGTAAAAATTACGCCAAGCGTGCCAAATAAATTATCAGGCCTGAACGATACGGAATCCGATGACGATACGCCAGACATCATATAAATCATATATAAAAAATACATGTAACGAACTAAAAACGTTACAAAATGAAGCAATATCTGCTGGCGGAAGGAATGGATATGTTACTAGCGATTTTATTTTGTGAGGACAATTGCTTGTTAGCCTGAAGGGTTTATGCTCAAAGATATCCAAATAGGAATTTTCTTGACAAGGGTTCCTTTGAAAAACTACTTTTCCTATATGGCAGAGTTGATAGTGTGATATATGAAAAATATTAGGCAGAAACCTGTCGTTGGAAGTGAAGAAAATGAATTTGCCTTAATTGGTTCTTTTATAGAAAATCCAATATATCTACAAGTTATCGTAATATAAATCAAAAAGAACTACTTCTTTATTTATCCTGATAAAATAATGTAACGTTTTTAGTTCGTTACATGTCTTTTTTATATATGATATACGATGTCTGGCGTATCGTCACCCGATTCCGTATCGTTCAGGCCGGATAATTTGTTTGAGGCGCTTGGCGTAGTTCTAACGTTCTCAAGTCGACAATCCTGTGCTGCTCTGTGGGCATTTATTTTCAAGGTTTCGCTCTCCGCGCTTAACTTCACTTTTTGTCTGGCCTCTGTCCAGACGCTCACCTTCAGAGCCTTGCTTAGAGAAATTGCAATTAATTAAATCTTGCTGTATAATTTGAATCAGCTGCTATTTCGAAGCTACAAGGTAGAGTTTTGGATTGGCCCACCTTAACTCGTATTTGTATTTTGCTGACACGTTGGTGTACTTTTGCTGTTGTCCTCCAGAATGTTAAATGGAAGAAAGGACAGTTCTTTTGTTTATTATTGAGCCCTCGGAAGTGTTTCGAGGTAAGTTTATTTTGTTTATTAGACCTTGTTTGGTTTTAAACAAGAGTTTCGTGTTTTTAGGGCCTAAGGTATGGGCAGGTGTCCCATATATATGTATTGATTCCAAGGTTATGGTCCAAGTTACGGACATTGTCCAAGGTACGGACAGTATCCAAGGTACGGGCATTATCCAAGGTCCTAGTCGTGTTCCAAGGTACGGGTAGTGTCCCCATATTGCCAGAGTATGGATGTAGCTTAAGCCCCATGTTGCTTCGTTCCCATTTCTAAGCCTAGTCAATAGTTACGGCTGTATTGATTCATGGTGTCCTCATTCTGGCCTCTTTTGTTGTATTGGCCAACAGGATAGCCCAGAGACAGTGCAGAAATATGAGCCCACCTCACGCTGCTACTCTTTGAAACAGGATTGCCTCAAGAACAGCTAAGTGTAGATTTAGGTTCTGGTTTTCAGTCGATTTTCAGTCTTAACATAATAACGTACATCTTTAATAATATCGTACAGACTATGTTTATTGGTTAGATCGTTAAGAACATTCATGTCGATTTAGTAGTTACAATATGATTTAGATCTTAGGTTTCATTACATTACGTCTTGTAATAGTATTACTTTCTATAGATATTATTATTGCGCTACTTTAACAGATGAATAACCAAACATAGATTCTAGAATCTACGGGTTGCAACATCTCAGATTTAACATCGCATAAAATTTAACAAATTAAATAAAGTAGTGCCTACCTTCCATATATTTTCTATAACTTTACACGCATTGTATTTGTCCATAGTCTTTTCGTAGAACTTATTTAATATTATTTACATACATAGCTTTTTTTTACTCGACATATAACCACTATAATAATTATTAAAATTGTACAATGCTATTTACCATCAGAATACATCATGAATGAATATAGTCACTAGTTTTAAGTAATAAACAACTGTGTTTTTTTTTTCTGTTCATGCCTGGCGCCCAATATTTGTATTTTCGATTTATTATTGTTAGTTAGTTTCTTTCCAGTGAAATGCCTTATCCACGACTGCTCTACCAACGAAAAGCTGTCGTTCGCAGTGGTAATGTTTTATAAAAAACGCTACAATAATAAATACTTACTTCTTAAACTACTGTAGGTAAATTAAAGTAAACTGTTATAAATTTGAATAAAATCTATAAACTAATGTCGATTTTGAAAATAGCTACTGTCACTAGCAAATCGCCATGGCGACACCAGCCATCTTGATTTCCATTTTATTGAAAAATCGCTTTTTATTGAAAATGAGCAAGATAGATATAGGAAACCACTCGGGAAACCCTAATATAGTTTGAAAGAGCATTTAAATCTGCTTCGACTTATTTTAAAAAATTAATGAAATAACCAAGTTTTTATGTAAAATAAATATTTAAAAAAGACCAGCAATTTTTGATACCTCTGTATACGTTTAAGGAAGCAATAATTTTTTTAGTAAAGTTTATTCCCTGGCTTCAAAGTCAGCACAAGAATTAATTTTGAAAAGTATAACGTACAAGGTCTGACAAACTTTTTTATTATAGCATGCACTTTTAAATATCTCTAAATAACTCAAAAACCAAAGCATTTAAACATATTAAATCCTTATAATAAATGCCTTAATTTATGCCCAAGAATCCAAAAATGAAATAAAATACCGGGTGCTCCATAAGTAAAAATATAACTTTGGTATGGATCTAAGTTCTGACACACCCTATACATTTGGAAATAATTTTAATTGATGCACATTGTCTCTCTACATATACCCATAAAAAAATTTGTTTCTACATCTTTCCGTTTTCGTATAATCAACCGAGGCGAATGAGGTACACCACCCTGTATAAACAGTTATTAATCGAGGGGTAAACCGCGACCCAAAATTGTGTACTCTACACTGGACATTGGCTCTTAATTGGCACATTTGTCTTTCAGAATTTTCACCATTTCCCCCAAAAAATTGTCATAATTGGTCTTAAATGGTCTTTTGAATTGGTATCTACTATTTTCCCATTTCCCTCAAGAATTGTCGTAATTGGCCCTCTATTGGTCATTTGAATTAGCACCATTTCCCCATTTCCCCCAAATAATTGTCATAATTCAGATACTCTGTAGTATGTATGTCCTCCCCCACTCATATCTATGGGCAATTCGTGCAGTCTAGCACATTCTCTCCCCATCTCATATCTCTGGGTAAATGTCAACGAATTGTCAAAAAAGATTGGTTCAAAAATAATTTTGTATAGAATATTATTATTATTACTATTAGGTATTATAGATCAATACGAGAGTCCTGATATTTTCATTTCTGTCCTGCATCTTCTAACATATGTACTACAAGTTAAATTTTGAACACTTATTGGCAAACCCTTTGCATAAGCTTGGGCATAAGTCACCTATTATTTTATACCGTAGGTATCGATATTAAATTTTGAACTTAATAATACCTACAAGAGTTCTTACCGTATTACTATGTAGCTTAATAATGTCTAATACACGTCTTACACATCATAACATCCTATTTTGTACCGAGAGAAAAGTAAAACCAAAACAAAACGGATAGAAGAAAACAGTGAAAATACGTGCTGCGTCGTACGAATTATATTTATTCGTTTACAATACGCCGGTGCTGGTCGCGGTTGCCAGATTTTTTCCAACCTTTGACATCAAAATCCTCTCTCTCGACGTGAATTGCCAAAGCGTCAAATTCTTTTTAAGCTTACAGCTATTTTACAGGAGCGAAAATTATGGCAAACATAATAACAAAAGTATTCCATAATTAATTTGAATATTTTGTTAATAAAATATGATTTTTTGAGGTTTTTGAGGTAGGTCCTTTGCTGGCGCTTTCAAAATATTCTCCAGGATTTTTGTAATTCAAATATAAAACGCAACTAAGGCTCAGTAAAACAACCTCAAAACATTTTAACGACCAGATTTTTGAAATAATTACATAATGATTTTCGCCATAATTTTTGCTCGTGTCAAACGGATTTTACCAGTTTAAGGTATTTAACGGAAACCATTATTTTGTATTTACGCCACTGTAAATAACTTCAATAAATAATTATTTTTCTTGTGCTAACGTCAACTAATCATTAAAAATATCCTAAATGGCGTTTAAGGGTCCAATCTGGCAACCCTGTCGTCGATTAAAGGCTAATTTTACATTAGCCTTTAATTGGTTCATAATTGGTTCCTAATTTTCCCTTAATTGGCTTCATTGGCTTTGCAAAATTTGTCAATTTCCCCTTAATTGGTTTCATTGGCTCTGCAAAATTGGTCAATGTCCCCCATTTGTTAGCATTGTAACTTAATCGGTACCATTAGTCCACACAATTGGTCCGCATTGGTTTGTGGTTGTACACCGCATTGGTCTCGCGGTTTAACACTCGTTATTAATTACATCAACACAATCCACCTCCTAGCAGCACTTAACGGACGGAAAGGGTCATTACTACCGCTTTCCCGTTCAAAAGATTCATGAACTACTACTCATAAACGAGAAATCCCATTCCTAATATACTGCTTTATTTCAGCTCATTTAGTTAGTTCTGGCAATACGAAAAATATATCGCAACAAAGTTTGCGAGCCAACTCAGGATCTCAAACGATACAGCTAGCCCAGGGAAATACGCAGTTCCAGTTATTCTCTCCGTTACAGGTAATTTCTTTCGTTTTTACCAATCTTTGAAAGCATTTTAACGATTTTCTTTTACATTTCAGAGGTCAAACAATTGTCAAACGAACCTTCCAAACCAAGCGAACATCACGTCAAGAGCGCTGCAACGAACGCCAGTCACGATCAAAATATCGCCGAATACAAGTCAGTTAACTGACATGCATTTTAATCTTGATAAGTGACCAATAATTTTTTTAAAGTTTGCTAAGACCGATTCAGAACCAAATAATTTGACATAGTTTTTTGTTATTTCACTATTCAACATTTTACTATTTTTTTAACTAAGAAAAAAAAACGAAGATCCGAAGAATTTAACGAAGATAAAATAGCACGTTTTTGACAATTATTGACTTTTTCTAATAATATGGAAGCTATAGTTTTTAATATTCAATTTAATTGATTGTTATAGTCTGTGATAGAAATAGATACAACTGACGAAGTAAAGTGTTTTATGAAGGCTTTTTTGATGTACAGATCCGAGAAACTTGGAAGCTATGCAGCAATATCAATTTTATATGAACCGGTCGAATAGCGTTGGAAACAAGCCGAGGAGATCAAGCGAAGAACAGTCTTGAGGTTAGTAGGCATATTATCCGAGGTAGTTTAAATCTCTACCTTTTAATATACAAGGTGGTGACAATTTCGATGCGCAACATTGACATCTCAGAAATTACGAGAGATACGAATTCGGATAAATGGAACAAAAGTTGCGTAATTAGAAATTTGACAAACTCCTATGAAGAAAACCCCGGTATCTTGATTAGTTTCGGATTTATGTAAAAAAATTAAAATAATACGTTTATTTTAAATGACAATAGGTCTGTTCCAACCCGCCGCAGAACCGTCACCAAAGGATCACGCTCGTGCGCAGTAATTCAAATGTGTTCCAACCGAGATTTGACGGTTATCGGACGATCCTATTTGCGTACCAACCTACCTTAGGATCGTTTAGTTACGATTTGAGAACGGTAATTTCGGCACATGGTCCAAATTGAGAACAGTTTGGGATGGCTTGCGCATTAAAGCATATTAGCAGGGATTATCGATTTTTAACAACTGATTCTGGTCCGGCGTCCGGCCTTTTCAGAAAATTCCTCGGCCTTCTAGATTTCGCACAACAACAGTCAAGTTTTTATTTAAAAAAATAAGATTTAGTAGTGAATTTCTGTTGCATTGACCGCCAGAAATTATTTCCTTTTCAGGGTAATTTTAAGACATGGCAGTTCAAGAAATTCAAATTACTCTAGCTTTCCAGATTTGACACTTAATAGAGTAAACAAAAATTAACTTGCTGTTATATAAAGTGTCAATTGGATTTCTAAGGCAGACTTGATTTTAAGCGAATTTTTAAAAAATCTGTTCTTTTAGTGAATTTACATAATAATGAATAAAAATTAGATAGCGTCGTATACACTTTTTTCGCTCTATCTAATAGTATAAAAATTCAAAATGGCGGCCATGAGAAAATAAAAACTTGACTGTTGTGCGAAATCTAGAAGGCTTCTGAAAATGGCATTTAATTGGCCGAGGTCAAAAATATAAAACTACCAACTTACGTTGCAATAGATACAATAGTTCTGAAGATATTGTCATTTAAAATAAACATATTATTTTCATTTTTTTGACATAAATCCGAAACTAATCAAGATACCGGGGTTTTCTTCATAGGTATTTATCAAACTTCTAGTTACGCAAGTTTTGTCCCATTTAACCGAATTCGTATCTCTCGTAGTTTCTGAGACGCCAATGTTGAGCATCGAAATTGTCACCACCCTATGTACTGTGTGACATAGAAATTGCAATACCCAGTAAATGTAAAATATATTTGCTCGCAATATTGTAAATTTCAATTCAAATTCTTATAAATTCGTTCCCGAGAAAGGGTGAAAAATATAAATAAAAAGTTTTTTTCCAAATTTCAGAGAAACGATAACGACTTTGAAAAAAATGTTCAATAAAAGCTGTTCCCTAGACTCTAGCAACCCTATCTCGGTTGATTTTGATTTGAACAAAAAAGTATATACTCTGATTTTTTTCTCAGGTAAGATTTCGACAGACGATGACAGAAAAAAAGCAGATGACTTCCATACCAATCCATTTATTTCACTAAAAAAAGTTTCTAATATTTTTTAAGTTAACTATGGATGGGTTTATAAATAAATATGTCATGCGTCGTCTCTTGTTGTTTTTAACCAGTTTTATTGGTTTATTTCAAAAATAACAGATCATATTTCAATATTATTAGTTTGACGGAACGATGAACGACAAACGGACGCCTCTGCGTATGAACTCGACTTAAGATTTTTAAGAATTGTCAAACTCTTGCCAAATTATAGGTTATAATTTTGTGTCAAATTATGTTAAATAGAAATGATAAATATTTTGCATTTTGCATTTTGGACTGTGTTGTTACTTATGTTTCGTGTTTTTTAAAATTAAGTGTTGACCCAGACCATAGTTTACAGTTAATATTCGGTGCACAGAGACCGCCAGAGACACAGTTTACCAGAATTGTATTAGCTACAAATGAAGTTGTATACCATCTCGTATATGATACCAAAAACTGGAGTATCTGTAAAATGACATCACACGATAGGTAAATAATACATTTTAGTACTGCAGAAAAAAAAATAAGATTAAAGTTAATTAACCAATATTAGATTTTTTCAGTTTTATACAGTTTTTTACACAATATTTTGAAGTAATCACTTGTCGCTCAAAATTTAAATGTATTATGCGTTCCAATTGTACCAACTTATTTCTTTGTAAAATAAAATAAATTACTTTGAAATTAAAATGACAGACACATCTATCACTGTCAAGGATTTTGTCGTTGGACAGACTATAGAGATGTTTCTTATGTAAAATTTGACGCTCTACAACTTTTATTTGAATGTTTTTTTCTAGTCGTTACTGTTTCTCCGGAATTCTGAAAAAATAACTTTTTTAATTATGTATTTTTTTAAATTCGCCCCCTAAAAATCTTTTACAATTCGTTTTTAGACGTTTCAAAGTAAATGATATCAAAAATTCATGTTTTTACCAAAACTTCGTATTTGAAGCCTATTTTCTTGGACTATACAGGGTGGTCCGAACTGTATTCCGGAAACTTCGGCAGCTTATTCTGCAGATAAAAATAAGTAAAAAAGTTCGTATAAATGTATGTCCTAAAATGCTTAGTTTCGGAGATACAGGGTGTAGAAGTATCATTTTTATTTCAATTTTTTCCAAATCATTTCTGAAGTAACGTCAATATTTGGATAAGAATTGATTCCTGGTAGTTTTTTGACATGAGAAATTTGATTTTGATGTCAATATGACTCACTCCTACTTGTAGAGGGCGCCACCTACATATTTTTTAACTGTTTTGATAAGTAATAACTTTTTGTCCGTACGTGTATAAAACTACTGAGTAATATACATTTACGACGTTTTTTTACGTAGAAAAGGTCTCTTGGTAAAAATCGCTACGAGTAATGGTTCTCCAGATATTTGGAATAGAAATTATCAGTGCCTATCGTCATTGACATAAATTAAACATGATGACTAACAAAATAAAAACACTAAATCACCACAATACACCAAAACACTTTTACTTTTACACTGGACGCGCGTTTCGCTAACCATGTTAGCATCATCAGCAGATGATTATAAACTAAAGTACAATCTACAGTTTGCATTGCCCAACTCTGGTAGCGCTTTGGAGGAAATCGTCGTTGGTGTTGAAACTGCTATTCAGCACTTGCCCGAGGCTTCTAAAGTATTTGCAAGAGAGGCTTGTAGAAATCAGTTATCAAAAAATATCGTTTCAAGTAAATCATTAAAATCTAACAAGGAGCACAATATTGTCACAGAGTTTGCGTAACAAAGATTGTTTTCTACCTAAAGCTGATAAAGGGAAATAAAGGTTGTATATTAGATAAAAAGACTATTACGATAAGGTTAACAACTTAATAGATAATAGCCCCTACATAAATTTGAAGAAGAATCCCTTGTCTAAGATGGTAGCAGACGTTAAAAAAACTCTAAAAGAATGTAACACCCTTATTGATCTTTCTTTAAAGAGGAAATTGCAAGTATCCAATCTGTCATTACCAAAATTGTATGCTTTGCCAAAAATTCATAAACCGGACAAGTCTAAGCGCCCAATTGTTTCGGCTGTAGGTTCTCCGACTTATAATTTGGCAAAATGGTTATCAAGTGAGTTTGAAAATTTACCTGATCATGAACCTTCTTTCTCAGTTAGAAATAATATTGAATTCATTAACAAAATTAAAGATATAACATTGCATGAAGGTGAAATTTTGGTCTCCTTTGATGTATCTTCGTTGTTCCCAAGTGCTCCAATTCCACATACTTTAGGCTATTTGAAGGAATTACTGAACGCAAATGGTCTCGACAACAAAACTGTGATTGAATATATTGAGCTTACATCGTTATGTATGAAACAAAACTGTTTTCAATTTAATAACAACTTTTTTGAACAGCGGGAAGGTACAGCAATGGGTAATCCATTGTCTCCATTTTTGGCTAATTTATTCATGAGCAGGTTTGAAGTGGAAGCTAAGAATCAGTTTAAGTATTTTCCAAGAGTATGGGTTAGGTATGTGGATGATATTTTTGTTGTTTTTGACACACATTGAGACACCATAGATAATTTTATTTCTAAGTTAAATAATCGTTTTCCTTCCATTAAATTTACGCATGAAATTGAGAACAACGACAGATTACCATTTCTAGATGTATTAGTTATTAGAAATACTAATAATTGCGTGGAATTTGATATCTATAGGAAAAATACCACACGCTGATATATTCCTAATGAATCACATCATAGTGTTGAACATAAAATGGCTAGTTTAAATTTCTTAGTTCATAGATTACTTAGTTTCCCACTTTCCAACGAAAGATATGAAATTAGAAATGTAGCTGAGTGTAATGGATATTCTCCTTCACTAGTTGATAAATTAATTAGAAAACGTAGGTATAGATTAATGATTTCTGAAAATTCGACTTTTCAAGTGGAGAAAGAAACGTCTAAATATTTTTCGATACCGTTTGATAGAGAGTTATCCCGTGGTCTAAAATGAATTTTTAAGAATGTCAATTATAAACTTGTGTATAGTGCTAATAATAAATTACAACAATTATTAGGTAATCCAAAGGATAAAACACCTCCACTGGAAAGGTCGGGTATTTATGAAATTTCTTGTAAAGATTGTAATCAGAAATATGTTGGGCAAACCAGAAGATCAATATTAACTAGATTTAAAGAACATTTAGCTCAGATAAGATATGGTAGACCGGATAAATCTTGCGTTGCCGAACATATTGTTGATAAAGAACATTTTATAGATCTTAATAATTTAAAATTAATTAAACAAGTCTCAAATTACAGGCAATTAGATGCATATGAAAGCATCAGATTAATAAATGTAAAGAATGGTATGAACAGAGACAACGGTCAATTCCTTCCAAGTTCTTTATTTCCTACTACTCTGGTGGCGGAAATCTAACTGTTACGCTCAGTTGGCTCTGACTCGGTTGGCTGGTTTTTGCCACGCCTCGGTGCCCACTGGGCGAGTATATAAACGCTCAACTTGTAGATTGTACTTTAGTTTATAATCATCTGCTGATGATGCTAACATGGTTAGCGAAACGCGCGTCCAGTGTAAAAGTAAAAGTGTTTTGGTGTATTGTGGTGATTTAGTGTTTTTATTTTGCTGTTTAACACCAAAGGTTCCAACCCTCAACTGTAATGATGACTAAGTAGATATTAGAGTGAAATTATTAATAGTTTTATGTGATTAATTTATAGAAAATAAAAGTTTCCAAATTTATAATTTCAGTCAAATAACTATCTACTGGATATATCGTCGGTGAAATGTGATAAACTGCTAACTCCATTATTCCTAATTTTACAGGAGAACAAAAAACGGTAAAGAACTGAAGTAGCAGCATTTTGGACTTAATGAATATGAAAATAATTTAAAAATTAATCTTATAATTCTTAGAAGATATTGTAGAATTCTTCCATGCTTATCCTAATTTTTATACAGCGGTATATTTACCGAGCTTGAAAAACAGTGCGTGATTTTATTAAATTTTTATTATTATTCTTCTTATTTTTTTTAATTTTTGTAAAAATTATGTGGAAAAACGTTGAAAAAAGTAAAACTGATTAGTTATTATGGAAATTCTTGTACAAGTAGGTAAGTAATGGTTATTTAAATTATTTATAGCATGCCGATGAATTGCTCGTATATAGAGAATTTCGTTTTTCCCCTTACCCTTTACGGATACCCCGTATTTACAGAACGGATCGACGCAGGGTCGGACTGGCCATATTATATATATAACTATTAGGGGGACCCCAGAGCGTTCGCGGGTCCCCTTTATTGTTCATTATTTATTCTTAACAATATTTGCTTTTGCATTGCATTATGGCATATGCATTGCATTGGTTTACCTTGCATAAGGGTAGTTCCCTGATTTCTATACAGGGTGAGTCTTAAATAAGTGCAAACATTTTCAGGGCTGGTAAATCTCGATAAAAGGAACATAATATTTTCTCTTTACCGTTTTTTCAAATAAATCCAAAACAACCGAGTTATTTCACTTTTAAAATTTCCATTTTTTGTTATAATTTTGAGAATCATTGTATTTTCTTTCTTGTAAATTTAATCTACTACCTATGTTACCATATTACAAACAAAGTATGTTTTTAAACTAAAAATTCCAAATTTTCAAAAAGAAAAAAATTTGCGCAAAAAAAACCATAATCGTGTTTCTTGGGTCGAAATATACTACCCCTAAAAATATTTACACTTATTTAAGACTCACCCTGTATATAATAGGGAAAAACTGACCAAAACGTGAGCCGAAAAATATGCCAAAAAATCCACACGGGCCCCTCCTTGCATTGCCACCCGGGTCCTTTTGGCCTAGTGTGACCCTGGATCGACGTACGTTTCTAAAGAAACATACGAGTAAGAATCCGTGTGTTTGCTTTAGCGTGATCGTAATGGAAATTACGGAGATAGCAGCATTCCGGTGGCTATTTCAGATCACTTAGTTAGGGAGTTAGCAGATATTATTGATTTAAAATAACAAATTTTCTTTAATGGGAAAAAATGTATTTGCTTTCCATACTTAGAGTATTTTTTTCTCTTTCTAATGGTATAAAAAAACTTACTCATGTAAAAAATGGAGTTAGAGTAAACGCCACGAATGTTTGGGAGTGATTCATCGCTTGATGAAGTTAGAATCGACACGCGCGCTATCATTTTTACATTAAAAACGTAAATTTTTACCGCAGACGTAGGTTTTTAAAGGCCCGGTCTAATCATCTGCCTGCGCTCCTCCTACTTATTCTAAAATGTTAGCGTGATTGACAAAGACGATACTATATCGCGTTTCTTTGATTGATTCATTTTTGTGCTTCAGTCCATTGGTGTGCTTGCAGTGCGACCAATGGGGCATTCCATTTTATATTTATAACCAAATATATGTTTTGACAAGACATTTTGACAGTTAAAACAACAAATTACAACAGATTATATATTGATTATTATATAATTTGAAAGACCACGGCACTGGAATTAAATTTTATGTGACCTTGAACAGATTAGTTCACATGGTAGCGACCGATGAATCACTCCCAAACATTCGTGGCGTTTACTATAACAGGTTATCACGTTTCACTGACGATATATTTATTATATACAATCTATGTTTATTTTTGTCAATAATGACACATATTGATTATTTCCATTTTAAATATCATGAGAACGGTTGCTTGTAGCGATTTTTACCAAGAGACATTTTTTACGTAAAAAATCACGGAAATGTATATTTTTTCACTCAGTAGTTTTATACAGGTACAGGCGAAATTTATTACTCTTACTACGCCCCCTACAAATAGGAGTCGTATTGACATCAAAATCAAATTTTTCATGTCAAAAAACTCACAGACACCAATTTGCATCTAAATATTGACGTTATTTCAGAAATTATTTGGAAAAAATCGAAATAAAAATGAAACTTCTACACCCTGTATCTCCGAAACTAAGTATTTTAGGACCTATATTTATACGAACTTTTTTACTTATTTTTGTCTGCAGAATATGTTGCCGATGTTTCCGGAATACAATTCGGACCACCCTGTATATGTATAACATGGATTTCTAAAAATTTACGAAAAAAATTTAAACCCCTAAAATTCACTTTGGGTCTTAAATATTATGTAACTAAAAAATAATAAGTATGTATTGTTTTAATTTTGTATTTTAATTTTGTTTATAGGTAGTTCAGTGCAGTGCTACGGAAAAGATAATGTTCCAAATATTTTCGTATTTTAATAACACAATGAAGGGCTACAATATTATCTGTTAGATTTCTAAGTTTTAAGCACTAGCTGTCTAAGAAATTTTTCCCAAACCCATTCTGTTTATATGAAGATTTATTTTTTTAAGCACCCATAGAGTGAGAAACACTGTTCACCTTCAACTTTTATATCGCCATTATTTATACTTTTATTATTACATACAAAAAAACATTATTTTATTTAAGGTTGCTAAAATGCATTGTGATAAACGTTTCTTTTTATTCGTAATTGTCAAAGAGTTGTACCATAGAATATTTGAAAATTTAAAATATACTTGAATTATGAAATGTCAAAAATGACAATGATCGATATCCGTCAATAAAATGATAACCTCAAATCAAATGACAATTGCTCGAGACAATGTGTAGTAATTTACGAAATGCCCTAAAGACGTCACCAATCTCTTTTATCTGGTTTGCTTGATGTATTACCACAATACCGCATGATCGAAAAAAAACGGCGTCCAGTTGGCTAGGAAATGACAATCGATGACATTTCCGATATAATTTACATATAGAACGACAGCGTCCTACATTTCATAGCCATCGCTGACGCCGTTTTCTCGACCATACAGTATAATATTTGTTTCTTTATAATATTTGCTATCTAGCCCAGTCAAATTAGAGAAATTGGAGGAAAAAAATCCCAGTTTTGAAAATGGTTTTATATGATTTCTCTGATAGACTTAGACTGATATGTGTCAAAAGTCCCCCAAGATAGGCGAAGAGCTCGGGGAGAGGTTAAATGTCACTTTAATGACTTTTTAGCTTATATCTCGGAAAATATGACACGAAAAAATACCATATACAGAAAATTGAAGCTCAGAAAATTCTCTACAAAATTGGTTGAATGCATTTTTTTCATAGGTCACGTCTAAAATTTATAAAATCACACCTTTCAGATTTTTGAAAAAGTTCATTGATTACTAGATATTTCGAAAAAAACAAAATTTGGCTATTTTAAAAATTGTCCCAAATTCCATTATAGTCTATTTGAGACAAAAAGTTTTCAGATAAAAGTTGTAGATAATCACATTCTCAATGAGATTGCGTCCTGCGTTTTTTTCTAAAGCCTGTAATTTTTGACATATGACACAAACATATGTTTTTTTAAATGGAAACCATAATTGGCCATGACATCATAAAAAGCGCCATTTTTTAAGTTTTTAGCGATTATAGTCAATTAGAAGAAAAATAAAAAGAAAAAATATCCAAATACTTCCACCTACTACTCAGCTAGAAAATAAACGAATATAATCTCTTATAAAAACACTATACAACTACTTCTTGTATTCAACACTGAACAAATGATCAAACTTACTAATTAATCAAACAAAAAGAAAAAATGACCAAATTATCCCTTCACCTACAACTTAACTATAAAAACACTACTAAACTATTTCTGGTATTCTACACTAAACATTATAATTCAACTTAATAAAATTAATATCATTTTACACTACAACCACTACAACTACAAAGAAATAAGAACATTTTTTAAAACTAGAAGAAACAGAACTTCCATACATGCGACCAGGATAATAGATCAAGCGGACAAAGAATATAAAATACTTTAAAATGTGCATTCGAAAAAAAAATATCTCGAAAATTATCTATACAAGCATTTTTTATTTCTTATCAGTGAGAAACATCGGCCTCGTCGGCCTTGAAGAATTTGTCGGGTATTTACAATGGTCGAATTGTATAATTACCAGCTTTTATAGCATATCTAATAGACAAAAAGTATCTGGTGGATTAGTAACCAATTGGCACAGTCCGAAAATTATCGATTTTTATTTTCTCTGTTTTTATTGGTCGCTTCAAAATTCGGAGTAACAAAAAATAATTTTCTGTAGTAAAAGACTGTGAAATACGCCCCGCCATCTGGTGCTTTACATCCATAAACGTCTTAGGCTAAGCCACTTTAAAAATTCATATACAAGTCTTTTATATATAGAGCGTTTTTCGGTAGATGGCATATCGTTTAAAAAAGTGAAAAAATTGACACTTAACTCCTCCCCACTCCTCGAGCTCATCGTATATCTTCGGGGACTTTTGACACCTATCAGCCCAAGTCTAGAGGAATCGTTTAAAACCATTTTCAAAACTGTGGGATTTTTTTCCACCGATGGGCCTTTTTGTCACTAATTTGACTGAGGTAATCAATAATATCAACTTTATACAATATAAATTAATTTTCAATTTAAAAAAAATATTTTTTTTATATAGGGATATTTCTACGTTATATTGTTTTATTATTTTCCTGTCTTATATTGTTATATTTTTTTACATTTTATTTTTCATCAAATTTATGAAATTTACGATTATATTTCTTTCTAGTCTCATTTCAATCTCTGACAATTTTTTACTCAGACTAGGCAAGAATTTAAATGATAATGGCCAATATAAAAATTGAAGGTTCCTTTTTGTTTTACTTACATAAAATTAAAAGACATATACGGAAAGGCTGGACTAAACTAAGATAAAAAAATTATAAGACACTACTAATCCTCGTTATATCAATACAGCATGCGTATTTCTCCAAATTATAGCCTGAAACGTTTTTGAAATAAAGCCTTACAGCAATTGTATATATCCTATTCGTATAAATACCATGTAAATTTGTACTAATGCGAACTGTGTTTTGCCTAGGCTAGGCATCGTAGACTATATACAGGGCTCTTGAAAAATTTATATAAAATTCTACCTCAGCTTTTCTGATGTTTATCTAAATGCACTGTATATTACTAATTTAGTTTTCCGATAGCCATTCTTTTAATAGTTGATGTAATGGCTTATTTTAAACATTTTTAGAGTAAGAAAATCTGAATTCATTATACGGAGCTACCAACAATGATCGAAATAGTTAGTACTAGTAGTGGGAACTATCGAATGAATACTATCGAAACATTCGATAGTTGCAATTCATTCGAATAATTCGATAGCTAGTAAGAAAACATTCGTCGAAAACTATTCGAATAAAAATATCGAATAGATGCGTCATCTGCCTTGAAATATATTAATTCGGCAGCAAAAACCATTCATTTATAAAAGTTGGACCGATTTTTGAACTAATTTCGTATAGGTAGGTATACAAATAAGGTATACAAATCTAAAAATACGCGTTAGAGTTTTATATAGATCGTTCAAATTTGCCCTGTATAGTAAAAACGTAATATTTAATTTTCGAACTAACTCAATACTGCCCAAACAGAGATAACTGGTGTTCTGTTTTTACTTAAAATATTTTATAGGAAACCCGACAGCGGTCGGCGGTCGGTGGCAATGGTACGAAAAAAGCCGGCATCTTTGATTTTGAGTCAGATAAAGATAAGGACACATTATTTTTTTTATTGAGGTGCTAGTATTTACACAGAAAATACATTATGAACGGCGCTGTTGCCGTATATTCTTATTAATTGGTATTAGCAAAGAATATTATTCTTTGGTATTATAGTTAGTTAGGGATAGTATGACTATATATTTTGCATTTTTTTATTAATATTCTGTTGTTACACTGTAATAATACTTTTTATTTTGGATGTGGGAAAATGATTTTTAATGTTTTTAAAAAGCATTCGATAGTCGTGGCTAACGATAACCATTTAGTCGCACGGCGAGGTTGTCACATATGCTTTAGTATACAAATGAATGAATGATTTTATTCGAATGAAACCATTCGATAGTTGAAATCATTCATTCAGTAACCATTCGATAGTCTAATTCATTCGATAGTTCCCATCGCTAGTTAGTACCAAAAAAAAAAAATAATTTTATTGAAACATTATAATAAATTAAAAAATAACTGTAAAAGTTATAAAAATGTGTCCTAGAAAACTATAAAAAAGATTTCTATAACAGATATAACAGATAAATAATTATTGTAAATGTTATAAAACTATATAAAAATATCTATTCATCAATTTAATTGTTGGACCGATTTTTGAACTAATTTCGTATAGGTAGGTGTACAAATAAGGTATACAAATCTAAAAATACGCGTTAGAGTTTTATATAGATCGTTCAAGTTTGCCCTGTATAGTAAAACGTAATATTTAATTTTCGAACTAACTCAATACTGCCCAAACACAGATAACTGGTGTTCTGTTTTTACTTAAAATATTTTATAGAAACGCATAATTTTATTATACAAACACTAAGCATACATTTTTGAAAAAATAGGTATTTTGTATTTTTAATGAAGATTAGCTTAATTTATTGATTTTTCTATATTTTTTACACGATAATAAAAAGAAATATGGAATGTTTGTAGTAGATGAAACATTTTGTATAAAAGCGTTCATGAATTCAGAACTACACATTGTGTTTTATAGGTCTTCTTTATATGGTAATCGCAAAACAAATTCCGATGACAAGTGATGGCGACAGCGCTGCCAGATTGTGATGGATTTATGAGATGAATCTTAATTTAAAAGTGACAAACAATATATTTATTATATCATTTTTTAAAGATCTTTACGTTTTATTTTTAATTTAATAACTAATATTTTAGTAATTAATTGATTTATTTGTTTTATAGCTTATTTTACTTATTACATATTGGCAAAAATTAGTCCATTATGAAGATTATTCTAAGCGTTATTATGGATTAACAAGTAAGAGGGTGCTATTAATGCAGAAACTAATAAACAGAGAATTTAATAAAAACTAACGTAGAAATAACTTTGAAAGTGGTGTAATGTGCTTATCAAACAAACTTACTTCTCTGACTGCAGTCAAGGATAATAAAGGATCTTTATTGTCACGTTCACGTTCAAAATAGTTTATCAGAGAGGCTACAAGCTCGTTGCTTCGACTGTTTAAATGCTTCGGCATATTTTCCACAACACAATTTCAAGAAATGCAATACAAAAACTCGAAAATTTAGTTCTTTAAAGAACTGTTTGTGTTTTTAAAGTACAATTTAAAAAAGAAGATTATGAAAATAGGCAAAAAACAAGAATTACTCACAAAGATTCAATAACAACACAATATTATACAAAATAATGACTGACATTAGGATAATTGTCAAATATAATAAACGACAACCTTGCTGAAAACGGCGCAATGTGACCAACATAACGATGATAAAATTCGGTTTAAACTAATTTTTGCAGCTTTAATCTAAATAAAATATCTGTTACAATCATTTGCTCTACAAAGTTAAATGAAGAGCTGCTTAGTATCTTAAATTGTCTCGACTGTATCTCGGAAAGTATTAGCCGTAGGGCTTACGGAAAAAAATATTTATAACTAAAACGGCTATGAGAAATTGTTGGAAATTATTTTCAAGTTTGTAAAACGGCCGCTAGGTGGCGCAACTGCTATGGAAAATAAGAAAATAGATTTTTTACAGAATTTTGCCTAGATAATGGGTACTATAAATAATAGCTTCATAATCTTCAGTAAATTTTGGATTTTTTTTGTTAGAACCATTTTCCCCTATCGGCTAAAATAAAGTAATGGGGAAAGGTTAGATCTATCTTTATTTAAATGATAATAACTCCGGACTGGATGATCAGAATCCAACAAACGAGGGCTCGTCTAAAAGAGCGTTTCTTACTCTATATTATACCATAAAAATAATAATAAAGTTTTGAACGTAGACGCTAGGGGGCGCTTTCTTACAATTTAAAAACATAGCGCGTTTTTTCAAAAAAATTAAATACGATAGTATGTGTTATTTTAGCTGATAGTAAAGAGTAGTAAAAGCTTAAATAGTCAGCGAAAACCGCATCTTGATATCTTCTTTCAAACCGAAGATATTAACAAAATTATAATAAATACCAAAAAATAAGC